CCCCCCCCCCCCTCCCCAACGCCATGTCCAGACAGAGGCTCGCGGCGGCGCTGGTCGCCGGCCTGGGACTCGCCAGCGCCGCCGTGTACTCGACGCGCAAGAGCGGGCATGAAATCGACAAGGTGCGACGGAGGCGCGCGGCCCAGGAGGCCCACGAGGGCATCACCTCTGCCAGGGTTGCCGGCAACGAGACGGACTGGACGACGCCTCACCAGGCGGCGCCCTCGAGGCCCGACAGGAACCCCCGGCAGCACGGCGTCGACACGCCAGACGGCCCTGACGGCGCGAGGAACGGCAAGTGAGCGGGCAGGGTAGTACGTGCTTGGCCACACAAGGTTTTGCATGGTGAAACACGCAGCGAGCTCACATATATTAACGAGTACAGCAAGGGACAGCAAAAGCCCACCGTCAAAGGTGAGACCCTTTGGCAGCAGGGCATCTGAATGGCTGAGCTGGCATGCCAAGAGCAAAAGAGGACGCATAAAGACAACGTATCAGCTAGATGAAGTCGTCGCTCGTCACTCCGAGGTCCGAGTCCACGTCCCAAGAGTCATCCCCATACGGCGGCCTGGCCCACAGCACAACGGCATCGTCTTGTCTGTGTGGAATTGACCGTGTCGTATCGGTCCAGGCGGTGTGGTGCAGATTGAAAACGGGCTGTGCATGGCTCAACACGAGACGCGGGCGATGGGACGGGATGCTCAACTCGTGCTCGGCCCTGGCAGGGACATGACTTGGTCTGCATTATATTTGTACAAGTTGCACTTTTTGGCTGACATGACGGAGCCAACATGATGCTGCGTGCTGCGACAAGTGGGCAGGCTCCAACGTCCTGGGCTGATGTGTGAGCGCTGAATGACCAGTTTCATCTGTTTTCAAATAAATGGGAAAAAACTCTGAGCTGAGGCGGTCACTCGGCGACGTGAAGCGTTCCATCGCCGCTGCTTGCTGATGGGCACCCGAGCCAGCAAGAGCATGCGGAATACTCGCCGTCCGGAGGAACGAGTGCCCATGCCCATGCTGGCTGGCTGTGAGGCTTTGGACATACATGGCACATGCATATAGAGCGTCGGGTCTTGGACACGCACATACATACAGTCTGTACTGCAACCATGCGGTTCCCGCCGCACTGCAAACTAGAACAAGGTTTTTCCCGCATGTCGACGTAGATGCCGGCGGAGCCGTCGTCACGAACCAGCGAGCGAGCGTCCTGCGACTTGACACTTGTTCAACCCAGATCGTGGCCGGCAAGGCGGCATTGCCACGACACCTCTCTCTGGTCCTTGGGCAGCGGGTCGATATGTTTCAGACCCTTCGAGAAACCGGGACCATGCCATGCCGCCTTGGGAACGCGTCCAGTACACCCAGTTCCTTGCCGTTTGCAATCTCGACATCAATGCCCGCGGCCGAGGCGCCCATCAACATGCGGCGGTCCGACTCGAGCCTCGAGTCGACGCATACATGGCAGATCTGGGTCCGGCCTGCTCCTGCTCATCAGTCCATCATTCTGATTCATGGCCTCTTCCCTGCCGATGCGTGCGTGCCAGCTCACAGTCCCCGACGACGCTCGCGTCGACGCGTACGCTCCAAGGCCGCGAGCTTTGGGTATAAAAGGCCCTTCCCGGCGCTGCCTGGGAGTCGTGGTCCAGGCTCCTCCTCACCAAGCAACTCTGTCCCCTGAGCATCTCTTCAGCAGCCGTCTATTCACTCCCGTCTTTTGGCATATACTGACCTCTTCTTCAAAACCTCGCTCTTGAGAAGCACTTGCACCGCGCCCGGAAAAGCCTCCTTCGACATGGCTCGCCTCACTGTGATTGCACTTTTGGCCTGTATGTACGATTCTTGTCTGTTCTGTTTTGGGGGTTTTCTTTCTTTTTTACCTCGACCCCAGTTGTATGCGCTTGGTGGCGGGCTCGGCTACGTTTTATTTTATACAAACTCCAGCTAAGCTGCTGACACGTCGTCTTCCTGTTTAAGCTGCCGCCTCTACTATGGCGCTGCCTCAAGGCGGCCCTCCACCCGGCCTTCAAGACGGCTCTCTAGGCGGCTCTCAAAACCTCCCTCCAACCAGCCTTCAAGACGGCTCTCAAGGATTCCCTCCAGCCGCCTCTCAAGACTTCCCTCCAGCCGCCTCTCAAGGCGGCTCTCAAGTCCTCCCTCCAGCCGGCTCTCAAAACCTCCCTCCAATCGACCCTCAAGCCGGCTCTCAATTTCCAGGCGGCTCTCAAGTCCTCCCTCCAGCCGGCTCTCAAAACCTCCCTCCAATCGACCCTCAAGCCGGCTCTCAATTTCCAGGCGGCTCTCAAGTCCTCCCTCCAGCCGGCTCTCAAAACCTCCCTCCAATCGACCCTCAAGCCGGCTCTCAAGACGGCTCTCAAGGCGGCCCTCCAACCGGCCCTCCAACCGGCCCTCCAACCGGCCCTCAAGACGGCTCTCAAGGCGGCTCTCAAGGCGGCATGGTAGCTTCTGACCAAGCAGCACCCCCTGAAATCCAACTCCAGCAGGCCAAGCAGAACGATGAGTCGGCAGATCTCTTGGAGAGGGAGGCCGGGAGGCTGCGTCAAGAGGCCCAGGAAATCAGACGAAGAGTCGGGGCCACTTCGAATGAGAACCCGGCCGCCGATGAGAACCCGGCCGCCGATGAGAACCCGGCCGCCGATGAGAACCCGGCCACCGATGGGAACCCGGCCACCGATGGGAACCCGGCCACCGATTCGAATGAGGACCAGGCCCCTCAGAATGAGAACCAGGCCCCTTTCGAGATGCAGGCCCCCAGCCCTGAACAACAGCGGGAGACACCACCGCCCGAGATAATGTCAGGACCCAATGGAAACTAATCCACACCTCCGGCCCATGCAGGCGCTCAAATTCACTAGTGCGGCAGACGGTACACGTGGTGCTGCTCAGGCCGGCCCAGGTGGTACCGCAGGCTCGTCTGCATCATCACGGCCGGACCCGTGAACAACGATGGCTTCGACACGGACGTGCGGCGCCGTCCTGTCTCGCTCTCGCTGGACCCCCTCTCCCTAGTAGACTAGATGTGAATCAAAGCAGGCTTTCAAAGCTTTCAAACCTCGCCCGTCTAATGACCAACCTGTCGTGCCGTGACTCAACATCAGCCCAAGTCCCAGTGGAGCATGGCTGCAATCGTAGAGCGCAATCTCGCCTGGCCTACAGACCGGGGCGTGGACTATGGCCGAGATCCCACGCACACCATCACGGAGCAGGTCGAGGTCTCGTCCGACCAAAGGTCAGGTGTTTTGTTCATCAGCAACGGCAATCACCACGTCTGCGGTAGTGGCGAGACCACCCATGGCGCCGTTTTCCCATTTGACTGCTCAGAGTCCTGAGCCAGGCGCGACAGCCCCCCAGAATCATTACCTAGAGGTCGCCTGCTGTCCCAAAGCCGTCCGTCTCTCCAGTGCGCCAGGGGATCCGCCATGAGCGCCAGACATGCTGGGCAGATGATATAAACCCGTTCGGTGTGGCCGCAGCCGACGCAGAATTGGGTTGCTGCTTGCTTCGTCTGCGGCGGAATCCAGTCGTGCCGGACTGTTGCCCCCTTTTGTCTGAGCTTGGTGCGGGTATGTGACGAAAACACTGGCGCTGCTTGTTGTTAGCCCAGCACATGCGCACCATTGGCTGCTTGCCTCGAGTATCACCTGTCGGAGAAGGCTGGTCTCAATCCTTTGCCTTTGCTTCCCAGGGCGAGACATCCACGCAATCGCTTGGCCTGTTCCGCACCAGAGAATCAGCTAGATTGGTTGGGCGTAAGTGAGGGCGAGAGACGAGTCCCCGTGCAGGAGTCCTATATTGGAACAAATGTCGATGGCAGGTTTCTGTCTCTAGGCACGCAACTTCCTGAAACAAGCACATTCACCGCCAACGCCAGCTTTGAACAGGGCAAGCGCAAGGCCCGCACATCACTGGGTTGTCGAGTAGTTATTCAGAAAACCCATCTTGCCAACCTCAACTTCAGATGTCGTCTTGGCTGCCCGTCCCCACCGCCTTGAACGTAGGGCAGACGGGCTGATAAGTCAAACCAAGTCGTCATGTGACCACGGCATTCTGCTACGATGGCTGCAAAAGCCATTTCATCTTCCGTAGTATAGTGGTCATTATGCAAGCTTGTCACGCTTGAGACCCGGGTTCAATTCCCGGCGGGAGAGACCGTCTTGATTTTTTTCTTCTCATTTTTCATCCTCCAGTTTCAGGCACTGACCGTCTTGGTTTTTATTTTCCCTTCTCATTGCATTTCATTCTCCAGCCAGACGGTCCGGATCGTGACGCATCTCAACATATGTATGTACGTATGTATACATACATACATGTTGAATGGACGGCCCCGTGGTCATGTTGTGTGGTGTATGTATGTAACCTTGCCTCGGTGGTCGACTTGAACCGCGTGGCGGGATCCAACGAGATTTCTCTTGCCGACAACCGACATGAACCGGAGACAGGGCAGATGAAGTCTCTCTCCGTTTGACTTGCTGAGAGAGGTGGCACCCCAGCTTTATCTAGGGTAGCGCTCCGTCCGAAAGGGACGCTCGCTGAACTCGAGGGCAGTGGAACCTGGAACGGAATGCGACGACTAGCAGCCAGCCGAGAGGCGGGCTACATCCCCTGAAAGTATGGCTATGCTTCTTGGGCTCGGCCAACCGGGTCGCCGTCACTTCCTTGACGGAACGAGCCAGGATGCAGGATGTACCAAGAATGGCGACTCAGTCCTCGACGGGGGTAGGACAAGGCTGCAAACGACAGCCAAGGTCGACCAATCAACGGACGGTCCGGAAGGTAGGGGCCAGGTGTAAAATGGCCCGAAATTATCCCTCAAACGCAGATGGAGATGGATGAGCTGGGCCTTGGATGGATGACCCTTGGGGCCCTGGGGTGTTTGGCCAGATGAGGGCCTGAGTAGCACGAATCGCGATCTCCAATAGTACGAATTGCGGCACCCACTCATCAAGAAGTCGTGCCGGCCGATTAGCGGACCGGACAGGGAGGGAGGGACCCGGGTACGCAGGTACGTAGTACGTAGTTAGTTAGGCCAAAAGACTAGGTGCATTGTTTGCAGGGCAAGTTGCGAAAACGAGAAGCCAAGCCGCTCGCCGGCTACATCATCATACATGGAGCACAAACAAACGGGGCATCATCGACGGCCCCCCCTGGGTGGAGGAATGAAGAAGCAGGTAGGGTTGAGATGCAGTTCGAGCTTCTTCTCTCTTCCACGCCAAGATGGCTCCAACGGCCAGAATGATGAGGATTTGGAGAGTGCAAGGCAGGCAGAATGAGCCGCATCCGTGCGCGATCGGCGTGGCATGGAAGTTTCATGTCTCCCGAGTCAGACTTTTTCCATCTGAAACAACAGCCTTTGCACATGAAAACCGGAAACTTGCCATGTCACAAACTCGTCTTGGGCTGGGGGCGTCGGCAAGGCGGCGTTTCCCTTGGCCAAAGGTTCACGACATGGCTCGGCCCCTACAGGCTACAGCAGCTTGGAATGAGGAACGATGGACGACAGGCGAGCGAACATGCAACTACTTGTTCAGGCGAATCGATAGTGCACCAGGTGGACCGACGCTTAGCCTGCACGACGAGGATGTTGCTCCACGGCCTACAATACGACCTGCGCAGTCCGCGCGCACCAAATCTTGCCGGCGATTGGTCATGGGACAGGGCAGGGCATTCTTGGGTCCGCTTCCCCATCCTCCGCCGCCAAGAAGGGATGGATGCAGGTCTCCTGGGCGAGTCGGTACTCTGCGCCTCTGCAGTCTGGAGCTGGAGTCTGGAGTCTGGAGTCTGGAGTCTGGAGTCTCGAGTCTCGAGTCTCGAGTTTCGAGTGTCAATGGTCGTCGTCATTGGTAGGTAGCCGAGGTCGAGTCGCATCGGGGGGGAGGGCGTCGGATCCGGATTGGCAGAAACGATGAAACAGCGAGGAATGGGATGGCATGGAAGCAGCGTGAGGCTTGAAAGCACGTCGGCACCCACGTCAACGGGACTTGAACAAATGTTAGTGCAAAAGAACGAGCGAGTTGAACTGCATGTGCATTGCATTGTGCACAAGCACAAGCACAAGCCAAGCATGCACGTGGGTTGCGCAAGATGGAAGGGGCGACCGAGCGACGCCCGCTGCCGTCCACCTCCGTCCTGTCTGGAAGCCAGGAGCCGCCCCTTGCCCTTGACAAGGGTCCGGAGGGCAGCGCCATTTCTGCACTCCACACGAGGTCCTAATTTAGCAACCTGTGTTCTAGCGCTCACTCCCGGTACCTTAAGTAGGCATGCACTGTACGGGAGCCTGGAGCATGCAGATGGGGGCTACTGCATGGTACTTGAGTACCTAAGTACCTACCTACCTATAACGTTAGGTACTTACTCGAGTAAGTTAAGTTAGGTAGGTACCCAGGCACTTAAGTTACTCCGCAGTAGTTTTTGGCTTGCGGACAGTGGCGCATCCACCAACCAGGCCGTGGCCGGCCAAGTACTCAAGTGCCTGCCCACGGTACTATGCAATAGCAGTTGGGGCGGGGCAGAGAAGGGCCGGGGAGCCTCTAGAAACGGCAAGGGCTCGAGGTCAGGTCGATTATTGCGTCGGAAACGGACTGCTCCGAGCTCGTAGCAGCCTCGTCGTGCAGGGCCCGCTGGGCCGTGGACGTGATGATGGCGGCTCGGGAGAGCCAGCATGTACGGAGTACGTACAGCACACCCAGGTTCCGGTGGGCACGAGGACGGCAACACGGCCCTCCCACCTTGGCGCCGGCTGTCGTGCCTCGACCGGTCATCCCACTCCCCTCGTCTCGAATAGTGAGTGGTACGGCTGCCAACTGACAAAATTCGCGCGCCCAAAGACTTTGCCTTGTTGCTTTTGCAATTTTCATCTTTCGTCATCGCCTCGTTGCTATTTGCATCCCGCTGCCCTGGCCGCCAAGGAGGTTGTCATTGACGCTTTGGGGGGCAAGCTGAATCAGCACCAGTTCACATTTCACATTTCACGGGCCCTGCCGCTTCTCCCGCCCACCGTTGTCTCACTCACTCCTTTCACCATCGAGCTTGTTGCTGCGACGCTCACTCACTCACTCACCTTCTGCCGTCTGCCAAGCAAGCAACAGGCAACCGCGTCGACCAACATCGTCGCATGACTGCGCGCCTGCCCCAGTGCCGCAACTAACAAGCATGGCAATTCGCCCCCCCTCACTCTGATACCGTCCTCTACATGTAGCCGTTGCGCCCTAGACGCCTGCGAGCGCCCCGAGTCCGACCACAGCCGAGGAGAGCAGCTCGCCCTGTCCAAAGTCTTGCTTGATGAGCTCCCTATCAAGCATCACCATGACGAGCACGCAGCTGCCGCCGCTCAATTTCGACGCGGGTGGTCTGCGCATATCCCTATTCTCACCCTCACAGCCGGGGTCCCTCGTCGACAACGAAGCGCTCCCTCCGGATCACGACGAGTTGGAAAAGGCACACCGGCTCCAACAGCCTGCCACGGAATCGACACAACCACACCTGTCTCCCAATACCATACCGATCCATCCCATCCCAGCTCTCCAAGAGGCCTTCTCGGAGTCGCTTGAGGAAGCAACCAATGGGGCCCCCGGAGACAAGCCCAAGCTCAGAGAGTTGGATGCTCGAGGACGACGAAACGCCCTCGTCGCCCAGCACCGGGGCGACGACCCATTCGATGCCGCTTGGCGCCTTCGGCCGGGCCAGAAACAACACGAACTGACCAAGCTGATTGCCCAAATCTCGTTTGGCGTCTATCTTCTTCTCAATGGCATGGCCAACAGCAATGCTCAGGTCGTCAATATTCTGCAAGGCCACATTGACGAAGTCGACGAGTTTCTAGAGGTTGCACTGGAGGACCTCGCCCAGGCAACCGATGATTTGAATGAGCGCATAGAGCACTTGAAACTCCCGCTGGCCAATGTTCGAGTCTTTGAGCAGCTCCTTGAAGATCGAAACTTCCGCCTGGAGATTATCGAGGGCAACGAGAAGATTGACCACGTGCTTTCCAGAACAAATGCCGCCCTGAAGCAGTGGGATGAAGATATCGAGGCCGGTCTGCAGTCGACCGCCGCCTTTACCAGTTGGCTCAACGATGAAGAAGATGCATCTTGGAGACCGGAGCGCCCTGACGTGGCCGATATATTCGACGCCATGAAGGGCAATGCGGAGGGTTGGCTGAGTGCCTTTGATGACATGAGTGACCGTGTACAAGAAGCTAGTAACGTCATCATCCGACTGTCAACCATCATTGGCGAGATGGAGAAGAAGGCCGGAGAAGTCAGTCGCAGGACTTGGGTGAGTTAGGCCCCTTCTTGGAAGACGGACCAAACTCGCGGGAGTGAGGCGCCCGTTACTGACGATGCTCCTTAGGCAAGCATACAGCCCTTCTCCGTTCCGTCTTCTGCCTCCCAAGGACTTGGCAGTGTGTCGACCAGGTCTTCCTCCAGACACTCTCACAACCGATCACTGCGGCAACACACGCATCAGCAAAGCGTTCCAAGTGTCGCGACCTCGACGAAAAGCGCGAGTACCACCGCTCTTGACTTGGAGGAAGAATTCCTCCTTCCCGGTGGACTTCCCCTACTACCTCCTCATTCCTCTCCTCCTCGCACCGGGCCCGCCAACGAGTCTCGCGCCAAGACATCCACGCAAGGTACTCCCCAGTCGAAAGCTGAAGCCGAACAAACGGATGCACCAAGCCCGAGCCCGAGCCCGAGCCCGAGCCCGAGCCTATCGGCCATGGATGAACCGCTGTATGTACTGCAGCCTCGCACGTATGCCCCCAAGGCCCAGGAATCTTTACCATCCCCCGTACCGAAGCCAGCTGGGACTTGTTCCTCACCAAAACCCCAAGACCAAGTGCAGCCACAAAACGATGCATTTGGTCCCGACGGCCAGGCGGTCCAACAAGCCAGGTCCTCAATCCGTTGTCGAGTATCTCGAAAGACCACCCCTCCGGGATCGATACAGATTCCCCCAAGGCCTGTTCGCCCGTCATCACCTTGTCTTGGAACACCTCAAACAACCCATTCAAATGCCTTGGATTCGGCGTACGGCTCGGACTCTGAATCCATCACCCTGCGGGCGGTATCGCAACTGGGCCCAGAAGCTGCAAGAGCGTCTCCCGCTCGGCCGCAGATTACGCACTCGCCTCGATCAGACCACCAGCAATATTATCGTCCTGTGCGTGCGTCGCCGCACTCGCCGCTGCAGCAGCGCCCCCACACCTCTTTCGGGTCTCGTGGGTCTCACATGCATCTACGCAACCAGCCATCTGCCATTGGCGGCATGAGCACCCTGAGCAACGTGACAAACGCAGTATATGACGACGATGCCAAAACCCAGTCTTCAGGGTCCCAAACCGCCGGCCCGGCTCTTCGGAAGAAGAAGAGCGCATTCGGCTGGTTCAAGAAAGCCTTCAGCTTGGACGAGGAGGAAAGAGCGGCATTTGAAGCACGCAAGGCAATGCAACACCAGGATCGCTATTATGACCCCAACAGCCCCAAGTTCCTCGACGGGCGAAGAATACGGTAGACGGGCTTTATTCTTCCCGGATGCGCCTAGACACAACTACAAGCTGGGACGAAGCGCTGACGCCATTGCAGCACTCTTTCATGCCCCCTTTTTTTTTTTTTTTCGTTTTAAACATGCCATTTACAACACATTGATTCGAAATATGTTAGCGATCTCGCGCAAAGCGACTTGAAGATACCATCTAGCGGCTTATATCATGAACGTACATGTCGATAAGCAGTCGAGAATACAAGAGCAGGCTAGCCATGCCACTCTACATTTACATTCTTTCCCCACCCCAACACCCGAGGTTGATTTCCCCATGTTTACGCATACGCACACGGTATTGGGAGACGACTTGTTCAGTCTCCACTACCAAGGATTAGAACTGCGTGGATGAAAATGGGCTCGTTTTGGCGCGAATTGCACTCAATATTCCTGGGGTTTCCTACCCCCTCCTACCCCCTCCTTTTTTTTAATAAAAAAGGTCAGTCTGGCATGCAATACTTGATGACTAAATAGTAATTAAATACAAGATGAGATGGATGGTTTCTGGGTCAAAATGCGCTCAAGTTTGCGGCCCCATCTACCCGCCCTGTGTGTATGTGTGTGTATCCGTGTCGTCCCAGGGAGCGAAATCACTCGCCGGTGCCGTAGCTGCGCACGCGGCCAAAGAAGAAGGGCTTATCGTGCTTGAGCGTAAACTCGGCCCAGTCGTCAGTCAGATTGTTGTAGCTAAAGAAGCTCCTCCACACAATCTTGTTGTTGCGCGCGGCTTTGCCCGCCGTGCGGAGCGACAGGTCCATGCGGAACATGTACTTGGGGTCGACGCCCTCGGTCTCGACCGTCAGGTCGCCCTCGCGCCGGCGCCGGCGGGAAGCGGCCCGCGAGGACGGAGAGGGAGAGGGAGAGGGGGGGGAGGCGTCGTCGGCGTCGGCGTCGATGCCGGTGCCGGGCGAGGAGAGCCGCCAGCGGCCCTTGTGGGCGCGCTGCATGGCCGCCGACGGCGGGTGCGCGGGGACGGCGCTGCCCGCGGTGTCGCGCCGGTGGAGGTGCAGCAGGTCCCGTGTCAGGTGCTGCACGACGTGGGTGGGCTCCGAGGTGGTCAGGAGGCTGATGGCGGTGCCGTCGCGGAAGAAGCGCAGGTAGCGGTAGTAGGTGACGATGTGAATCGGCGCGCCGCCCCAGGTGGCCTGGCTGGCGGACGCCTGTCCCGTGCGGACGTAGTTGACGGTGCTGATGTAGCACCCGTTGAAGCGGACCCGGGGCCGCGCCCGGAACATGGCCTTCCAGGTCGCGTAGGTGTCGGGGACGAGGGCGAGGCAGCCGGTGACGGTGGCCGTGGTTTCTGCGTCGGCGTCGGCGTCGGCGTCGGCGTCGTCTCGGCGGCCCTCGAGCGGCTCCCACTCTACCGTCCTGCTCCAGCGGTGGTGCATCCCCGCGAAGCCGAACCGCGCGCCGAGGCAGACTTGCTGCCATATCCGCTCCTCCGTGGCCACGAGGTACGCGAGCGGCTTGCAGACGAGCGAGAGGCGCGCAAAGTCGCCTACGTCGAGGGCCGCCACGTCCTGCATGACGTGGATGAGGAGCTCGCTGGGGAGCGAGGAGAGGGGGCATGCCCGAGGTGGCGCGCCGTCTATTTCGGGCGGCGCTGCTGCGATTTGGAGCCCCGCGAAGCTGGACACGAGGTCTTTGATGGGGAGCGCCACGGAGCTGTCCTCTGCCGCGGGCGCGCCGTCTGCCGATGCCGTGGTTTGCGTCGGCGTTGACGACGCTGCTGCAGGTGCTGCCAGAGGTTGCTGCTGCTGCTGCTGCTGCTTGCTATGCTGCGGGAAGTGCTTCTCGCGATATCTGCGGTCCACGCCTTGGTCCATCTACACTTGTCAGTGTCGCTCTTTGCTGAGGGGGAATGCGGGACAGCATTTTTTTTTCTTCCCCCGGGACTCACCCTGTACGCCTTGCGGTACAATTTTAGGCTATCGCCCATCTTTCCCAAGGCCTCCTTCTCCATTGCCTCCTCGTAGTGATCCAGGGCGGAGACGAGCTCCCTCTCTGGCGCAGTTCTGGAGGCTGCATCGGTGGCGGCGTTCCTCGAGGGCTCGGGGCCGTCGTCGAAGGACGGGCCGCGCAAGCACTCGTCTTCCTCTCCAGCTGCCGATGGTGCTTTTCTGGTCCTCGCAGGCGAGGGCTGGCGCGCCGCGGGATTTCGGGACGGCGGGGATGCCGATGGTGCCGTTGAGGCGGATGAGGAGGTGCATGGCTTGGGCTGGGTGTTTTGGTCGCCCTTTCTGGTGCGCACTTCGGACAGCCATTGCTCTCTGAAGGACTTCAGCTCCGAGTCCAATCTGTTGTTCGAGTCTTCCATGGGGATGGGATTATCTGTAAGATGCTGCAATGAACTCGAGCTTGGCGGGTTGCCTCCTAAGTCCGATGAGCCCGGCTGAATTAGATTCGAGTCATCGAGGGGCGACTGAGACGAGAAATGAGAAAACGCGGGATAAGAGGGACCAATGTCTGAGGGTTCCGGAGTCCAAGTATCGTACTGTTAGGGAGCCATATTGCAGGCTCATGTCACACCCGGGTTTTGATGAAGTTGAGTTGCGACGACGATGAATCGCCAATGATGACTACTGTTGGCCACGGGCGCTTCCTGATTGGATGGGCGTTGGCGCTTGTCATTGTGGATTCTGGTGGCCATTGGCCAAGTTGCCGCCGATTGTTGGCTCGCCAGAAGACTGGAGGCCAGCGATCCGGGATAAACAGTGAGGTTGCGCATTGGTCAACTTTTTTCGCGTTGGATGAATCTACGTAGGTCCGCATGAGGGCTTGGTTTGGTGCCGGGCTCGTAGTGGAAGGTTTGATGGCGGGGTGAGGGTTTTCTGAGAATCATTTTGACTGTAAGGTTCTGGAGATGTGGCCTTGTCATAATGACGCTTGTCCGTCATCGCCCTGACCATCTGCGCGCTGTTTAAAAGGCATACGTGTGCTCTGTGCATTTGTTTGTTGTGCAATTTGAGGAAGCCAGTCAGTCTACCAATGTCACAGCATATATTTTTCTTTGCAGATCCCAAAACGCCGCGTCCAAAACGTGCTCCGAGGCAGGCCGTGGCAACTCAGATGAGGCCAACGAAATCGTAATTTGCCAAACATGCCGGGTCTCGTCTGGTGGTTTGGAACATGTCCAGATGCCTGATGACTAACCCGAGCAGAGCAGCGCCAGCACAAACTTGGGCAATCGTCACATCGCCGCCGCCAAAATTAATCCACGTCCATTTCATCAACTCCATCACGCTGAATCCCTCCGTCAACCCGTACTCTGAGTCTCTTCTTCTCGCTCCCAAACAGTTTGTTGTCGTTCTTGGCCTTCTGCAGGTGCTCAGCGGCCAGCTCCTCCACATCGAGGTCCTGTTCGGCAGCCAGTTCCTCGAGACGGCGCTTCTCGCTGCCACGCATGCGGGGTAGCAGGTGTTCGTTTTTGGCCACCAGCTCGCGTGCGGCGGCGAGTTCGCGCTGGCGCTTGCCAGCCATGCGTTTCTTGTAGAAGACACGTTCGCGGCGGGCACGGATCTCGCTGATGCGCTGCATGGCACCCAGCGTCTTTTGGACGAGGTCGCGGTTGTAGCGGACGGGTTCGTTGAGGCGGGCGCCGAAGAGGAGGGTGCTGTCGACAACCATTTCCTTGCCGGCGTTCTTGCGATAGGCCTTTGTCCACTTGAGCTTGCGGGGATTACGTTTCATCTTGAAGTTTTTGTGGCATTTTGACCTGGGCGCTGTCAGTTCAGTAGACCATCCCAACACGGCTGAGTCGGCTCTGTGGTACTCACCTGCAGAAGCGAAATGCTTTGGCTGAAGGAGACTGGAGCGTTAGAGAACATGGCGCTGTTGTCCCGGCGGCAGCGGTTCCTGGCTGGGAGGTAGGACTTACAGTCGCTTCTTACGAATGTGATGCCCTTGCTGGGATAGCTAGGTCTGCCGCAGAAATAACAAGGCTCGATACTGGGCTTGTGTGAGAATCGAGTACATTCCGTAGGTGCTTCATCGCAGCAGAAGCAAGTCTTACCGCATGGTGAAGGGCTTCAGCTTCAGTTAGAATGTCAGACTGCGTCTTTGTCTCGACCTCTCGCGTGATTTCGTCCGTTTTGCCTGGCGCGCTTCAGCTTGCATTCAGGCTTGCTGGATCGGATGTGCGGATGGCCCTCACTCCAAGATGGCCGAGGCTAACTGCGTCGACCGCGATGAGGCAGGTTCTTGAATATCAAACAACTTTTTTCGCATTTTGGGGCTTAGTCAGGATCCAGGGCCCCGCCTCCATTTCTTTTTGTCGAAAAATCTAATCGATAAGCTTGTGGGAAGGGCTGCGGTGCCGCGACGGGTTGTGATTGGCCAATGTCTTGATGCACTAAACCCCCGCCAGTGAGCGAGTCTACGTAATCGACAAGTTAGTCATTACCGCGTACCTACGGAGTAAGTTAGATGGTTTAACTTGCCTCATTTCAACAATCTCGGCTCCCCATTCCTTCTCACCCAGACGCTCCCCTCATTGTCATTTTTCTCCGGCAGAGACGGCTATTCTCGATTTCTAGGCTGTTTGCAAGGAACTGGCTCTGCTCTAATTGCCGCGCCTGTGGCCTTTGCAGCAGCACTCCATTTTCTCCGAGTTTCCCGCGCGACACCCCCAGAGTTTCCATGGCTACTACCGCGACTCTCGACTCTGGCAGCCAAAACTACGACAGACTACTCGAGGTGGACAATGTGAACATGCCGGGCGGGGTTCTCGCTGCAGGCTCACCGAACGACGGCGATGGCTTTGGTCCCGTTCCCGATATCACGGCGCCGCAGAAGATGATTTCGGCCATGTCCGGCAGCTTATTCACGTCGCTGCTTGGTGAGTTGGACAGCTTGGCGAGCACTGTCTGTCGGTCCACGCATGCTGATCATCAAACAGTGACCCCTCTTGATGTTGTCCGAGTTCGCCTGCAGTCGCAACGAACACCAACTTCAGCGGTCGATTTCTCAAAGCTTGCGCTGCGGACCAGCACCCTCACACCTGCACAGACCGCGGAGCTCGGAGTCACGGCGTGCTGTCGCGAAGTATTTTTCCAGGGCAACTCTGCAGAGCTGTGCATCGCGGTCCCGAGAGGCGAGGGCATTGGAGAGCCAGCCGCATCGTCTGCAGCTCCTGCTGCTGGCTGTGCGGTCCACGAGGTGCAAAAGAAGACGTACAACTCTACCCTCGATGGCTTGCGAAAGATTGCTCGCAACGAGGGCTTCACCACGCTGTGGAGAGGTCTTTCACCGACATTACTCATGACTATCCCCGCCAACATCATCTACTTCACCGGCTACGACTGGCTCCGATACAATCCAGTCAGCCCGCTCTCCAGGCTCTCCAGCGACAACGCACCGCTGGTGGCGGGATCAACCGCCCGTGTCCTTGCTGCCACGGCCGTTGGGCCGATTGAGCTGTTTCGAACGCGGATGCAGGCGGCTCATGGCACATCGAGGACGAACCACTTGATGGAAACGTTTCAGGGTGTGCGAGACATGGTGGCCACGCACGGCTACGTGTCTCTGTGGAGAGGGCTGACCTTGACGCTTTGGCGAGACGTGCCCTTCTCCGGCCTTTACTGGTGGGGCTACGAAACTATTCGATCTCGGTTGACGGACATGCGAGAGGACGGTCGGGGACGGCCATTCAACCGGGCCGAGTCCATCCAAAGTGCTCGACGGCGCTCTCAAAGCCAGGAAAATCACATGGAGACCTTTGTCGACTCCTTCACCGCGGGGGCGCTGTCCGGGACCTTTGCCTCGATTGTGACAACGCCCTTTGATGTCGGAAAGACACGAACTCAAGTGTACAGAGACATCCCCGGCGGACCGGGCGGGAAGCCTCACGCACCGGAGGAAAAGAACATGATGCGTCTGCTATGGCACATTTTCAAGACGGAGGGCGCTCCAGGACTGTGGAAAGGATGGATCCCTCGCGTCCTGAAAGTCGCACCGGCTTGCGCCATCATGATTAGCAGCTACGAGGTTGGAAAGAGGGCGTTTCGGGGTGTCAACGAGCGCTCCATGGCCGCGCGGGAGGAAGCCAGGTGAGGCGGCAATCATGCCACGTGCAGGTGCGCCGGGTTGGCTGTGTTTTTCCCAGACAACAAAACATTTTGCATTTTTGGGCGTTGGCTGTCGACTGGCATAAAGCGGGTGGTTTGCGGCCAGCTCTCTTCCACGTCATTATCTTGAGACCATGTCTGGTTTGAGTGTCTGAAATAACGACAATTGGTCAGTGTACGATAGCAGCGGTGTGGATTTGGACTCATAGACATGAAGGTCGGAGACGACCAGACTATTTTAGCATGCGATTGAAGGAAAAAAGGTTTCAACTCAGTTTACTATTCCTGGGCATGCCCCGTCTGTGCTGACTCCTTCCTCCTTCGGTGGGGCCGCACGTATTTCCGCCCACGTGCCACCTCACGTTGCGAACTTTTTTCTTCCCGCGCCCGAACAACATCGCCAGGCCACCTGTGAAGCCCGCACCGGCGCACCGGACGCGCTCTTGATTCTATATTGTTTATTGTACCCGTTTCTCATTCGCATCAGGGCCTGCCCAATTCATCGTCCCTGCGGCCGAACCGGGGTGCAGAGAGAGGGAGGAGGGGGGGAGCGCCGAGTCCCACGTCGCAAAATTCCGCCAGCGCCATCATGTACACGCTCGCCAACATCGCGACGCAGCGCTTCTCGGGCCCCGAAGAGACATACGTGCTCGGTGTGGACCGCACGGAGGCCGGGCTCGCCGCCATCTCCTCGGACCAGCAGCTGACGCTGCTCAGCCCGGCACGCCTCGGCGGCGGCGCCGTGGCCTCGTGGCAGACCCAGCACGGCAGCCTGACCAGCCTGCGGGTGCTGGACGCGAGCCGCTCGCTGGCGTGCACCGCAGGCGAGGACGGCACGGTGAGCGTGTGGGATCTACGGCTTCGCGGGGCGGCGGCCCGCGTCGCCCAGTTCAGCGGTGAGTCCTGCCGCCGCCCACCCCGTACGGCAGGGGGAGACTTCCACGCGGCCAGGCTGCTAACACCGGCCGGACGCTCGTCACAGGCACGTCGTCGCCCGTGCTGTCGCTGGCGTGCTGCGCGTCGACGCACACCGTCGCCGTGGGGACCGAGCTGCAGGGCCAGACGGCGTCCATCCTGCTCTGGGACGTGCGCGGCGGCGGCGGCGCGCGCGCGCACTACCGGGAAGTCCATAGCGACGACGTGACGGCGCTGGCGTTCCATCCTGCGCAGCCGGCGGTGCTGCTGAGCGGGTCGACCGATGGCCTGGTCAACGTCTACGACACGCGCATCGCCGACGAGGACGACCTCACGCTGCGGACGTTTAATCACAACGCGTCCATCCACCGTGCTGGGTTCCTGACGGGGACCGAGGTCGTGGCGCTGTCGCACGACGAGCAGTTCGCGCTGTATGACCTGGACGCCGGGGCCGAGGACCGCGACGCCGCCCAGTCTTGGGGCGACCTGAGGACCGTCCTGGGGTGTCAGTACGTTGCGGACGCGATGGGCAAGACGGACGGGAGCGGCGTGATTGTTGGCGCCGGCGCACAAGAGTACTCCCCCCCCCCCTTCTCCGGTCTGAGCAGGTTGGCCGAGTGGAATTGCTGACGTTTTTGGCTCGTTTCAGCAAGCATATTTTCGAACTTGTTTTCCTGGCGAGGAACCAGGGCCTCGGGCCAAAGTGGGTGTTTGACAAGGAGAATAGCGTGGGATTGCCCGGGGCGCACGGGGGCGAGATTGTGCGCTCGTTTTGCTTCTTTGACGACGCGCAGGTCGTATTCACGGCTGGCGAGGACGGGAACGTCAAGGCCTGGAGGGGGAACTAGGCGACCCGCGACTTGACGATGGGCGGGGCTCGTCATGTCCCTGGCGTTTTTGGTTCTGGTGGCAACGGGATTCTCAATCACAATCATCTATCTGTCTTGCATGTCTCGGCACCTCTAGCCACGGTGCTGCGTGCTCTATTTGAAATGGAAAGTAACGTAGTTTTGAGCTCTGCGGGCGGTCGAGAGGACGTGGTGTGTGCAGCAGCGTCGCAGGCAGATCCGTTTCCTTTCCTTTCCTACGGGAGCTAAACGACTGGATGCCATGGGAATCGTGACGACAACTCTGAACCCGCCATGGTTCCGTGCTCGGCTCGCGACTGCTCTTGTGGACCATGATGCGCCGTGCAGCTCAGATATGTGTGGGCGACTGCCTCCTCATCCAAACTTGTCATGGCGATTCTTGACCTTCAAGTCCAGCAGCCGCTCGTGATAATCCCCCTCCCTTCTCGCCCTCTTCAGCACCTTGACCTCGTCCTCGTCCAGGCGCCTCCCCACCGCCTCCTCCAGCTCCCGCCTACTAATCTTGGACAGTGCCTTTTCCTCCTTGGACGCCTTGAGCTTGGGCTTGAACCGGGCCTGCATCCGTATGCGCATCGTCGTATGCGCCGTGTGTTTGTCCTCGTCGCCGCGCAGATCAGCAGGGGAAGTCGACTTGGACGACGCATCGGGCCTGACTGTGACAAAAGTCTCGTGGGAGGTCTGCAGCTGAAAGGTGCCGGCGGCGTCGGCCGCGGGGACGACGTGGAAGCACTCGAGGGGCGAGACGGCCTCCGACGTGGCGGACAGGAAGCCCATCTTGTCGCAAGCCAGGTACCTGGTGAGATTCCCCCCCCTTGTCAGCGACACGATCTGCCGAGCAGGCCCGCGCAGCTCGAGGCAGGGGCAGCGGGTTGGCCTTGGCTTACCGTCCGTGGTGGCCCTTGAAGCGGAAGTCATCCGTGCCGGATACCCTGTTCGCAACCCACACCATGCGCACGTCGTGCGGCTCGGCGCTCGCCGGGTTCCCGTCGACGATGTTCTCGACCGGCATCGCAAACACCTTGCCGCTGGGGTCGCACGCCAGCGCGGACGGCGCCTCGATGGGCAGCACTATCATGACGGGCCCGACCACGTCGGCTGCCACGTCGGCCGAGACCCAGCTCTCGTCGTCCGGGGCGAGGTCGCGCTCGTTGATGCCGGCCTTTTGCGCCCGCGAGGGGCCGGCCTCGCCGTCGTCGCGGTCGGCTTGGGCGGCGCGCTTCCGCTTCTTGGGCTTCTTGTCGCCCTTGAAGCTCAGTGGCTTGACCATTCTGCGGGATGGCAAGCTCCCTTTCGGCGTTGCTGAGCAAAAAGAGCGGCGAGCTCCACGCTTTCTCGTGCCCGCCAAGTCCCGACGTCGGGACGGCGTGCGTGATTACGTAAGCGAGCTTTTCGTCAATGTTCAACGCCCGACGGGACGCTGCCCCGCCCCCGCGCCCAGGCGCATGGAGAAAGCCGCGAGGCCCCCGCACAGAACTTCGATCAGCAGTGGCATGTTTTATCCCCGAGTCAACGAACCCCTTTGCAACTCGATTTTTTATCGCTTTACTGAGCAGTCCTCAACAACGCGACTTGCACGCGGCAGAATGGCAGCGCAAGCAGAGCCCGTCACGGTGTCCCTGAAGGACCTGACCACAGGTACAGCTCACTCGCATGTCCAAGGGCCAAGGCGCAACCGCAACCCGACGTCGTGGACGCTGGAACCATGGCAACTCACACACAGCAGGCAACGTATCCTTCGAAACCCTGCAGCGAGCCTTCGGGCCTGACTCGCTGGGCATCCTGGTCGTCAAGGACGTGCCCCCAGAGTTTCCGCAGCTACGCCGCGTGGCGCTCTCCTACGCCTCGTACCTGGGAAACCTCCCAACCCAAGAACTAGGTACCTTGAGCATCGCGACCAGCCACACGGCACAGCGCCCGCCGCCTGCTTTCAGGGCTCACAATGTCACCGCTGACGAGGGGCAGAGAAACTGGAAAACGCCCAGGCCAAGTACTTGACAGGCTGGTCGCGGGGCAAGGAGACGCTCAAGGACGGCGAGGCCGACACCTTCAAGGGTTCCTACTACGCCAACTGCGCATTCTACGTCGACCCCGCCCTCGAATGCGCCGAGCCGAGTGCCGGGTTCTCGCGAGACACGTTCCCCGAGTACCTGTCGCCCAATGTGTGGCCGGCGGAAGACGTGCTGCCGGGGTTCAAGGCCGCCGTCACGGGGCTGTGCAAGCTCATCATCGACGTGGCTGTGCTGGTCGCCCGAGCGTGCGATCGCTTCGCGGAGCAGCAGATCCAGGGGTACCCGAGGGGCTACCTGGAGCGCGTGGTGAGCACCTCGAGCACCTCCAAGGCGCGACTGCTGCACTACTTCCCGCAGGATGCGCACGACGGCGACGGCACGAGCGACGATGACTGGTGCGCCACGCATCTCGACCACGGGTGCCTGACGGGGCTGACGTCGGCCATGTTCATCGACGAGCGAAAGGTCGGCACTGCCGTCCCCGAGGGCGCTTCGTTGAACGGCGCGTCCTTGCCGCCGCTCGAGGAACTCGCCGCGTCGCCTGATTCCTTGGCTGGATTGTACATCCTGTCTCGCGCGGGAGAGACGTACCACGTCAAGATCCCGCGGGACTGTATTGCCTTCCAGACCGGCGAGGCCCTGGAGCGCATTACGGCGGGCCGGTTCAAGGCCGTGCCGCACTATGTCAGGGGCGTGAGGGCCGCCGTGAGCGGCGGTGCTATTGCGAGGAATACCCTGGCCGTCTTCACGCAGCCGAACCTGGGCGATGAGGTCGATCTTGAATCACACTTGACGTTTGGCCAGTTTGCCAGGGGCGTCGTGGCAAAAAACACCGTGTCATGAGCCACGTGCATACCTGGATACTCGTGAGCGACGTTCCAAGATTGAAAGATTGTCATGTCGTCAACGAGTGTATATATTTTCTCCAAGTCATTTTCCTAGCTGACCCCCGACCTATTTGTAGAATGCCAACGGTAACATTGTCAATACTTTGCACAGCCGCCAGGCCAGAAAGAAAGCAAGTCAAGCAATTCCAGGTTGTCAAGACGCATTCTCACCACTACGTCCCATTACGGCGTATTTCAACGCCCTCTCGGTCACTCTTACTCGTAAAATTAAGCCCAAGCACCCACGAGGCTCATGCCAAAGGCACCAAAGAAGACCAGCAGGCACGCAACCACCCGGTTTTTACCCCGGAGGTGGCGCCAGCTCTCATCGCTCAGAAAGTCTTCCGAAAGCAGCTCGACAAGGGACGCAAAGGTAAGCAGGCCTGCGGAAATGGCATTCATGACACCAACGAGGATGAGGCCGGCTTCAGAGTCGGGGCTGTAGAGCATATGCGTCGCGAGGCCGATGGCCTGACCGATCGGCGTCCTGTGATTTTCTCAGCATACTGCGACGGGGGGAGTGGCAGGACGGTCTACGCACGTGAGGCCGTATGCCAATGCCATAAGCCATGGCTGCCATGTCTTGCCACCCCATCCAATGGCGGAGATTCTCGAACCAAGCGCCAGACCCTCAAAGGTCTCTTGTGCAGCATTAGTATGGGTAATATGAAGCATGTGTTTGTTGGTGTGCAGCTTACGGTGAAAAATGATTGCAATCAGCAAGACGACAAAGTCGTCTCCGATGCTGACGCTTAAAGCCATGCCGATAAAAACGCTGTGGAATAGAATACCCATCTCGAGCAAGATACACTGCAATCGGTCCTTCTTGCGCTTTTGGTCCGGGGTCAAGATATCCTGTTCGGGTTCGCCTTGTTCCGTGACAAGGTGGCAGTCATTGGATGTCGCCTTGGCGATCGTAGGGTCCGCAACCAGCCCCCTTGCCGACACGTCTCCGGCCAGAGGAGCTTGGTTTAGCTGCGAGAGTCCCTGTGCCAGGCTGCTGGATCGGCCCCGAAGAGGTCCCAAATCACGGATAGGATGGCCCTCTGAATCAGTAGCCTCTAGTTCTTCCCGCTCTTTGACCCGGGGTTTCGCAAGAATATCAGCAGGCGGAACGTGTCTCGACGGATGAAACACCATTTCAATTATGGCGACCAGGAAGATTGCAGCGAGAGCAATTGCTCCGGGCATTGCGTTGTATTTTTCCGTCCAGAATTTCCCAAGGCAAGGGTTCCCAAGGGACACAAAGGCTGTGGGGAGCAAGTGCACGAAGGCAGTTGCAATCAGAACTCCAGTTCCGAAGTGGCGCACAGCAAAGAAGAAACGTCGCGGGATCCGCAAACCGGGAAACTTGGCAGCCATTATGGGAAATGCGCATCCTGATGTTGACACGAACCATATGATGAAGAGGGCGGCGACGTGAAGCCCGGTGTTGTACTGGTCCTGGTTGATGCCACCCGGTGCGCAAGAAGACCGCTTCTCAAGGCTATTCATTTCCCGGCTGTCCAGCACTTGAAAAGCATTGGCAATGGTGGAGGAGATGGGTGCTGCGGGATCAGCATTGGGCCAAAGACTCCCATTTCTGGCCCAGTAGGTCGACATTTGAACGCTAGAAATCGTATAAGAGAAGAAGAGAACGGATAGAATCCAGGTCAACCAGCTCCAGAGGCGCCCCAGGCACCGCAAAGAGTGAACCCGGACAAGGCGGTTCTGGCCACCGCAGCCAGGGACCGCCTTGGAGTGCAAGAGCGATGCTGGAACGACCGAATCAGCATTGGCATAGCGACATTTACAGAGAAGAACACAAAGAAGCCGTTCACTGCGTACCACCAACGCATCGTCTTGCATGCGCCGTCTGCATCAGAAGCTGCGGCTCCGCCTGGCGGCGCAATTTGTCGTTGAAGGCGGCTTCCCCAAGCATCCCACCGGTTCCCGCTCCAGACGCATCGTCTTGGCTGGCTGCAACATACTCGCGCAGATTTGATATACCGTTCAGGTCCTGGCGAGTGGTTTGGTTTGCGGCCAGGGCGGGCGGGCTCTGATTGTAGGTGAGGTGGCGAAGGCTGCCCTCGTCAGCCTTGTCAAGACAGATCATTCTGGACGAGCACCAAGACTTTTTCGTTTGACAGTTGCCTTGGTCGTTGAGAGGGACCTTGCGGAATTAATGGAAAGGAGAAAGACCGCATCAGCTGGAGACAAGAACCTCGACGTCCATGCCAAGCCTCCAGATGTCGTTTTAGACCCCCACAGCGTCCGTGTGGCCCATGCGAATTGCGAATCGAAGCTGACAATAGCGGATTCGAGGTGGAGTGGGGGCCCGACGGTCAGGGCGCAGCACAAATATATCAATTGGCTTGCGGAAAGTCGCCGGTACGAACCACTTCAAGACAAGTGGCGCCAAACGTACGGAGTTTACATTTTAGATTGGGTAAATACGAGGAGCTGGAGTTGACAAGTGACAAATGCCGTGTAAAGGTTCCGGAAGGTGCAACCGCGCGTGCCAGCTGTTCGTTCAGCTGCCAGGCAACCCCCGCCGCCTGGCAGCTGCAGCCCAATGAAAGCCAAATAGCTCCTTCCGTAAATTCTCGAGTTGTAGGGATCGCCCTCGCTGTTCATAAATTATGGCTTTGCCAGCTTCACGACATTTGAATCATCGTGCAGTCCATAGCATAGCCATGACCCTCCCATTCCACAACGACGCATCGTGTTATCGCATATGCATGGCGCTCACCTCTGGTGTCCTTTCGAGCACCAAGTCGCCTCATCTGCCTTGGTCTCGAGGTTTGCGATTCACAAGGCCCTCCCTCGCCCAGGTTTTTCTTTCACGATTTATTCGTATACTGAAGTAGGTTCAACCCCCGACTTTGCAAAAGTTGGAAGCGGTCATGGTGCGAGGCATGCCGTTGAAATAAAAGACGTCTTCATAAGCGGAAAGCCGGGCCGGGCTCACATCCGATCCCGTCATACCCGCGTTTTCCATCAACCCCTCACTGCAAAACTCGTCCATCATCTTCTCACTAATCCTATTACTCTTGCAGTTTTAGCTTTGTTTCCGGTCAGCCGTTCGTGGCTCCACCCCAACTAACTAGCATCGCCGTCGTCCAGTTCAAGTAGCTTATCCATCAGACGACCTTGGACGAACGTTTTCAACGGGCCTTGGAAGAATGGCATGTCCGGCTCGAACATACCCCCTCCGCCAACCACCGAACCACAAGCCTCCCATCCCCAGGTGGCAACTAGTTTTGAGGGATAATGTCAGTCGCGTCTTCACGGCGTACATCGGCGTACAGCCCCTCGGCGGCACCAAGGTAGCGGTAGACAAGGCGGCAAAATGCATACAAGCATGGTTAGATAGGCCGGAAGCATCCAAGCCGCAGGCCTTTGAGAGCTTCAAAGTTATAAATGGAGATGACACTCAAGATGCCAAAGTGTGGGCCTGCTACTGGGACAGTGAGGCCCATGGAAAAGACGGCTTACAGCAACTCAACCTGCCATCCATCTACTCAGCACTGTCCGCAATTGAGCAATCGACCATCGGGCTTTGGAGCGAAAGCTTCTCAACCCCAGTTTCCCGACTAGAGACGAACTACACCGGGCTGGACTACTTGCCTGGTATGGCCAAGCTACCTGGCACTACCACCGCGCAACATGAGAGGACAGCATACTGGGGTGCAGCGCGAGACCGCATTCCCAACTCTGCTCACGATCTCTTCAAGAAAGTAGACGCGGTTGATTCCAAGTCCGGATTTTTTCAGGATCCTGCTGGCAAACACCTCGTCGGTACCAGCTACGACAACATGGTCCACATTCGCTCCGGACAATATTGGGAAAGCTGCGGTCCCGGAGAAACCGCCTCGTACGAAGATCATCTCGAGCCAGCGTTGGAGAGTGGACTCGAATATCTATGGGAAAATCGCGATATCAGCGGAGCCATGGGACTGCGCTACCTCCGCAACACGGATGGGTCAGATAGGGTGCTGAAGGAAACTTGCGGCGCCGGCTTCTTTTGTAATCTGCAGCATTTGGAGGACTGGGCCAGGAGCCACCCGTCTCATCTGGCTATCTACACCGGGGCCATTAGACATGCCAAAAAGTTTGGACGTGAGCGCAAGTTTAGAACCTGGCATGAGGTATCGATTCTGAAGGAAGGTGAGGCGAGTTTTGAGTACGTGAATTGTTTGCCCGAGACGGGCGTTATTCCCTTTTTGCAGTTGGAGGAAGTGCCACTACATGCCGGCAAATGATGGAGTGGAAATGCCACGGGTAATTATGAGACCTTTGATACACCACGAGTTTCGCAACTGCGTCTGTTCCCGAAACACGTCCGGACTCCGGACTAGTCTCTCTCTGAGTCTCAGCCAAGTGGCGCTAGCGAGCCACGAGAACATTTTGTTCCAGTCCAATTCCCCGCAGAGGCCATGACTCTAACATCTTCAACGACATTGGCAGGCCGCAGCTGGGAACACCATTGTACAAGCCTCCTGCTCCCACTCCCACAGTCATTGCCCATATGCCGCGGAAGAGAGATTCGAAGAAGCAACCAGCTCGGCGAAGCCACCACGGCTGTCAGCGATGCCGGAAGCACAAGGTCCGATGTGACCAAGTCAAACCAAAATGCGGACCATGCCGGTCTCGGGGCTACTCAGACTGTGTATTCGCCATGAACCTGAAGTGGGAAGCAGACTCCAGGAACAAAGGACGGGCTTTCGGCAGAGCTGGCGTCTGGTCCAAGCCGAAACAGCCCATGACGATTCTCTACCCGCGCCGAGGACCCATGCGTCTGGCTTCTTGAATACGTCAATCGGAGACTTTGAAGATGGACATGCACGACCTTGTTCGGCAACAGCCTCAAGATGCAGAAACACGCAGAATCTCAGCTGGAGCGGTCTGATGCGCTCACACGGCCGATTGCCCCGAGCCTCGCCGATCCGTTTGCGACACGTGTACATGCACACCGAATGGATCCTCATCTCGTGTCATAGTTACTACATAGTTACACCGTGTGTGTCCTCTCACGGTCCCCTGCGCCAGCTACCTCGGGGGCTCCCCGTTCTCGGCCCTGCTGGTTCCGTTTGCGCTCTCGTCGTCGTCGTCGGTCATCTGGGACGCGCTGCTCGGCCTGGCCGCCTCTCACAGATCCCGCGCCGACGCTCCCTGCCAATCCGTGGCAATGTCCCATTACAGCAGAACAATCAACTACCTGTGCACGTGTAGGCCACCCCAGCACCGAGAGACCTCGTCGCAAACCCAGAGACGTTGGTTCTCGTAATGCTGCTCTGCCAGCGTGAACTCACGAGAGACGACGGGAGAAGCTGGACTGTTCACCTCCGCGGCGCCCGGAACTTGATACGGTACCAGCTGGGCTTACTTTGTGGCACCGCTGTGTCGCGACTTGAGTCTGGTTTCGTAGTCGAACACGTCACGCGTCACGGGTTGCTCGGCGGCGACAAGAGTCGACCGTCTGCATCATCGGCGCTGGAGGACGGACGCGGTTCCCCGACCTTTGCCAACGTTTCCACGCCCAAGGCGACTGACGCCGTCTGCACCTGGAGCACGTCGACAGGAGCGGGTATCAGGCCCGACGGGAAAGACGAAGAGCACAGCGCGCAAGTCATGGAGCAGAGTGGACGAGAGACTGCGAAAATACACGATACTGGCGAGTCTGCCGTCATTTCAGGAGTCGGGCGACTGTGGTCCATAATCTTGGTCTTGATGCGCCCACGGCATCAACATGTCCAGTGGCAACCGAACGGAAACTTGTCTACTAGCGCCGCTAGACGCGGTTGACAGAAACGACTTGGTTGATTCACTACATACAGTCTGTGGCAGAGCATATCCGCCCGCCAACAAAGGGATAAACCCATACTGACATACCTCAATGCGTTGTAGCACAGCACGCGGCAGCCCACTTCCTGCACTGGCCAAGTACCTTTTGCCTCCCACGGTATTGCCTGTATGTGCATGTCATGTCTACGGATCCGACCCTTCAACCGTCTTCCACGGCATACATGCGTGAGCTCCTGCAAGAAGCACCACGTCCCCCTCTCTGCAAAGCCCTCCTGCCTGGCCGAGAGCCAACTTGTGGAACACAGGTCGCCTTTCTTGGAGCGCTAGATGGGCAGAGGATAGCCCATCTCTTCTGGGGTGATTGGCAGTAAAGGAGGCTGCCGCTCCCTAATGTCGGGTACGGACCGATGCGACGCGTCGAGGCAGCCTGCACGTGAGGAGCACTCGCCGCACATGAGAAAGTTGCCTCCGCAGCACGAGCTGCATCTCGTTACAGCACTTATGCGCACTCGACTGGCGCAGACGTCACAGTGGCGCAAAATTGGCGCGCCAGACACCCTCTTCCCGGCCAACACGTATTCGTGATCGGCAGGGACGAATTCCAGGGCACCCACGGGGGGTTCCGAGGGGTCTCGGTTGGTAGCAAATCGCTCCAGCAAACGGGAGACGTATGGCTGGTCCGATAGTTGAGCGCATTCAAAGAGGGTGCGGCTTGCGTAGACCTCGTCCGTAGTATCAATCAATCCCGGGTCAGCACGGAGGAGGGCTTCGACTACCTTGACATGTCCAAGTCTAACCGCAGCAGAAATGGGCGTTGCGCCCGAGTAGCTGCCGATGCGAGGGTTTGCGCCGCGAGACAGCAACCTCTGGACAAGCTCGTCATCCCCCTCTCTGGCAGCGACGAACAGCGCCGTCCTGCCAGTCAGGTCTTGAGCATCGACCTTGTTCTCCGGGAACCGCAGAAGCTCCTCTGCGATGATTGTACCTCCAGTCGCGCAGGCTAGGTGCAGAGCAGTGACTTTGACGTGCTGGCTCTCCAGCGTGATGTTGGCGCCGTACTTGATGAGCGCCACGGCTATCTCTCCAAGGCCGCGTAGAGCCGCAATATGCAGTGGTGACATTCCTTTGCTTCCCAACCTATTGACGTCTGCTCCATGTCGCAGAAGCACATCCGCCCCTTTTCTACTTTCCGCCTGGACAGCAGCATGTAACGGCGAATCGCCGACATGATTGCGCTGGTTGACATCCCCGCTGCTAACGATGAGGGCTTCGAGGATAGCCACCCTACTTTCGAGAAGAAGGGGAGCGCACAGGCGCTCTATTTGTGCGGCCGCGTGCAAAGGATATCCGGTGGGATCTGAACCAGAGGCTATGACGCCTATACCTGCCTCGAGGTGCAATTTGACGATTTCTTCGGTCCCAGCACCTATCGCTTCAAGCAGGGTCTCCATGTTGGCACCATGATTCGTTGTTTCTCGCATGAGCAAGCAGGCAGTATCTTGACAGGACGCCCGGATCGCAAGTAGGAGGGGAGTCGAACCATCGAGTGTTGGGATAGAAGCATCTGCGCCATACTTCAGCAACGCTTTCATAAACCCGCTGCAGGGTCTCTCGGCTGCATAGTGTATTGTCAAACGACCCGGAGCATCGACAATAATAGGCCTGTCAGGATTGGCGCCACGCTCCAGCAGCATCTCAAATATTTCCAGAGAGGGATAAGACACTGCGATTCCCAAAGCACCGTCCAGCACTGGCCTGGGCGCGGGAGGGCTGGCGCTTTCCACGCCATTGTCCAGCATTAGTTCTGCACATGGCTTGTCAGCGTGGGCGATGGCCCTGAAGAGGCACAGGCGGAGACTTCTGATGCCTATCGAGGAGCGGAACTTATTCAGCAAGTGGCGCAAAAAATCAGTTTGGGGTCTCCCGGAAGCTGCGACGACTAGTGCATTCAACTCGGTAGTGGTGAATGGGGGCGTCTCGCGACTTTCAGCGACAAAGTCCAAGACGTTGGTCTTGCCAGACCTAGCAGCCTCCAGAGCTACCTCAAAATTTTTCACATCAACGCCACTATCGGCTGCTCTTTTGAGAATGTCAACTCGTCCTCGCGCTGCTGCCTTGTGTATGATGCCGCCGCTTTTTGGGTGTTGTCGTGCGTTTCGTCGGTAGTAACAGGGAGTGGCAATTTGACTGAACAAGCGATTTGTCAGGGCAAGGCGAATTATATCGTTCTCGGACTGGACATAATCGAGGATCAGGCAGCAGATTTCGGTTGGAAGCCTAGTGATGGACATGGTCGTGACGGCCGGATCGAAAAAAGGGAGGGAGGGAACCTTGCCGGCGGTGTTCTGGAAGACTTTGGCGAGAATCAAAACGACGCTTCGCTGCCGGCATCGCCATGTATTTGTAGGGCGGAGAGTTTCACAGTCCATGCCGACTTTGGCACGGGTCGTGGCCTTGAGTCCGTTTGCTGTTGCCTGCGAGGGAGCATCATTCTGAATGGGCAGCGCCACATGGTGTGTTTGAAATTTGGAGTGACTTGCGCGTACTCCTTGTCCGGGAGGCGTCGACTTTTTGCTAGGCCGGCGTTGACGTTTTGCTCGGAAGACGTCCACTTTTTTTGCTTGGGAAGCGTTGGCCTCTTTGTTCGAGAGACGTCGACTTTTTGCTCAGGAAGTATTAACCTCTGTGTTTAGGAGGTGTCGACGTTTTGCTTGGGAAGCGTCGACCTCGTTTAATTGGGAAGAAGCATTGACCTCTTTGTTTGAAAGGCGTTGATGTTTGGCTCGGGACGTGCTGACCTCTTTGTTCGAGAGACGTCGACTTTTTGCTCAGGAAGTATTGACCTCTGTGTTTAGGAGGCGTCGACGTTTTGCTTGGGAAGCGTCGACCTCGTTAAATTGGGAAGAAGCATTGACCTCTTTGTTTGAAGGGCGTTGATGTTTGGCTCGGGACGTGTTGACCTCTTTGTTCGAGAGCCGTCAGCTTCGTTGTTCGGAAGGCGGTACGTACGAACGTGATGCCTCTGTCCAGGCTAATGTGCTAGCTTTTCTGCCATCCTAAACTCCAACTAGTTCACGCACGGGGAACCCAAGTCCTTGGGCCTCCAAGGCGACTAGTACGCGGAAGGATAATGTCTCTGCCGTCCGACTCGCGCATGACAGAGAAATCGGTGGCTGCCAGGTAACCCCCCGATGCAGAAGGTCGCAATACCAATCATGGCCTGCAATGTATCAACGTCAGCTGAGGTTTATCGAGAGCGTGGTAGGGTCGAGTGTAACCCACCACTCGGGCTTGGTGATGGAAACAGGAAGGTCGACAACGCAGCATTTTCCACTCTCCATCGCTGGGTGATGGCAGGCGACCAGTGTTGTTCGTTCGAAACGCAGATCCTGTTACGGCGCTGACGACGAAAAAGTACCCTCTTCAACCATGGCCGTGTCCGCTCGGTTTATAAGTGCGGCGGCGTGCTGCTTTGGCGCAGCTCGACTCGACCATCTCCCATGGTCTGCTCTGAAACCGAGGCCGTTTTTCCAGGAGTCATGCGCGTCTCCGTACTGTTTAGCCTACTTTCCGTGGCGACGCCGGCCCTCGGTGTCGGGCGGCACAAGCTGGCACCGTTGTTTGCATCGAGAAACAGTGTTCCTGATGGCTATATTGTCAAGTTCAAAGACGGCATTTCCTCCAAGGGCCTGGACGAACCCTTGGCTTCATTTGTCAACAACAGCCGTCATGTCTACGAAGCTGCGTTCAGAGGCTTCGCAGCAACGCTTGATGCCGGCTCGATCCACACCCTGAGACGCCATCCCGATGTACGTCTGTGTCCGCTCACGAGCCTCGGGACGCCAGGTTCTCATTCTCACCGCTCTACAGGTCGAGTTCATCGAAGAAGATGCCGTATTCGCAATAAGCGGGTTCGTCGAGCAAAAGGAGGCGCCTTGGAATCTGGCCCGCGTCTCACACCGCAGGCGAGGAGGCTCGACCGGGTACGTATACGACGATAGCGCGGGCGAGGGAACGTGCTCATACATTATCGACACTGGCATCGAAGCCTCACACCCTGTAAGCATACATACCGTCTCCCTCCCCCACTCTGCACCATGTCGTGCTAAGGGGGCAGCAATTCGGGGGCCGAGCCCAAAACATCAAGACCTTTGTCAACCAGACTGTCGACGGGCACGGCCACGGCACCCACCTCGCCGGTATCGTAGGCAGCGTCGCGTACGGCGTGGCCAAGAAGACGAAGCTCCTCGGCGTCAAGTGTCTCGACGACCAAGGCTCGGGCACCACATCCGACGTCGTGGCGGCCATGGATTTTGTCGCCAAAGACGCCAAGACTCGCGGGTGCTCCAAGGGAGTCATGGCCAACATGAGCTTGGGAGGGGGATACTCTGCAGCCGTGAATAGCGCCGCCGCCGCTCTTGTTGCCTCTGGCGTGTTTGTCTCGGCAGCAGCCGGTGGTTCAAATACGGATGCGAAGCAGACATCGCCCGCGTCGGAGCCGACCGTGTGCACAGTGGGCGCCAGTACGGCCGGGGATGAGCGTGCAAGCTACTCCAACTACGGAGCGGTTGTTGACATCTTTGCGCCGGGATCGAATATCTTGTCCACGTGGCTGGAGGGCACGACGGTAGGTCGGAGCCATGACGTCTCGAATCCGGGCCGTGCTTGGTCGTCGGCTGACGCGGGCAACGCAGAACACCCTCTCCGGATCGTCCGTGTCCGCTGCCCACATTACGGGACTGGGGGCATATATCGCGGCGCTTGAGGGTTCCCCTGGCGGCGAGACGCTGTGCAGGAGACTGCAGCAACTTGCTACCAAGCACGTCCTGACGAGGGTGCCGCCCGGGACGCCGAATCTCCTGGCTTTTGACGGGAATCCCTTCGAGTCGGGACTTGGGGGCATCGAGCCAACTCACTAGTAGTCTGTTGGCAAGTCGATTGACGTGACCAAATGGCGGTCGATGGTCGATGGTCGATGGATCGAGGCTGATCGGACACGACGTCACGTCCTCGGCTGTTGGCTCTTGATTTGCCCCGCGTCGCGTCTGCACCCGCACGCGCACCTGCACCTGCACCTGCACCTGCACAAGTCCCGACTCCAAAAGTCCCTCTTCTGCTCTCCTGCGTCCTTCATCAAAACCCCCCCCCAACACAAATACAAATCCCATCCAATCTTCCTCACTGCGCTCTCGTCTCATCACCCAACCGCCCTCTCCGCACGCTCCAGCAAACACCATGGCCGTGCCCCCCAAGTTCGCAGGCCACAAGCTCGGATTCGCGCCGCCGACCCCGTCAACCCCGTCGGCCCCCCATTCCACGCACACCTTGGAGCTCTACGTCGACTACTGCTGCCCCTTCTCGGCCAAGCTCTTCCGCACCATGTACAACCAAGTCATACCCGCCATTCGCGACAACGAGTCCTGGGCTTCCAGCCTCGCCCTCATCTTCCGCCAACAAGTCCAGCCGTGGCACCCGTCATCGACGCTGATGCACGAAGCGGCCCTCGCCGTGTTGCGCCTCGCCCCCGACAAATTCTGGGGCTTTAGCAGCCAGCTCTTTGAGGAGCAGACCGCCTTTTTCGACGTCAGTGTCGTCAACGAGACTAGAAACGCCACGTACAAGCGTTTGGCAAAGATTGCCGCCAAAGTCGGCGTCGACGAGACGCGAGTCTACGAGCTGCTCGAGGTCGCCGACAAGCCCGGCCAAGATGGATCCCTCAATGGTGGGAACCAGGTCACCAACGACTTGAAACTTGTCACCAAGATGAATAGGTTGATTGGAGTCCACGTCACCCCGACTGTGGTCTTTGACGGCCTTGTCCAGGATACGAGCTCTGGGTGGACAGTGAATCAGTGGAAAGAGTGGCTGGCCAAGAATCTTGCTTGAGAGACTTGCTGTCGCGAATTGCGTGTCCCGTCGGGCCTCGGAATCAAACATGACAAGGACTCGGGGGTTAACTTCTCAAACGGCAAATCCGATAAACAAAATATAATTTGTCGTACAGCTGCTTGCTTCACTTGACCCCTTCGCTTGCTTTGTGCAAAAGAGGTCGTCAAGCCTCGTGTTTTTTTCGTTTGTGAGGCCAAGGCTTGTCTCATCAGAAGAGCTGAAGCCCGAGTGGCCATCCATCGTGGCATCGCCCAACATGTTCGGACTGTCCGTCACCAGGTGCCGGAGCCCGAGTCAAAAAGCCGGTTCTCGAGTCGACTTTACATGACGGGCATGTCGCGGTCCAACAGCAACGGCAAGAAGATACTCGAGCTGTTTAGTTTTGGCGTCGCGGCGACAAGATGACGGAAATAACAGGAGTTTGCTCCCGGCGCGCCACGTTGAGCCCGAGGAGCCAATAGCTGGGGATACTCGCCAGGTCCTCGTTGGAATACAAGTCCATAGGCAAACACATTTCTTCCTCTGCCCCCGTCGGTCATGTACACTCCCACGGGCGTCACCTTGGGCTCATGCTCGCGGTAGTACCGTGCATGTGTCGAGGGTGTTGCTGAAACGCAACCCCACAAATGCCAGCGTCGTGCGACGTCGTCGTCTACGAGGCAGCACGCGGGATGGAACGGCATGACCACAGGTGGGTGGATTGCTTCCGCCGGACTCAAAACGTAGTCGGTGACAACTTGGCGAGTCGAGAGTAGCAATGCCGGGCGGAGTCTTGTCGTCAAGCACGGAGCGTTCGTCACGGACTAGCCCGATTGGGCAATCGCGGGCGCCAGCCGCAGACGGCATACCGGTGGTATGCCGGACCCTCGGAGTCTCGGACCGTTGATGGTCGAACAGGAGTCAGGAGTCGGGAGTCGGGAGTCGGGACCCTGCAACAACAAACTGCACCTCCTCCTGTGGCAGCCATGAAACCCCGCGCTCCTGTCGACTCACCGCAGTCACGGAGTCTGCACGGCATCGCAAACGGAAGCAAAAACCGCAAACAGTGAAGCCACAACAAAAGGCTAGCGCCAGAAGCCAGGCTAAATCTACCAGGATTAGCTAGCTGAAGGCAATGCGGGTTGGATTCATCTATAAAAAAAACCATCCATGGCCCCAAGCTGGATGGGAGCAAGAACAAGCCTCTTGTCACGGACTGGTCTTGCAGGCGTCTGCGTGTAAGTAAGCGTCACGACCATCAACCACGATTGCAAGGGGAAAAGAGGAGAGAAAAGATTCCTCTACTCCCACTTGTGTGCAGCTACATTATACACCCTCTGTCCCTGACGTGCATCTGGAGAGTATCTGACGAGACGCCGCCACCGAGTCTTGTACAGACCGCAGCTTGCTAGCTCGAGTCCGTCAGACGTCCACGCACGTATGCCCATCTACATGGTCGCTCTCCCGTTAGCTTCGCATTCACCCTCGGCAGCGACCATGAGCGTGCGGGCGATGAAGGTCATGCTGCTCCTCTCGTCAGCAGCAGCAGCATCAGCAGCCTCAGTCTGCCATGCGCACGTCCAACTGGTAAAGGAACCCCTGGGCCCGGCTGCCCAGACGCGTCTGCATCCGCTGGCGCTCGCCCCCTTTGCCTTTGCACCGCTCGACGACGGCATCGGCACCAACAAGGCCAACGACAGCGACGGCTTCTCCGTGTACCACTCGCGCGACTTTGCCAGGGGCCGGGGCATCTCGGTCGTGGCGACGGCCTCGCGGGCGCAGGGGCTGGAGAGGGCCAGGCCGCCCGATGACGCCAACGACTTCTCGTCGCCGCCGTACGAGGAGCGCGCCATCCCCGGCAAGGGCCGCGGGCTCGTGGCCACCAGGATGCTGCACCGGGGCGACAGGATCTTTGCCGACACGCCCGTCCTCCTCGTCGACGCCGAGGCCTACCGCTCGCGAGACGCGCGCTGGGTCGCGCTGCCGCACCTCGCCGTCGACAGGCTGCCCGGGTCGACGCAGGACCTCTTCTGGGACATGCACGCGCGGCCTGGGGGCGAGGATGCCGTCACGGGCCGCATCGACCCCAACTCGTTTGAGGTCGAGATTGACGACGGCCTCTACTACGCCGTGTTTCCCGAGATTGCAGTCAGTGTGCCAGACTCCTCCTCTCCCCCCCCTTCACCCCCTTCGCCCCCTTCACCAGCTTCAACTTCTGACGGTCGGGTGTGGATTCGCCAGCGCATCAACCACGACTGCCGGCCCAATGCGATCTACTACTTTGACGCGGAGACGCTCACGCAGCGCGTCCACGCCGTGACAGACATTGCGCCCGGGACCGAGCTCTCCGTCACGTACATTGCGCCGGTGGAAAGGGGCGCCGAGCGGGCGGCGCAGCTCCTCCGCTCGTGGGGCTTCAACTGCTCGTGCAGCGCGTGCCGGCAGCCGAGCGAGTTGGCGCACATGTCGGACAAGCGCATCGCCGCCATTGACGGGCTCGTGGAGCGGCTGCGCGCCGCCGCCGCCGACGACGACGACGACGACGACGAGGGCTGGGCGTCGGCGGCGGCGCCGCAGATGGCCGAGGCCCTCGTCAGCCTGTACCGCCAGGAGAGGCTGCACGGCGACATGCACGAGGGCCTGCAGCTCGCCGCCCTCGCGCACTGCGCCGCCGGCAACTACTGGGACACGGTCAAGTACGCGCACCTCGCTGGCGAGCGTGGCGCCCTGTTTGACGGGCCGAGCCGGGACGACTTGGCGAGGCTGGCGAGGCTGGCCGAGAGGCCCGACGGCGAGGACTGCTGGATGAGACGGAGACGGGCGAGGACGCGGACGAGTGCGTAGTGGGCGGTTGTGCGCGTGATGAGGGGATTTTCTTGGGGCTAGGGTTTCTTTGTTTTTACTTTTTTTTTTCCCTTTTTTAATGCAGCGCATAACTTGGCACGGAAGTGAAAACAATAAGAACACAACATTGTGCGTCACTCGCCGCCTCCTCTCTTGACAGCTGCACCAGCTGTGCCGTGTTCGCCCCCTCTCGCTGGCCGATACTAGTGGTGGCTCGGTACCTATCTGGGTTGAGCACTGGAGTACTTGGCAGTATCTCGGTACTCGCCGCCGGAGCCCAAGTACCTACAGAGTACTCCGTACGGTGCCTGTTCGGGTAGATGCCTGCTCGCCCCGCCCCGCCAATGCCCAGCCGTCCCATACCCGCGCCCATGTCCATGTCCGGAATACAAAATGGCAAATTGACTCCTCCGCACCTCGTCGTCTCCAAGACCACGACCTCCATGCTTGCTTGCTTTGTCCCGAACCAAAAGCCATCACAAGACAACCACGCTCAACCACGACCGCGTGGCGCTCTAGAGTCCAGGCACGACGGTGACAAGTCGCAACACCATGGCCCCCGCCACCACCGGATATCCCGAGCCGACCCTCTGGCAAAAGCTCGACGTGCTCCCGGCCCTCGGATCCCTTCTCGCCTCCGCCGCGTCGGCGCTGCTGACGGGATGGCGACGCGGGCCCGACGCTGAGCCCTCGCTGTATCTGCACGTCGTGTACGCGGCCGTGCGGAAGCTGGTCGTCCGGCTGTCCACGCCTCAGCAGCAGTATGTGCTCCGTGTGCCCGGCTCCAGACCCCCAGCCTCCGGCCTCTCGTCTAACCAACCACCGCCGGCAGATGGGTGTTTCCACCCACAGACACGGTGTACAGGCAGCAGGCCAAGGCCTTCAACCTGCCCCAGCGCACCGTCGAGCTGGACCACGGCGCCAAGGGCCACTGGATTGGAGACGCGGGCGCCAAACACGTCCTCGTCTGGTATCACGGTGAGCCAGCCGCCAGCCCGCCCTCGCCCCAGATACTCGGCACACAGACAGACGGCTGACCCCCGTGCCCGTCCCCCCAAGGCGGCGGCTTCAACCTGCCCGCCCTCAGCGGCCACCTCGCCTACTTCATCAAGCTCGTCCAGGCCCGCCCCGGCAACGACCTGGCCGTCTTCTTCCTCACGTACACCCTCGCCCCGACGGCCACGTACCCCACGCAGCTGCGGCAGGCCGTCCAAGCCCTGCGGCACGTCGTCCACGAGACGCGCCGCCGCCCCGCCCACGTCGTGCTCGGCGGCGACTCGGCCGGCGGCAACCTCGTCTGCGCCGTGCTGTCCCACCTGGCCCACCGCCACGACGACGTCGACGAGCTGCCGCTCAGCGAGCCCCTCGGCGCCGCCGTCATGATGGCCCCCTGGACCGCCCTGCGCCGCGGCGCCGTCCAGCTGAGCCCCCGCGGCGGCGCCGACATCCTCGACCCCCCGGCCCTCGAGTACTGGGCCGCCAACTACACGGGCTCCCGGGCCCCCGACTACTACACCGACCCGTCGACCGCCCCGCCAGACTGGTTCCGCGGCCTGCCCGTGCGGAGCGTCCTCGTCCTGGCGGGCCAGAACGAGATTCTCCTGCCCACCATCGACGCCTTTGTCAAGACCCTCGAGGTGCGTCTCTCCCGGCAGAGTGGTTGGAGTGCAAGCCCAGCTCGCTGGCCTTGGGCAATCCCACAAACACACAAACACCACGAGTGCTAACCTGGATCAACGCAGGCCGGCTACGGCCCCGTCGAGTTCTACGTCGCCGAGAGGGAGGCGCACATCGCGCCCTTTGTGAACCTCACCTTTTACCACGGCGCCCCGACCGGCCAGGGCACCAAGTTGCAGTCTTGGCTGGACGAGCGCGTGGCCTCGGGCAACGACACTCCCCATTTGTGATTTGTGATGGTCGGCCCGCCGGCGCCGGAGCAGGGCACGAGCAGGAACCCCACCCCATCGACAGAAGGACAGATTCAGCTCGTGTCAATATCAAATACGTTACTCAAGTAACTACATGTGCTGTGACCCTGCCTTTGCTTGCGGCTTCCAGAATGACCTGCAGCCCCCCCCCAAAACACCAGTAGCGTTCCTGCCAAGTTTGGCGTTTGCTCCTCCCCGCACGCTAATAAAGCGGCCCGTGGAAGTGGGGTCATCGCCCGGCTCAAGTGGGGCGCGCTAAAGGCCCGACCGCGCGCACGACGCACCGTTGCCGCTCCGCACACTTACTCCGTACACATGACATGTACATAGGCCGTCCGTCCGAGGTATCAAGCTTTGAGAGTGCTTCCACACATTCTCTGCCAGGTGACGAATTAGAACTCACTGTTTTTTAGGGGGGGCCAAATCAGTCCAGTCAGTTGTAACTCAGGCAGTCCTTGGCTCGTCACGCACGTACGTCCACCACCTTGCAGCCTCAGCGCAGGCCATCGTAAACGCCGTCGGAAGATACTGTGCGCAAGTGTTGGCGCCTCCCTCGAGTCGGTCCCGGGGCGAAGCGGCAACGTACCTCGGAATCGTGGTCGGCCAGGGACGTGAACGCCTTGTGCCTGTCCATCTTCAACCGCGTCACCCGCGGGCCCTTGATGCCGAGCGCAATCCTGGCCAGAAACCTCGGGTCGTCGCGCACGTCGCACGCATCGAGCACTCGCTTGATGCCCACCGTGTCCCGCCTTCTCGGCCGCCTGCTGCTGGAGAGTGACGTAGACGGGTGGGGGTACTTGTCATGTTTGGTCTTGGTCGCCCGGGCGTAAAGGTTGAGATTTGGCCGGCATGAAGACGTGCGAAACACGCCTTCTGGCTGGACCTTGAAGGCGCTGCAGATGTCCTCGGCGACCTCTTGGGTCGCCGTCGCCGTGAGACAGACGGCGCGCTCGGCCTTGATTCCTCGGCGAAGCGGCCGACCTTGAGATACTCGGGCCTGAACGGATGGCTCCATTCGGAAATGCAATGGGCCTCGTCGACAGCCAGGAGGCGGACACCGCCACGGACGTTGCGCATCGTTTCGACAAAGCCTTCGTTGTTCAGCCGTTCCGGAGCGCAGCACAGGATGCGAAGCTTGCCATGTCGCAGTGCCGCAGGAATCTGCTGCAGCTGTTCCCACGATTTTGACGAGTCAGTGCAGTCGGCGGGCAGACCGCGTCGTTTTAACGAATCCACTTGGTCCTTGATCAAGGCGATGAGCGGTGAGACGACAATGATGATGCCATGCTCGCCTGGCGCTTTTGATCTCTGCCTGCAGTCAAGCTGCTCCAAGGCGACGGCGGTATCTATAAGGTGTGAGGGCCTAGGACTCGCGGATCGGGCGACGACCTTAAGCGGCAAAACTGATAGCAAAGGGACTTTCCAGCACCAGTGGCAAAGATGGCTAGAACGTTTTCGCCGGCGAGGATGCGTCGGATTGCGCCCTCTTGCTCGTGACGAAGCCCCTTATGCCCAAACGTCTCCGTCAGCAGGTCCTGGGCCACTTGCATCGGAGCCGAGCTGTCGGCAAACTCTTGTTTACTAGAGACATTGTCAGGAATGGCACCGAGGACGGCCACGATATCTTCCTCCTCGTCGAGAACTAGGGTATCGTTGCTGTGGTACCGTTGTCTTTTCGGCCAGTTGCTACCATTCTTGATCTCAGTTTCACGCTTCCTCCTTTTCGAAGGAGGACTGACGTGGTTGGAGGTTAGCTGCTCGATGTCTTCATCATCCAACAAGTCGTCATACGATAACCTACTTCAGAGGTACTATACATAACTAGAGTAGCTATGCAGGTACTTAGATCAGATACCTAGATCAGGTACCTGTACCTAGATCTGGCAGTCGACACGTCTGGTGCAACGTTGACCTCTTGTTTTCGGCCCTCACGTGGATGTACTTGCCTGTAGAGTCTGACGACACGGCTCTGGCTGAGGCCTGAGGCTGCTGAAAGGACATGTTGATCACTTGAGCAATCCGCTGTCATTACCGCTACAAGCCCACGTTTGTGATATTCAACGCCCCTTCGTCCTTGCTGCTCATGTCGACCTACTGCCACTCGAACCTGGTCCTGCGCCAGCGTATCTGGAATCAACAAACAGAGCCCAAGAACCAGTGCCTCGCGAGTACCACCGTCCCTTTCTCCCTCGTCCCTGTTTCGACCGCCGCCGAGAGAATCACACGGCGGCGGCGACACCGACCAACTCGAGCCCAAAGAAATGTCGTCTGCTATACGTGAGCGGGAGTGGCGGCAGCAGGCGGGTGCATCCGTCTGCATGGCGCCTGGACCTGGAACAGTGAATTAAAAGTCACGTTTGGCCTGCCGTGTCGTGACAAATCTGTCAGCGCCCTATGTCCACCATGTCCAAGTCGTTGTAGTACAGCCAACAAGGGTCAGCCCGTTTCTGCCGTCGTTGAAACGTATACTCGAAGCGGCGGCCTTGGCCATGGTAGCGTCATAATGGTTTCCCTCCCTCGAGAGCCCTGACGTGGACGGCCCATGGGACGCGTGGCAGGCCTGCAATCAATATAAACTCAGTCAAGCTCCATTCAACCGCATGTGCCAGGTAGCTCTCGCCAGACTCAGTCGCTGGTAGCCAGTACAGGTGAATTGCCCAGAAGCCTTTACCAGCTACTTGACGCCAATGACGGAGAGCTGTCGCCTTTTTTTCTTCCTGCAGATACGTCCCATCTCGATCCCGCTTTTCCGACACGTGTACCGGCAAGCATCTCAAGATCCAGACCGTCACTCATATTCTCTGTGGCAGATGATACTCCATGAGCGCTTTCAAAATCCAGGAATCCACTCTGTAGTATGCGACATATCACCGCCCGATGTACCAGCACGCGACACCATCGTCGTGGGCCGATTCGATGCATTCAGAAACACAACAACCCCGATGCTGTGGGTAGAATGCATGGTTCGGGGTGGTACCGTCCAAGATCTGTGCTGTCGAGTCCGCAAAATCGTGTCTTTAAAGGAGTAGCTCGCCGTGCCTCTTCGTTCTCACAGTGGTGGGAGTTTCGTTTGGGGTGTTGGTTTGCGAGGACACCACTGAACAACTCACTTCTCTTTTTGGGAGCTCGAATGCGTCAAACTTGGAGCAATATCTCAATGTCGATTCGGACAAGGCAGAGATAGTGTTGCCTTTTCGGGACGGGCGGAGAAACGGGGTGGATGCACGCGAGCGTCTTTGGAGCCATCTCATGGCACGGGCGAACGGTCATATCGACTAGCGCATTCGAGTCCCCCTTTTTCGACGTCCAAGTTGGGACGGGAAGGATGGAAAGACTCGTGTAATCCATGGTCCACCTTCAAAACACCATTCCTGTTGTCCAAGTGACAGTTGTCGTCGTTGGTCAATCTGGGGTTGGAGCAAAAAGCTCATCGCCAGCCTCCCAGATCTGCTTGTCACGGCGTCGACGCTGCATGAACCAACCTCGCCTCCTGGCTTGAGTACCACCACTCTAATTTGCCATGCCAGGGGATCTCCTGCCAAGACTTCGCATTATCACCGTCTTTCCGTCCGTGTAGTCGAACTTCGCTCACAAACTTCTTGGAGCCTTCCAGCTCTCCTTGCCGAATCCACATGGGCAGCTCGGATTGTACGACGACAGGATCCAGCGCCCAGTCCAGCCGATACTGACCGACACAGGAACGAGTTCCGTCATCGTATTGAAGCAACATGCCTATAATGGGTCGGTGTCGCTGTCTTTTACCACAACACGGCGTTACTGCTTCGACATTCTCCAGTCGACAGCAGGAGAAGAACAACGACTGGCCAAACCGACGCGGGACAGCTTTGGGTATCGCAGCTTCAGGGTTGACCGACTTCTCCCAACACGTTGGAGTCGTGGCGTGCACCCCCATGTATCTGGCTCGCTGCCCATCTCGTGCGCTGTCCACTTCATTCAGATATACTTTCGAGGGTGAAGTCCCCATCTCGTGTATTCGGGAGTAGGTGTACCGAAAATTGGGTTTGAGCATCCTCCCCAATATCGACACTCGGCCACGACTGGTAACAAGCTAAGTTGAGGTATTAATTCTGTGTCTAATGTTGCAAGATATGTCATTTTTTGCGTGGCGCCTCACCATCAAAGTTGGAGGAGAATGCAACTGGCTTGGGGGCCTGCCGCCACACCGTAAAGCCCCAATCTCTTTGACGTATTCTCCTTGGTCTACAGGCATGTAGATCCAGACCAGATCCTTGCAAATCATGTCTGCGTCGTCGTAGAAGTTGAGGCTTGCTGTATGGCGGTGTGCCTGAAGCTTTATCAACTGTCGTCGGTAAATAGCAACTAGATATCCCTTGACATCTGAGGCATTGAACTCGACGGGGCTCATCCTCAGTCCCCTTGGAGGGAAGGCGGAATAATTCAGCCCGTCAAGGTTTATCAGTTTATAATCTGTGAGTGGCTCTGGCCAAGCAGGCGCCCTGATGGAACCACCGGCTGCATCTTGCTCCATTCCATCCATGATACCCCTGACTTTCAGGCCCTATTTGGATTGTTGGTAAGCTTGCAAATCTTGTCTACGATTGTCAACTCACGTCAGACACAGCCAAGATAGAACGAATTCCCTGATCCCGTCGAAGCTGTACCCACCACACGTCGCCAGCCGCTTGCCGAAAAGAGCTTGTGGAGGCGCCTATATGAACCCCTCGAATGCCAAGATGATCATACTCCAAGAATATTCTTCGTACAACCTGTCCTGAAAGCGGGGCATGGATATGCTTACAGCCTGGGTTGGCGAAATCGGGTGCTTTGTTGTGAAGAGACTGGACATAAGTGCTCCCCTCAATGCGCACATACGACGCATACACGTCATGCTCCAGGTCAATGGCAACCGTGTCGGGAACGGTTGGTGCAGTGTTTATCAGGTGATGCAGATTGATCACGGCGTATTCCCGAACGAGGTCACGCGCAACCAAGCGACGTATCTCTGGTGGAAACGCGGCCAACGTATTTGACATGCGGCCCTCCAGGAGCGTCAGGATGTACTTTGTTCGTTTTCGTTCCAGAGAGAAGGCTGGGGTATAGTCGCTATACATGGACTCCACGAGCAACTGCGATGTCTCACCGAATTTGGCTGAATAAAACACGTAGCACGAGGTGTGAAAGCAAAGGATCCCTGGCTGGCACCAGCAGCCTCGTTCGGCGCAGGCGATGTGAATTATTACATCTTCCCCATCTACATGTGTCCCATTTTGCGAGAAGGGAAATAAAACCAGTCGTCCGGGTCTGGTGTCTCTTAGGTCTGACAGTTGGCACGGTGAGACGGAGCAACTGACTTGCGGTGCACCGGGGCATCCAACGTACCTGCTATGATGGACTCTCCATCGCGAAACCAAAATTGGCAGAGTCTGCAAAGGGCGCTTGAGACACAGAATGGCTGGCCATGGTTGTCCATTGAACTTTGATGCCTATGTTGCTTTTGTGCACTTCGCGACGCGGGCGTGGAGTGAGAGCCGTTTGTTCACACTGTCCGATGTTTTGGCTGACTCAACTCCGAGCAGCTTGTGGCCAACGGAGAAGGTGACATCAAGGCCGCAATGTCGCTCCCCCTCCAACGGCCATGGACCTGCAATTCGGGGCTTTTCCAGTCAAAAAAATGGGATGAACAAGTCATTTGCAGTGTCATCTCAAAGTAATTACAACATGACATAATTTTTGTCCTTCAACCACCAGTTCAAAATTCCAGAAGCTCAGAATTGTAGGGTAGGCATAGGGGTCTCGTGACTTCCCAAGTTGCCCGCGTTGTCAGCCTTGGGACATGAGTGGACACGGAGTATGTACGGAGTACTTTGCGTGAGTAATCAAATCCCGCATAAAACCGGGTCCGAGCAAGCACCGTTATGATTGGCTCATTCGGCTGATACTTCCCCTGACCTCTGCGCCGCATCACCACAGCAACCAGATTTATTACCGGCCGCTGGCAGTGGCAGCAGTTGCCAAGGGTTGAACAACAAACGAATAGACGTCACCAAGCAAGTGGATGGTGGATTCATCTCGTACAATACAGTTGCGTCCCTGCTTTCCGACTAGGTTTCTTCATCTTCACCCTCCCTTCTGCACGTGTTTGTTTGCGTTTTGAGCATTCTTCCGACGACTAGAATTTTTTGCTTGGACGACACCATCTTTCATATCAAGAGATAGCGCCAGAGAGACTGGATTTTTTTTTGCTCGTCTTGATTTCTGGCAACGTTGCTTCTGGAGCGCATGTGCTTGCCTAGACTCGGTACCGTTGATGAACCCCCACCACATTCAACGGCCACAAAACGCCCGTCGTGAACATCTTCCCTTGTACCCGAGTTCTGTCATTCGGAGTCACCCACAGGCATCGGCGACATTGACACGATAGACGAGTCACATTGCCAGGAACCAGCATCTGTCCCCGAGGCTGTGCAATATGGCCGCTGCGGGACAGTCATCCATCACTGTTGCCGGTAAGAGAGGAGCTGTCGTGCATGATGCGCGGGAACCACAAACCAACATCGCCGTCATCAATCAGAAAGGTGCTAACGCAGTCATAGTCCGCGTACGACCCTTCACAATCAGAGAGGCTGCCCAGCTGTATGTTGCGACCGTCGTAGACGCAGACCGGAAGCACTGACGAGGCAACAGACAAAAAACCGATGACAGCCCCGTCTTTCTTGGAGATGGCTCCCTCGCGGGCCCAGCCCCAAAGCTGCATCAGCGTGGGCTACGCAGCGTCATCAAGGTCGTAGATGACCGTTGCCTGTAGGTGGCCTCCTCGCTTTCCCGTCCGATGTCGTGGCAATGCTGATCCTGAGCAAAAGTGTCTTCGACCCCCCCGAGGACAATCCCGTCCAACGATTCTCCAGATCCGTTGTCCCCACGTCCAAAAAGGTCAAAGACCAAGTCTTCGCATTCGACCGCGTCTTCGACGAAAACACCACACAGTCCGACGTCTACGAAGGGACGACCAAGAGCTTGTTGGACAGTGTCCTCGACGGTTACAACGCCACTGTATTCGCTTATGGCGCCACCGGTTGCGGAAAGACACACACCATCACTGGCACTGCACAACACCCGGGCATCATTTTCCTGACCATGCAGGAATTATTCGAGAAGATCGAGGAACGAAGTCAGGAAAAGTCGACAGAGTTAAGCCTGAGTTATCTCGAGATATACAACGAGACGATTCGCGATCTGTTGGTTCCTGGTGGAAGCCAGGGTGGGCTGATGCTCAGAGAAGACAGCAACCAGGCCGTGACCGTCTTCGGCCTGACGAGTCACCACCCCAGGAACGTCCAAGAAGTAATGGACATGATCATACAAGGCAACGAGTATCGCACCGTGTCCCCAACAGAAGCCAACGCCACGTCGTCTCGGTCACATGCGGTGCTGCAAATCAACATATCTCAAAAAGACAGAAACGCAGACGTCAATGAGCCACATACCATGGCTACCCTCAGCATCATCGACCTGGCCGGATCTGAGCGTGCATCGGTGACCAAGAACCGCGGCGTGCGCCTGACTGAAGGTGCCAATATCAACAAGTCGCTCTTGGCACTGGGCAGCTGCATCAATGCGCTTTGTGACAAGCGCCAGCGCGCACACGTCCCCTATCGCAACAGCAAGCTCACTCGATTGCTCAAGTTTTCACTGGGCGGAAACTGCAAGACGGTCATGATCGTGTGCGTATCCCCTTCCAGTGCCCATTTTGATGAGACGCAGAATACACTGCGCTACGCAAACAGGGCCAAGAACATCCAGACCAAGGTTACTCGCAATGTCTTCAACGTCAATCGCCATGTCAAGGACTTCCTGGTTAAGATTGATGAACAAATGGCTCTCATAAACGAGCTCAAGGCGCAGCAAAAGGATGCCGAGCAACTCTTTTTTGCCAAATTCCGAAAGCAACGCGACAAGCGAGACGGCGTTGTTCGTGAGGGTGTTTTGAGGCTTCGGGCAGCCTACGACCACTCCGCGACAGAGCGTCAGGAGCGCATCGCTGCAATGAAGCAGCTCAAGGCCTTTGAGAGACGAATTGCCATGTTGACCGCTTGGATTGCGGCGTTTGATACCGTCTGCGAGCAGAGGGCGGACAACGACTCGATGCCTCAGAACTTGATTTCTATCCGAAAGACTGCTCAAGGCATCCAGGTTGAGCTCGAAAACAGCCGTCAACATGTTCACCAGAAGCTTGAGAGGGCAACCTGGGAGCGAGCGATTGATACGGCGCTCTCCCACAGTCTGCATCAACTCGAAGGGCTGGAGGGCACCGACGACGGCGAGCATGCCGCCTTGACCCGTGAGGCAGAGCTTCTCAAAGCCAACTTTGGCCGTGAGGCGTACCGGGCAGTCGTTGAGCAAGAAAAGCTCGGCGACGCAGCCATGATGCAGATGCTTCTCACTGCCCAGTTCGAAATGCTAGCATCGCTTTCCGATTCCCTGACCATGGATGAGCAGAGCGCTGTCGCTCATGCCAAGGCGATTATACACAGACTTCTTGAAACCGGGTACAAGGCTGCAGGCCAGGTGGTGAAACCCGATGGTTCTCTGCCTGTTGTAGATGTCTTCCCCCCGACTCGCAAAGGCACGCCGAAGAGGAAGAAGAGCCTTGGAGCGTACGTCAAACCCGTTGCTCCTCCAGCGCTTGCTGCAGTCCAGAACGAACATGTGTTTGCCAGCCCGATGAAATCGTCGCCCAGGAGACGTAAGGTGTTTGGCGCGGCGAAGAAGGGGGTCAGTTTCACGCCGGTTAAAAAGTCCAAGCCCAGGGGTGTTCGATGGAGGGATGATGAAAGTGAGGACGGGACGCTGGCCGATTTTGCAAAGACACCACAGCAAATGGACACCACCCCGGACCAGTCTTCAACACCAATCCCGCCGCCACCACCAACCTATCTTGTCCAAGATGAGCAGAGCGGCGAGACGTGGAGCCCGGGGGCTGACGCGCCAGGTGAAGACCAGAAAAGCACGTCAGCGCCCAAGCCAGGGCGATTCCAGGCTGGGTTTCTGTCAAAGACGCGAATGTCCATGCAGCCGCAAGGGTCACCATTGCTGCACGCCCCAACGTTCAGCCGAAGCGTGTCCTCCGGCTCCCCTGACTCTGGCAGGTTGTCGCCGCTGCGAACACTGGATGTCTCTAGGACCGGCAACATGTCGCCGCCGTCGCTGCCAGCAGCTCATCGCAGCAGATTAAGCCCACCGCAACCGACATGCCTGAGGGCCATTGTGGATGAGAACAACCCCCCGACTCAGGGGACTCCTGGTTCCGGCTCAGACTCTGAGTCAAGCATGATTGATGCCCGCAAGCTCCGCAGCGCGATGCAATCGGCCAAAGCTCGCAGGCCGAGTGCTCTGGGGGGCGGGGCCGTCGCCGCCAACGGAAGACGCGTCTCCGCGGTGTGTGCCACGGCTGAGCGGGCGGTGTCGCGTCCCAGCATGCAGTCAGCGCTGGCCAGCAGCACAAACGGCATCTCAAGGGCCCGTCGGGGCAGCCTGGAGCGGCGGAAAAGCCCGCCGCTCACGTGCTCGCCGCCAGAGTTCAAGGGCGACCGAAACCTGACGGCTGGGCAGGCTAGGCGGATGAACCTGGGAGGCAGCGTCCGACTTGAGAATACAGCGAACAGTCCCCGAGACGGGCTGAAGGAGGCTCCGCGTCGGGTTACTATTGGTATCGGCTCGACGCCCGCCTCTCACCGACGTCAGGAGAGCAGGGGAGTCGTAGGATGGCGATGAGCGCCTGTTGAAGGAGCATATAAGTTACTTGGTTGTGTACATTTTTCTTTCTCTTTTCCTCCTTTCCTTGATCCCTCCCGCCCTCCCTCATCCGCCGCTTTGCGCGATGCTAGGCTGGATGATGCGGCTACGATTTCATTTTTGGCAGAGGCATATTGGCGTTTGGATTGCGCTGTGAATTGAGTCTTGTATTTTCGGTAGAAGAATGAATGAATGAATGGCATAGCTGTTGATTTACTCTTTGACATAATTTCGATACTGGAGAATGATCTACCTTGTGTTTTGCAACTATGTATCTTGCCAAGTACAACAAACACTGCAGCTGTAGTGTGCGTCTAGGGGTATAAGTAAGCAACATTTCGAAGTGTAACATGTGCATGGCCTGCTCTGCACCCCCCGTGCCGTATCGCGTCTGGACCACCGGCACAGTGGGCGTGTTTCGACGTCTCTGTAGCGTCTTGAACGGGCCACCGTATCCTGGCTGTGTCAAATCAGGGGGTTCTGCACGGCGGATCCATCCACCTGCATGACCTGCGCGCTGTGCTCCCTGTCCCTGGTGAGCGGCGAGCAAGGAACTTAGCCGCAGCAGACGGTGCCTTCTTGGGCGGCGCTAGTTTGCTGACTACCTCGGGGTGGTTGGCGTTAGCGAAGAGCAAGCTAGCGAAGAGCAAGCGCGGGAGTGAGAAGTGGGCGGGGAAGAGGGTTGGATGCCGATACGTGGCGACACGATGCAGCGAGGCAGACGGACGTACGTACACGTTGGACAGGGTCTCCCACTGGAAGATGAAGGCGCCGAAGAAGGAGCCGAGGAAGATGCACAGGATCATGTAGCCGTTGTAGTACATGGCCAGCTAGGAAGCATACTTGGGTTAGCGGTGCGCTGCGAGGGCTGCTATGCCGGGTGCTGCCCGACGAGGCGCCACCGGCTCTCGGGGTCTTGTCGTCCGCACGTACCAGCATGAGAATGTAGGCGACGACAAAGGCCAGCAGGTGCAGGAAGGCGCGGATGCTCTGCTGCAGTAGGTTCGGGCGGAACGGGGGAGGCGCGGCCGTCGTTGCTGTCACGGCGGCGGCGGCCTCCTTGCTGCTCAGGGAGTCGGCTGCGGCGGCGGGGCTGCTGCTGCTAGCCGGGGAGGACGCGAACTTGGCTGCGTGCTGGCGGACGAGGAAGCGGTCGTACTCCTTCATGGAGCGGCGGAGGAGCTCGAGTGTCATGCCGAGCAGGAAGACGCCGATGCAGGAGCCGGCGAACATGCCAGTGGATGTGATGCGCCATTCTGACGAGAGAAAGCACGAGCCGACGGTGTTGAGGTTGAAGAGCATCTGCAAAGCACGACGGGGGCAAGGTCAGCGCATCTCTATCCGAGAGCAACCAGGACAGGGCGAGTCTGACTTACGGAAATCTTGCACCCGTTGCCCATGCCTCCCATGCCTCCCATGCCTCCCATGCTGTGGCCGCCGCCGCCACCGCCGGTGGAAGAGGGCATGGACATGGCGGTTGGGTTGCCGCCGCCCATGTCCATGGTCGTCGTGGTGGCATGAGTCATGTCCATGGTGAAGAACTACCCAGGCAGTCGGTATATGGCGCTTTAGAGTCGGCGGGTGCAGATGTGAAGCTGTGGTACGGCAACCTGCGGACGGGCAGAGGGCAGATTTTTTGAAAAGTCTCACGAGAAGGCCATGTGGACGGGACGGTCGTCCTTATAACACGGAGAGACGAGGCTCACGGGGGGGCCAGAAGACATGGCTCGAGCGACAACAAGCAGACGGACGGGCTGGACCTCAAGGCAAGTAAGAGTGGTCGTGTTGTCGTCGTCTTGTGCGATGCCTTTTTCGTGCTGCCCCGGCGGCGGGCCCTGGCCAACGGAACTTTATTGATTGGCCCACGGGATCCCAGGGGATCCTTGGTGACACCTTGAGTCGTGAGTCGTCGAGCATGCCTCGAAATGGGCGCACAAACCTGCGCTTGTGGCCGACGGAGATGAGCTGTTTATCACGTCGAGCACTCCGTGCAAGGGCGCCGAGCCGTTGGCCGCGTATTACGCAGTTGTATTGTATTGTCGGCTGATATGGAATGGAGTCATGTTGAGAGTGTTTGAGCAAGTTTTCCGATGGCAGTGTTGTGTTGGGATTCATGGAGGCGCACATGGGCAGCCGGGTATGTTTTGGCGGGGGCGGGTGGGGACGCGCCAAGACGCTGGATTGACAGCTGGTCGCGTGGTTCGGCAGCTGCGGAACAGGGGCTCGCGGCGATTTGATTGGCCGAGGCGTGAGTCTGGTGTGTCGGGAGCCGGCTGTATTCCGTAGCCTGTCAGGATTCAGGGCCTCATCTTAATACCCTGCATCTGCTATCTGGTGCGTCTTCTCCGTACTCCGTACCGAGTACCAGGAAGAAGACACGTCGACGTCACGTCGGATCTTGACATCGTCCGCCTCCCTAATATCGGTCCTAGCTTCGGGCTTGTCTGCTTGTCTCCCTTGCTCGTTGCAATTTTCGTCTCTCCGGCGGTCAGACAGAACGTCATCTCCACGGTGCGACGAACCCCAGCACGGCGAGGCATTTGTGCAATGGCGCAAACTGTAAGTGCAGGGCCAAGACGGATGCGTCGCACCATGACCATTCCATCCCCATCATTTCTCCAGCACGGCGCTGTTGTTGGTCAGCAGTCAGGACACACGCTGGGTGAGCATTGAGGGCCGTGGGCCTCTTGCAGCCACGAAGCGCAATGGTCTCTGTTACGCCGCCATCATCGAGGCACAGCAGTGGTCCTGTCCGAAGAGTGCGTCTTCCAATGCCATCAATGCCGCGCCAACCTGAGCCTCGGTCAAGACACGACAGACACCGTGCCCTGGACATAGGATGCAAATATCACGGCGAGGTAGGCAAGGGTGTCTCGGTAGCACAGCTTCGCCTTTGGCTCTCGGCAAAGGACCAAGTACTATTGCACATCCAATGCCAGCTTGTAAAGGTCCTGCTCCTCGTATTCGGCTGCATGAGAGCCTCGAGCACAACACGAGCAGTTGCTGAGCGACCCCGCGACGAAAAAATCCTGCTTCCAGACCGCGTGCAATGATGCCACAGGCTTGGAGCTGGGCTGATTCTCCCCCAGCATCTACACGCCGGGACTGATGCAAGCTCAACCGCGTCAAAGGCTATATAAAGCGGCAAGTTGACAAGTTGGCTCCTGCTATTGAGTGCAGACGCAGACGGACGGAGGACGAAAGCAATCCGGTGGCGTTGAACCGATCAGGTAGGGGTAGCCTCATCATCCTGGAATATGCGGCCTTCTCCCGCTCCCTCGACAAAGAAGGCTTCCTCTGTCGATCCAGACATGAGATGAAAATGCAGGGGGTGGAAATAGCGCCACCCGCTTGGCTTTCAGTGTGAAAAAGACAATGAACAAGAACAAAAGGAAAAAATGGGGAAGAAAAAGAAAAAGAAAGGAAAACTGTGCTGTGACCGAAATGGGAAATCGTGCAATGCGGAGAAAGTCGCCCGAATCGGACAGCTACCGGACCGGTGCCCAACAGCTTCAGGCGCCACACACCGTCATCTTGTGCTCGTTTCCGACAACGAGTAGAATCGCTCCCGATCGCCGCTCCCCTCGGCAGCAAAAGCCCATGCCGGCTGGCTGTAGGACGGCCGCCATGGAGTTGGTCAATCTGCCGACAGAGCTGCTGATGTACGTTGCCGAGGCGCTTGACCGAGACAGAGACATCAACGCCTTCTGCCGCGTCAACCGGCGCTTCTACCACCTCGCCGTGGCCTACCTGTACCGGCACAACGCGACGGCCTCGCAGGCCGGCACAAGCGCAATCCTCTGGGCTGCCAAGCATGAGAACGTGTCGACGGCCGAAAGGGCCCTGCGGGCCGGCGTCGACGTCAACGTGCCCCAAGGCCCCGCGGGCGTCCTGCCCCTCGTCGAGGCTACGCGTTTCGGAAACGCCCGCATGGTCCGGCTGCTTCTGGAGAAGGGCGGCGCTGCCGCCAACGTGCTGCACGGCAAGGCAGGGACGGTCCTCCACACTGCCGCGGTGCGATGGGACATGGCCACGGCAACGGCGCTGCTGGAGCACGGCGCCAACGTCGATGAGCGGCGCCTCGACACCGGAGAGACGCCGCTCCATGCGGCCATCAACTCGGGCGCCATCATGACGGGCGGCGCCACCGAGATGCTCCGCCTGCTCCTGGACCACGGCGCCGACTTTGCGGCAACCAACTTTGCCGACGCGACGCCGCTACACTGCGCCGCCTCCTGCGGCAACATTACCGCCCTCGGCATCCTGTTCGACTACGGCGCCGGCGCTATCCTCTCGTCGCCGAGGACGCACGACGAGACGCCATTGCACGCTGCTATTCGGGCCAGACAGGAGGAGGCCGCCAGAGTCCTGATACAGCTCGGCGCCGACGTCGAAGCCACCGACGCCTTCGGCAGCACGGTGTTTGATCACGCCTTGAGCTATGCATGCCCGTCCGTCCTCAAGATGCTCCTCGAAAAGGGCGTCAATGTCGGATCTCAGGATCCAGGCCCCAACGAGGTGCTGGTCAGAGCCGCCTGGGGCAGGAACGCAGCCGTCGTAAAGGTCTTGATCGACCATGGTGGTGGTAGCATCGACGTGTCGGTGGGAGCAAAGGCCATGTCCATGGCCATCGTGGGAGGCAATGCTGAAGTCCTCCAGGCCCTGATTGACGCCGGCGCTGATATCCACACCCAGGGCGAATGGAAGGGAAGGCTTGTGCTGCACCACGCCGCGATGACGGGCCAAGCCCACGTGGTCGGCGTGCTGTTACGCAACGGCGCCGACGTAAATGCGAGAGACGGCACGAACCGCACGGCCCTGCATTGGGCGGTTGACTGGCCCGAAGTTGTAGAGGTCTTGCTGGCTCACGGCGCCGACGCGACAATTGTGTCCGATGATGGGCAGACCCCGGTGGATCGTGCAAGGTCGAGCTCGCGGGGCCTCCAGGCCTATGAAATGTTATTATCGAGTCGTGCTGCTGTTGGTGGGTGAAATACCGGCGTGGCCTTGACCTCGGTCCTTGTGTCCGTTCAGTGCAGCGAGAAATGGCACTGCACCAAGCTAGGGACGTTGCTCGGGCTCCTGTGCAGTCTCTGCCTCTGGGCCCGTTTCCCGCCGCAAAGATTATTCTCCTCCTCCTTCTTCAGCAGGGTCTTGAGGGTCAGCGCTTACTGTCTCGGGACGGACTGGTTCTGCAACATCAACAACGTTCTTGGTCTCCTTGTCCACTCCGGCGTCAGGGGTATCATGGGGAGGAGGAGCTCGTTTTCTCGCACTACAAGCTGTTCGCTGACGCACAACCGGATGAGGCCCCAGAACTGCTTCTAAAAAACTTTCGGGGTTGGTGGTGCGGTAGACGGGGACGCGGTGTCTGTGCCTGTGCCTCCTCCCGCGGCGCTTCCTCTTGGCCGGAAAGCTGAATTCAACCGACAAGGTACAGCCCATGGTGATGTAGGGTAATATTTATGGAGCTGGGACCTGCGAGGCAGAAATAGGAAGACGGGGGAAAAGATGGTAAAGGCTATCGAGGGTAAAATGCCAAGTTTGTTTATGGCGGGCGTGCTTGGGATGAGGGGTTTGAAGTCTCAGAGATTTTCATTTCATAGCCGCAGCGAAGATGCTTACATTGCATTAGAGGTTTCCTATGAGTGACTGTTCCTCCATGAAGATGATTAGCCGGACTGTTCTTGGATGGTGCTCCAGATGATTCATTGTTTGCAGTGCGACTGACTGTTGTATTGGTCTCCAAGTGCGCCGCATAGGAGGCGACACCGCTTACGCTCGTGTCAGGAACAGTGAATATGGCGGCAGATCAACAGAAACGCCGCTGAGCAGCATGCCTCAAACAGAAGAAAAAGCTCGACAATAACGTCTCCAACTTTCCTACGCGGCAACGCTGACGCCCTTGTCGCGATTCTCAGCCGACGCGTCCCCGTTGTCGACATGCTCGGCCAAGTCCTTCAAATCGGCCTCGCCCATCTCGCCATTCCACGCGTTCGCCAGCAGATACGCCCTAAACTCCTCATCCCGCTTGGCCAAGTCCTCGCCCGTCAGCGTCGGCACAAAAAGGTACGTGACCAAGACGCCTGCCACGCCGCAAACGGCCGCGACGATGAATGTCCACCTCTTGCCGAACCGGTCTTGAATAGGTGTAAAGGCCTGTGTTCCCACGGCGGCGCCCGTCTTGCCAATGGCCGCACTGAGTCCGTAGCACGTTCCACGCACGCTGGTAGCGTAACTCTCGGAAGAAATGAGGCCGAGCATATCGCCGGGGCCGAGGTTGCCAGAACTCTGCATCAGGCCGTAGAAGACGACAAAGAGGGGGATGATGGCGGTGATGCTGTCGTACGCGCAGCCGATAATCAGGCCAAAGACCAAGTAGCCCGAGAAGCCGAGCATCATGACGTTCTTGCGGCCCAAGCGGTCGCAGAGGTAGGCGCCGACGAGGACGCCGGGCAGCGCAATGGCGCCGAGGAGAAGCTGCCACTCCGCGGTGCTGCGCAGGGTGCTGCCGGTTTTGGAGACGACGCTGGAGATGATGGTGCCCGAGAAGACGCCGTTGGGAAAGGTGACAAAGTCGTAGAGGAACCAGGCGCCGCAGGTGCCGACCAGCGTTTTCCAGTAGTAGCGGATGACCAGGCCGTAGGGGACGTGCTTCTTGATGGCGCCGCGGCGGTAGAGCTTGGAGTTGAGCATCTTGAGGCGGAAGTAGAAGACGGTCAGGGGCAGCGCAACCCCGATGGCGAAGCAGACGCGCCATACCGTGGAGAGATGGGCATCGCCGGCGGCGGACAGCACCACGAGGAAGACGGACACGGCGAATGGCCCGCCAAACGAGAGGGGGAGGTTGGTGACGAGGATGAAGACGGGCCCCCGGCTCTTGGGGGTGTGTTCGTTGGCGGCCTCGGACGCAGACGTGCTGGCGGCCGGGTATTCACCACCTGGATAGCATCAGATGGAAGCAGACTTTGACGGCCACGCACATGTTCCGAGGCCAATGGACCGACGAACTGAACGGGACAGGGGGAGATGAGATAGATGTACCGGCTCCGAAGCCAACAATGCCCCTCGAAACAGTCAGCATCCAGAACATGCCGTCAATGGTGACGCCGTGCGAGGCAGTGGCCAGGATGCCGCCAATCACGATGAGCAGAGTCGTGGCGATGATGGCCGTCTTGCGGCCCATGTAGTCGCAAGTCAGGCCGACAAGGACCTGGCCGAGAATCTCACCGACGAGGAGGGCATTGGAGACGCGGGTGCTGACCTGCGGCGTGTACTCGCGGGGGTATTCCTTTTTGAAGAGCACGTTGGACATGGTCATGAGGTTGTTCTGGTAGCCATCGGAGATGAGGGCGAAGCCGGAGCAAAACTGCCATCGACCACAGTCAGCAGAGGGCTGGTCGACTGAAGGAGAGAAAGCGGCGGTCTGACAATTGTGAAGATATCCGACAGTCTCTGTCGTCTGCTCGAAACCTGCTCAACAGCAGCGAATTGGGCGGCGGAATCTCCCTTGGCGGCATCGCGCTGCTCTCCGGGGACAAGATCGACAACGGCCTCGGCCGGCATGACGTGAAACGATGAGTGGTTCGAAACGGCCGCTGACAATCTTGTGCTGGCCTTGAAGCAAACAGGCTAGGAGCGGACAGATTTCAATGTCGAGTGTCAATGCAAGCAGCCGCCGACTCGAGGAGGGAAAACAAGGTCAATGCAACCCCGCAACACAAAGCATTATTTCGTCCCGCGCACGTGTCGACGGCAGCGTCAGCTGGTCTCAAGACTCTTGACAGCTGCCTCTGCCGAGTTTCGGCTGCCCGCCGGCAGAGAGTATTGCGAGGCGCCGAGGCCGGACTTGTCCGAGACACATTGGTCGCGAATGACTTGGGGATGGGTCAACAAGAATCTTTGACGGCTACGCAAAACTTAAATTTGGAATCTCAAAGGGAATAGTCAGGAGTAAAGATCCAGAAAATGGTCTTCTTTACTCATTCATCAATGCACCGAGTCGGTCACCAAGGTCACCAGTCGTCATTCCTACCGTCAACTGACCGCCCTGCCCGCCAACCAGGCCGTTGGCATCGGATGCAGCAGCCCATTCATGCCTCGAGCATGTCCTCATCTCCAACTCGCCTTCTTTGCCGCTTATGATTTCAAGTCTGGACTCGGGAATCTGAACGGGGAGAAGCTGATTCCATGCAGATCGCTTAACATCGCCAGCCAATCAACACCCTCCGCATCGCATCGTTCTGTAGGTTGCCCAAATCAAGCCAGAAGAAACACGCCATCATCAGCCCCCAGCAGCCACCTTCGGCTTATTTCTGCTGCGGAAGCCGCTCGCGGCTGCTTGCACAAGCCACAGCCGCCATATCCCAGGGTGGGGCAATTTCCACTTTGAGAAAAACCCCTTCCGACGCCTCGAAACTCGTAACGCTGAGCCTCGTAATTTCTGAAGCATCCCATCTCTGGCCACCCAACCCCCAACTTCCCTCACTTCCCTCCTCCTTATTCACCTCCTGTCTCGACTGCTTCGCTTCTTCTGCTCTAGAGCCAGTCCCTCTGGTCCCTGCTGTGCCCTCGGATGCTGCCGTTGACCTGAAATCTGGCTACCCCGAGTCTCGCGCGCACAGCAAAGCCGGCCGTTGGTGCTCGTGCGCTTTGTCGCGTCGGGATATTTTCTGCGCAACCCCCCCTTTACGGAACTTCCTTTGCCCCTCAAGCTCTCACTTCCTCTCCGCCAATTGTGCTGGCTGGCCGGCCTATATCTCATAATGGGCGCCCTTTACTTCCTCCTGCATCCAAACCAGCTGCGCTCCATCATTCAGTGGTACGTTTGACTGTTCCCCATGCCGCTGGCAGCGCCCAACTGCAACCTCGCCTCGTAATGAATGGAGCAGTCCGTCGCACACATGTCTTGCCGCAACCACAGATTGCTCATGTCTCCTTAATCGCAGGAAACTCTGGCACAACCCCGTCCACAGGCGCGATCCCTCTACGGAGTCTGAAACGCTGAAAGAGTGTTTCCGGTTCCTCAACTTGACCAGTCGCAGTTTCGCAGCCGTCATCCAAGAACTTGACCATGAGCTCCTCGTCCCAATTAGTCTGTTCTATCTCGTATTGCGAGGTCTCGACACCATCGAGGACGACATGTCACTACCCTTGAGCGAAAAGGTGCCTTTGCTGCGCGACTTTCACAACACCATGGAGATTGACGGTTGGCAATACCACCAAAGTCAGGAAAAGGACCGCGAGCTCTTGGAAAAGTTTGACGTTGTCATCACCGAGCTAAAAAAGATCAAACCAACTTACTATGCAATCATCAAGGACATTACCGTGAAGATGGGCCGTGGCATGGCTGACTACGCCCAAGACGACGAAATGATCAAGAATGGCGTCGACACCATTGATGACTACGAGCTGTACTGCCACTATGTCGCCGGTCTGGTGGGCGAGGGTCTGACCAGGCTGTTTGTCGCTTCAGAGTTGGGCAACCCCAAGCTGGCAGAGCGACCCTCCCTGACTGAGTCCATGGGCCAGTTCCTCCAAAAGACCAACATTATCCGTGATCTCCGAGAGGACTGGCACGAAGGCCGCCGATGGTATCCCAAGGAGATCTGGAGCAGGCACGTGGACAAGTGGGAGGATCTGTTTGACCCGGAGCACGAGGACAAGGCCCTGAATTGCATTTCCGACATGGTTCTCGATGCCTTGAAGCACTGTGAAGAGTGTCTCTTCTACATGGCCGGCATGCGCGAGCAAAGCGTCTTCAATTTTGTTGCCATTCCCCAAGGGATGGCCATTGCCACGCTGGAACTCGTCTTCCGCAACCCCGACGTGCTCAAGCGCAATGTCAAGATCACAAAGGGCGACGCCTGCCAGCTCATGACTGAGTGCACACAAAACCTCTACACCGTATGCGAGGTGTTCCGCAGATATGCCCGACGAATCCAGAAGAAGAACGACCCCCGAGACCCCAACTACCTGAACATCAGCGTGCGATGCGCCAAGGTATGTCAGACTAACGCACTCGTCTCTGGCTAGAAATCTGCTGACACGGCCATCAGATCGAACAGTTCATCGAGACGCTGTACCCCCGCCAAGACCCCAAGCAGCTCAGCTTGGAGAGTAGCCAGCGACAAGGAAAAGAGCCAACCACGGACCCTGGCGAGACCTTGGTCATGTTCGGTGTAGTTGCTCTCTGCCTCTTCCTTGTTTCCGGCCTGATGGTTAGCACGGCCCTCTGGCATGTACACGGGAGACGCGACTCTAACATGTTCGCAGATTGGTGGCGCATGGCTATTAGGGGCCAAATTCCCCAACATCTTCAAGGAAGCGAGCATTTTAGTTGAAAAGCTCAGCAATCCCACGCCAGCAGCCACGACAGCCATCACGACGGCCCGAGACGAACTGTAAAACCAAACGCTCCATCTCCCCCCCAGTGATGAGTCCTCATCTCTACCGTCTCCTCTTGTTTCTTCTCTTTAATTTCATAGCAAAAATTTGGGCATTGCGCTGTCCTCCGAATGAGCATGTAATGGTGGGCGAAAGCGAATGACAACACATGGGGTTCCATCCGACCTTTAATACCAATAATATACTGACCAACCACACGGCCACCAATGTTCCCATTCCAGTTCCATCTTCCTCTTCCAGGCCTGCATGGTTCAACGTAAATGGGGCTCGGCTCGGCCCAGCACGGATGTCAAATTGCAATCTGGTCCTCCGATGACCACGATTGTGCCGAAGAAGTGCTAAAAGTAAACTATTACCATGCTCCAGGCTTCTCCCTTGGAATGGCCCAATCGAGTTCTCTGACATGACGGACGAAGAGGGGTGTCGAGACTCTGTTGGCGAGCAACAGTTCCTAGTGTGTGTCTGTGCGCGTATATGTGTAGCGTAGCGCCTCTGCTTGCTCCTTCAGCACGGGAGAGGCATCTGCTACTAAGCACTTTTGATGGGACTCGTGTAGCGAGTACGAGCGCCTGTCGCCAAACTTGGCTGCCTCTGCTACTTCTTCTTCTCCTTCTTTATGAATTCTTGTACGTACCCGCCGCCCAGGTGCCAGCTACCTAAACTGGAGGGTCAACTGCATGGATGCCATGGGACGGGATAAGACACCCCTGGTACGGTCGTCTACAGGCCCGTAAGAGTAAGAGGTACAATTCCAACAGCCGGTCCGGGTAGTATACATTGTACTTGTATTCAAATGAGCTTGTCAAATCGTGTGCCTCGTGCTTCGTGTGCATGATGTAGCTTTGAATGAGCGGATAGCGTAATGTATTTAAAGGTCTAAGCTGGTCAAGATGGTCAATGGTCAAGCCCAAAGTGTGCATCGCCTGTCGGTGCCGCGGATGACTATGGGGAAGGTAGGAAAACAAGGACAGACAGGGCCAGGGGCTCGTTTTCCAGCAAGAACAAGTTGCTGAAACGTTGGCCGTCTGCCTAGTCAAGGAGCAGTCAAAAATGCCCAGATGGCTCCGCCAACGTTGGCGAGGGCACTCATCCCTCCAATTTGCCCGTGACTAGTTCAGACGGGGCCGATGCCGCCGCAGTCGAAACGCCGCCCAAGGCTGCTGCTGCCGGTTGATGACGAGCCTCGGGATTATCTGCCTCGTTTCAGTGCACGCGCTTCGACTCGTGCGTGCAACCGCTGCAGCTTCAGAGATGGTCGGGTTGCGTGAGTATGAAGGCGGTTGCTTCTCGCGCATGGCAGCAAAGGCCGAGTCGTTGGTTCCGCTGGAGGTTCCTTCCTGGTTCTCCGTGTGAATTGCTTGGCAGGCTCACGCCCCACCACGTCCCAAACTTGGGCGGTCAGCCCCGCTGCCGGACTGCTGTATATTTTTAGCACGAAATACATGGCGACTTTTGTCAACACTGAAACTGCAATAAGAGAGCCGCGGATAAAACGACTGATATTGCGTGCAAACTCAGGCTCAAGGGATGTATCGTCTTCTAATACCTCCCCTAGCTTGTTGGCAACCTTATTTATCTGCCTGAGTGTTGTGGGCGTCTCAAAGTCGGAAGAGTTGTTGTGATATAACGGCGGCGGCGATGGTGTTGATGTGTAAATTGCAGCTCGTTGTTCAAGGGCCTCAATTACAGGCTGTGGATTGTAGGGTGAAATTCCAGTTTTTCGAAAGGCTGTGAGAATAGTAGTAGTCTTGAAAGCTTGTTTTCGTACAGCTTGAATGCAAGCAAGGAATTCAATCTTTGTAATATTCAACACGCCGTCTCGAACAATGATATCCAACGCCTTTGCATGATAATGCTTTAGTGGCTGAAATATCACAACATCAAGAGGTTGAAGGATGTGTGTAAGGTGCGAGGGCAACGCAAAGGGAATTATATCGTGCTGTTCGCAGTATTCAACGAATTCAATTGTATGGTGTGATCCGTGGCCATCTAGGATTAAAAGGCGATATCTGCCTATTGGCGTTGCAAATTCCTGAAAATGCTGTATCCAAGCAACTGCAATTTCGTCATTCGTAAAGCCGGTTGGTGAGACTGTTATTTTGGTATTAGCTTCAAGCTCCTTTATCCGATACCAGGACTCCATGTGTTTTTGCCCTGTAAGGATAAGAAAGGCAGGAATAACTTTGCCGCCAGCAGAAATGCATTCTATTGCTGTTGCAGTCTCCCTGTTTTCTGGCATTGAAAATAGATGCGCTCTTCTTCGCTTTGTAACAACTAAATGGTCCTTTCCCATTCCAATACGAAAGCCAGTCTCATCCATATTCCAGATATCTTCAGGAGGGACTCCGTACTGCTGAATAGCCTCTTTAAGCTTGTTGTAATAAGAAAGAGCTCTTGTCACATCTTCTGAAGCTTTTCGACTTGAATCAATCTTTTTTTGAAGACCTTTATGATAGTGATGCCGCTGGATAAAGCGTGTAGTCCATCGCGTTCCAACTTGCCTAGGCGGGGCAGTTGACGATGCCCTCTCTTTTAGGATGTAATTTGCAGCATCTGTAATGAATTCAGGTCGTACAGCGAAGTTGGCCTTATCAAGGCGATCGATATAGTTACATAAAGCAACTTCCTCTTCTCGTGAAAGCATTGTATTTCTTGCTGGATGGCCTTTCCTAGCAGGAACGCCGTTAGCACGTCGTTGAAGCCGGCTACGAGGCACGTTGAATTTCTTCGCCACAGAGCGAATTTTTGCACCTGGATTTTCCTCAATATACTCAAGAGCCTCGTTGACACGTAATTCGACATCGCTTTTTGCCGTTTGGACGCTAGTTGCAGCCATTTTCGCGGTTCAACGCGTCTAGGTTGAAAATTGGCCCGCCTTGGTGTCCGGCCCGCCTTGCTGTCGAGCACCACCTTTGGTGGTGAGGGCTTTTGCTAGCCGAACCACATAAAGTGGGGCGGGCACGATTACTCCGTACTTCATAAAAATCAGTCAAATTCTAAATGGCTGACCAGCACTCTGTAACTCTGCAGTTTCTCTAGTAAAGTACCCAACTAGTTTCGTCGCTGCCAAATTGCAGGCAGATACCGGCCGGGGTGAGCCGTCTTTATCCTGGTGTTATTGGGTCGAGCATCGGTTGGATCAACCGAGGAAGCATGCAATCGCAAGTATTTTTTGGACGAACTGCAATAGTAACCAACAGACGGGGATATCGTGGCGGGCTGTCTGCGGCTAGATTTCGAGGCGCAGCGGGGGTGACGATAGCTACGTGGCTGGCGCCATGTGTGATTTGTCATGTGACTCATGCCCGGGACGGGACGTCGTTATGCACGCACGAGGGCTCCCTACAGAAGGAGGCGGTAAGGCCTGCAGAAGGACGCGGACGTGAAATGTACAAGTTAGTGTTTCCGGAATGTGCTCGAAAACTGAAGCATTGAAATAGCATTCAGTGGTGGCATAATAAGTGAGTTGCGATTCCAGGCTTCCAGCATTGAGCATTGACCAATGATATCGGCCAAATAGTCCATGTCCTCCCCCACTTCCCCCTTCCCCCCTTTTGTTTTTTGATAAGATGGATGATCGATCTCTTCGGCGTGCCACACATCACCAGGCTTGGCGCCTAAAATAGGAAAGGAAAGGGCAGGGAAATTGAAAGGGAAAAGGTTAATGAATGCCAGCACCAAGAATTAAAGACCACCCAGGTATTGCGAGCCGCAAGCATTGCATTCCATTCTTCAACATGCACGGAACTGCTACCCGCGGCCCGCCGCACCATGTGCGTGCCATTCGCTCCAATACCTGACCGACGCTGCACCGGAGTGCCACGTACGGCGTACCACACACTTTACTGCCGACCGCGCCGTGCTTACTTTGTGTGCACCTTCGTGTCGTGTCATCCTAACCCCCCTCCTCGCCCTCCTCACCTTCTTGACCTGCCGCTCTCGGCCGCCGCCAACGCCGCCGTGGCGATTCCAATCTCTCCATCTGTTCCTTTTGGAAAATACCCGCCACTCCCTCCATGTTCTACCCCCATTTCAACTTGCCTCCCATAAGACCTCTTTGTTGTTCTGTCTTGTTTCTTCTTTGCTCCTACTCCTGCGCCAGTCACAAGCGGCCGCTCGCCCCCTCCCTGCCTCAGCCACGCCCACCTCAAACCGACTTCTGAATCGTCGTTTCGGACTCTGCCTCGACTCATCCTTTTTTGCAACGTGCACCCGATAGATAAAGCCCCTGGTCTCCAGTGGTCAAAGGGAAAGACTGTTCAACCGTCGCAGAGGATGCACCCAGTGTCGGCCCGACCATCCCTTCAGCAGACCTGTCAAGATTGATGCTCCGAGCCGGCATGGGGCAACACGACGACGCGGCAGGTCGTGGTGACGGCCACGTCGCCCTGCCCGTCAGAGCTGGCCTTGCCAGAGACGGTTTCAGAAACGGTGACGAACAGCTGCACCCGCCCGAATCAGCAGACGACGACTTCAGTTCATTGATGGCCTCGTCCATGGTGGCCACGCTGCTCAACACCGCCTCGAGCCCCGTGTCTCCTGGACAATCGAGCCCTCCGCTGGACCAAGCCAAGAACTCGTCCTTTGTCCCACCCGCGAGGCCCAGCAGCACGCCGTTTCCGCTCCCCGAGAACCGTGGCACTCGTGTGTGCTGCCTCGACGACTCTGACTATGGCAGCGACATCGAAATGTTCAACGAGTCCTCGTCGTCCGCCGCCGAAAATACCATGACCGATGCCTCGCGAGCGACCCCGTTTGACGAGTCGCCAGCCGAGGTCCACGAGGCCATTTTGGATCACCTCTTTGGCTACTGCAGCTCGCCCACGTCGAGCTGTGCCCTGAGAATATCTAGCCTGACCAAGTGCTGGAGCAGTGCCCTCAGACACTGCCGCAGGCGAGAACTAGCAAATTTGGCCCTGGTAAATCCAGTGTGGAGAGTTCTTGTCCAGCAGCGTCTCTATCGCCACCTCAAGCTCAAGGCTACTGTCGAATCCATTGAAAATGCAATGATGCACCTGGCGGACAAGCCGCACCTATCGTGCCACATCAAGCACATCGAAGTTTGGTTCCCCGTGTTTCAGCCTACCTTCGGCCCACTTGCCCTGTCAAATACACTCGCCCTCCCAACCGTCACGTCGGACGGTCTGACCAATGCCACCTATATCTTGCCTGCAAACAATTGCACGCTGGACGACGTCTTCCGATTTGCATCCCTGGCCTTGCCCTGCCTGCAAGTCTTGTCTTTGGAGGGCGGTGAACGACGGAAAGCGCCCAAGGTGGTTTACTTTCGCCGACAAGAGGATGTGCTCTCTGGCCGGGCGCTGGAAGCTGTTCCGACAGTGAGAGCACTCGTCACAAGAGGACAATGGAATCTGATGAGAGAGAGCGGCGACTTCCACACCATACTTGGCGCTTTACCAAACCTCAAGGAGTGGCAGGCATCATACAGCAAGCCCAAATCCAAGAGCTACATTACCATTTCCGAATTTCTACCCTCTCTACCCATGCGCATCACCAATCTCAGCTTGTGCCTCGAAAATGACTACAGAAGGGAGACTATGATGCCTACTTTCTACACCAAAGTCGCAACAAAGACGCACATCTGCGCTAGGATGGCCGAGGTCACGACTCGACTTGAGCACTTTTCATACACTGGCCGCATCTGCCACAGGTTTTTTGACATGGCTGGCCGACTCGCAAATCCCATGGCAACTAGGTTGAGGTCAATTGACTTGACCGTCAAGAATTGTTGCCGCCACTCAACCAGCTATCACGAATCGGGATCCGGAATACAAGAGTTGGGGTTTATTGAGGCTTTTGAAAGACTAGTTTTATCCGCGGTGAGGTCTTTGGACAGGTTCAAACAGGTCGAGTATCTCCGAATTCGCTTCGTAGATCTAGGTAGGTTCAGTGTCGTGCACCCCCCCTGGCCCAGCCCGACTATACCGTGTCGTGTACGTCGGCTAACCCATTTTCAAGATTCCATCTTACCACCGCTGAACCCGTACTTTCTCATGGCGAACGGAGAATGTTCAGGCGTCTGGAGCGATGGAATCGTAGCAGAGCTGTCACGAGTCCGGCCCGGCGTCCACTTTGCCGAGCTCTGCGAGAGCTTTGGCAACATTTCGTACGGCAAAGACGGCAGGATGATGATTATGCCCGAGTACCCGCGAACACGGATATCTTCGTTGAAGCTTTCGAACTACCGGTCGCTGGCAACCAGAATCACGATTCAGTAGCCAACGGAGCCTGTCTACAATGTGGACTTTGAAAATTTCACAGACAGCAGAAGAGGGCAAAAGACTTGGGGACACCGTTACTCCTCGCTGCGCATTTTCTTCTTTTGTTGTTTTCTTAGATTCAATTTTTATCATGGCCTATCTGCATATCTAGAGGCGGCGTTCTTGGCCTCGCAAGCGACGGGATGGCAAAAGAAGAACTTTTTTCTTTTTTTTAAAAAAAATTAACAACGACGGGCGAGGTTGGCAAACGGAGCGGACTACAAACGGGACCACAGAGCACGGAGTTTGGGAAGCGCAAGTGACACAAAGACACTATTGGTGAAGATGACGCCGGCGCTGTGGGCAAGGGTCCGAGAACCGATTTACTTGGGAATCTGATCGCGATGAGGGGCGATAAGAAATTACAGACTTGGGGAATTTTGATGATTTGGACTTGGTGGTTGCGCAAAATGCGAGATAGATACCCACAATGAGAATTTACCTTGATCAGCACGGTGGTGGCGTCTAGTTGGACTACGAAACTGAAACTGATGGTGACTGCGTCATGTTGAATTAGGAGCTACTGACTGAGCTGTGCGCCATGGGTGTTGCGTTGACACCGTCGCCGATGATGATGCCCAGTATCCAAGAGTTGACGAGGAAGAAGGCTGTCGACGACGCCCACAGACCAGGGAAGAAGGTGCTGCGACCCAAAAACTCCAACTGATAGCCCTGCTGCAGCCAGGCTGCTTGCGACACGACCCACAGAACCAAGGCGGCGATTCCGAGACGTGGTTTGCGCAGGAACGACGACGTGGGCAGGTACAAGGGCAAGAAGACCAGGTACCACAGGAAATACTACGCTTGTAAGCTTTCATGGCGTCCTCTTGCTCTCGCATGGACGGTGCTCGTGCCCCGCCGGGTCGTGGGCTGCCGTGCCGGGGGTGGACATCTTACCTGCGAGGTGCACACCTTGTTGAACGTGACAAAGGCGAATGTCTGGGCCATCATGGTCGTGGCCAGATCCTTCTTGGCCAGGACGAACGGGATGAGGACGCACGAGAGCGACAGCTGCGGGAGGAAGGCGAGCGACTCGGCGTGCAGGAAGGAGGTGTGCGGCGCCGAGGACCTGAGGTACAGCACGATGTTGTAGGGCGAGAAGTTGTGCCTGTGGTCGATGCGGGCGAGGTGGTGGAAGAAGGTGTGGACGAGGAATGGGCGGCCGTAGCTGCGAACCATGTCAGTGCTTGCGCGCGCGCGCCAACGGGAAAAGGGACGGAACTCACACGGCGTACATGACGACATTGAGGCCCACGAACGTGGCTAGGCTCACGGCCGCGAGCCGGATCCTGTCCCTGGACACGAAGCCTGCGATGCGATGGCCTGGAGGTGGTTTGCGCGGCGTCCTGGTCCCCTGCATGTGCTCGGCGTCCATCCACCACGCAATGGCGGGCGCCCAGATGCAAGGGTAAATCTTGAAGTGCACGCCGAGGCCCAGGATGACGGCTGCCAGGTCCACGCGCCTGCTTTCCACCGCCCACACGAGTGCGGTGGCCAGGACGCCCAGGAGGCCCTCGGAACTGCCCCTCGTGCTGATGGTTGCCACCATGGGATTCCAGAGCCAGAGCGCGGCGAAGGCGCCTGCCCGCTCGGGAGACATGCCCCTCCGGCGGAGGATGCGTAGGATGAGCCAGCCTGCCAGCAGGTCGGCGAGCGCAAAGACCATCTTGCCGAAGGAGAAGAAGGACACCGTGGGGAGGAGGAGCCATGCGAGCAGAGGGGTGTAGCGGTAGGTGTCGCGGGCGTAGGGGGATTGCGCCTGCCAGACGTAGCGCGACGCATCGGTGAAGACGAGGTAGTCTATGTCTGTGTATTTGATGGCGGAGCGGGCGTCCTGCAAGGATCCGTAGACGAGGAGGATGAGGCGGAGGAGCGCGGCAATGAGGAAGAGGGACGTCGGGCGGAGGAGGGACGACGTCATGGCGATGGGCGATGGCGATGGCGTCGAGACGGGAATAAGATGGGGATTATGATGGCGGACGAGGCGTCGGTTGAGATATTCTCATGCTTGCGGGCGCGCGCGCTAGACGAGACCAAGGTCGATACGAGGTGTGGAGCGAAGCCTCGCACGTCGCACGTCTGAGCTTTGCGTCGGGATGGACCAAGTCGACAAGTTGGGGAGCGGAATGGAGTTGAGATAAACACGTGGGGCGTGCGGAATTTGGTTAGTGCGGAAGCGGCCGGCTCCAAATTTGTCACGATAACCCACCTCCATGGACGACATCTCCTCGCTTGCGGCAAACTCTATCCCCTCGAAGCCGGCCCCGTGACCCGACCCTCGTCTGATGCATGTAACCATAACCATGCCCGCGGGAACTAAGAGGCACCGGGATGGCAGTGTGCGCGAGAGGCCGGCCCGGGATCGGGATCGGGATCAGGATGGGCCCCGCACGAGATTTCACCCCATGTTTGAAAACTTCCGCGACGACCTGGATGAGCACTACGACCGAAGGGAGCGGATAGTCAAGGCGTCCAGGGATGTCACCGCCCAGAGCAAGAAGATGTACGTAACCCCCTTCTCGCGCCTTCCATGGACACAGGGTGCTGACACTAGCTAAAAAAAGCATTTTCGCCTTGCAAAGGTAAGACTGAGCCGGCTAGATGCCTACACACGCCAACTTTGCGCTCTGGGCTCACAAACACGCCAGGGTCAAACAAATCAACCAGGGCCTGCCGCCTTCCACGGAAAAAGACGTGACGTCACGAATGGCCGAGATCACAAAGCTCCTGCAGTCCATCTCCCCTGATGTGCAATCCATCAATCGCTACCGATACGCCCAATCGCTGCGCTGCCTCGAGGAACTCGTCGAGGCCCTCTCGTTTGCGCACTACCTCCGCCACCAGAAGCTGATTACCTTGGAGGAGACGGCCGCCTCCACACCAGGGGATATTGCGCTCACTCCCCACGACTACATGTTCGGCATCTTCGACCTTTTTGGCGAAATGATGCGCTTTGCTACGGTGACGACGGCGCAGAATGGCGAGATGCCGGGCGGCGAGGATGGGCGAAATATACTTTGCGACATTCAGGAGTTGGCATGTGCGTTTGAGATGCTGAGGCAGGTCCCGACAAAGGAATACTGGGGCAAGATGGAGGCCATGAGGCAGAGTGTGCAAAAGGTTGAGAGGTTGGGGTACGGGCTTGCTGTGAGGGGGAGTGAAAGACCCAAGGGATGGGTGCCTGACATGAAGGATTACATGGACGGTGGGAGTCCCTGAATCGTCAGAGACGGTGGGAAACACACTGTCTGGGGTTTCTGAAAGAGTGATGGCAGCAATATCGGCCAAGTCGGTGAGTGACAAGTTTTGTACAGACACTGTGGGAAGATATCTGCTTCATACTGTATACAGACCGTCGTGGCCCCCAGATAATGAGCTCCTCTTTGGTCGCGTATTCCCGGACGCTTAGCATTCTCTCTATTCGCCATCTGTTTACGTCGGACGTCGAAGCTTTGACACAGAGCTAAAATCGAATCTAATGCTTTCAACACGAACCCCCCATTTTGCTATGGACAACTTGGACTACTGCTACTGAAGTACGGCCGCTGATATCACCATGTCTCTGCTCAGTATGGAGATGTGCCTTTTGAGGTCTGGTCATGTTGTTCGGGCTTCTGGTGCGCTCCCCCCTGGACAAATCCGGGTGCCAGGAGACTGTCGACAACTTAGCTACGCGCCTACTAGGAGAACACGAGGCCTTCAGGGACCCTCTCTCCTTAGCGTGGAGCACGACACCAGGAGACCGGCTATGGGAAGCGTACTAACTGGATGCACGCCGTCACTTCTGCGCTGGAAGCCCGGCCGAAAAAAGGCACAATGTGCCTGATGCTTTCTGGACTCAAGTGCCATTTCGAATACAGGCCACCCCCCTTGGGAGGCAGAGGATGGTTGACTAGAACCAGACTTTTCAGTTCATGGCTTTGGCTTCTCCCTAGGCTCGCTGGCTCATTGAAGCCCTGCTTCCATCTGGTTCCTCTGTCGTCTTCGTCTGGATATAGACTTTGTTCATGTTGAGCTACTGATATGGCCTCGTCGTAGGGTTCCTGAGCGCCTAGGCCCTGGTGCTCGGATTTTTGCCATATATTTGCGCGCCGCCCCTGGAATCTGTATGCCTCAACCAAACCACCTTGTCTTCTCTTCCTCAGTGCCGTCTCTGAACAAGTTCTGTCTGCACAACACTGCGCCTACCGCTTTTCTTCTTTCTTCACAATGAGTTCCACTGACGGCAACAACTTTGAGGACGTCCAGGACACTCCTGGCAGTGCCTCCGCCGATGATATCGGCATGAGCGTATTTGACGAGGCCTTCTTCGGCACCGACGTGGACACTGATGAGCTTCCGTCGCCTGAAAGCACCCACGTCAACGTGGAAAGCCATGAGAATGCAGCCACCAGTGCCGACATGCTCGATGTTTTCAACCAACTGTCTCGCGCTATTGAGCTTTCGCCACCTGCCAGACCTCACGGCAACGTGGAAAGCCTTGAGAGTGTAGTCCCTGATGGCAACACGTTCGATCTCTTCAACGTAGCGCCTGAAACTGACGTGCTGGAGCTTATCAATACACTCACCAACACCAATGGGACTGTTGAAAATGCAGTCACCAACACCCATTGGACTGCTGAAAATGTCACAGTCAGCAATGGGACTGTTGACCGTGCGGCCACCATCTACGTCAGCATGCGGGATCTTGACAAGTCAGCCACCAACGCCGACGGGGAGGACATGAACAATGCTGTCACCAATGCCTCTCTGCCAAATCACGGAGCTGAGCCACCAGCGGACTCACAAGCGTCCGTGGAAAATCAGAATGCCACGACCAGTGTCCCAATGCAAACACCAGCGGACAACCAAACACTGTCGGGCAATGAAGATGCTGCCGTGGTCACTCGCCAAGAGGTGCCACCAAGGGACTCACAAGCGTCCATGGAAAATCAGAATGCCACGACCAGTGTCCCAATGCAAACACCAGCGGACAACCAAACACTGTCGGGCAATGAAGATGCTGCCGTGGTCACTCGCCAAGAGGAGCCACCAAGGGACTCACAAGCGCCCGCGGGAGATCAAAACGGCGTGACCAACGTCCCAATGCAAAGACGAAGGGTTTACCGACGACGCTCGTCGCGCAATCAAGGTGCTGCCATGGTCAGCCGCCCAGAGGGGCCACCAATGGGCGCTCAAGCGCCCGGCAGGGCCTCTGGTTTTGATGCCCCGGATGATCGGTTTGGGCTCGTGAACAACGGCCCTCAACATAGGATGGTTCCAACCACAGCCGAGCCAACCGGAAACCTTGCGGCCCCTGGATATCCACCTGTGCCGCAACCTGTGCCGTATCAAAATACGGCATATCAACCTGCGCCGTATCAAAATACGGCATATCAAATTGCGGCGCATCAAAATACGCCGTACCAGCCTGCGCCGTACCAGCCTGCGCCATACCAACCTGCGCCGTACCAACCTGCGCCGTATCCAAATACGCCGCATCAAAATATGGCGTATCAGAATGCGCCGTACCAGAATACGCCGTACCAAACTGCAGCGTATGAAACTGCGGCGTACCAAAACACGCCGTATCTAAATACGTCGCATCACAATACGGCGTATCAAGCTGCGTCCTATCAAACTGGGCCAGCTTTTCAACCCATTCGGCAAGGTCCAGTGGTTCCTCAGCATGGCGGCATGGGCATTGCTCCCCATATTTCCCACCCTGCTGCCTACTCAGTTCCGCGGAGTCATGAGGTGGCTCGTCATTCCTTTCATTGAAATCCACGGGCATCTCATGTTCCTGGATGAATGGCGATGCCGTTGCTGATTGCGGCAGAAGTCGCGGACGTGAAGGCGGGCACGGGTGGGAATGCATACATGGTATGCTGGGCAAATCACGATTCACGACCATGGAGGAAAGACATTACATAGTGATGCGGTTCATGTTTAACATCAGGCAGGATAGGTAATGATGGAAATTGGAGTTTTTGGTAAAGATGTCTATAAGTGAGGTGAAGAACAGGTCGTAGAGTCGCCGGCACAATCCGGGGGCGGCCCCACTTCTCCTGGGGAAGCCGTGCCTGGCCTGATTGGTCATATTGCCAGCAACGCCCCCGCTTTCCAGGGCATCCCGTAGTACCCAGACAGGTAGCTTTGCATCGCGTCACAATGCCAAGGATGCTGCAAGTGCGCTAGTGCATACTTGGGAGTACCCGAAAGGCAGAGACGCCATTTACGGCCGCGAGCCACTTCATGATACTACAAATAGTCTCTCGCAGGAACACGCCGTTCTGGAAATGCTGCAGCTCCAGCTGCACACTCGCATTCATCCTCGAATCATGGCAGGCATCCCCTCCGTCACTCATCCAGGCCCAGGCCCCGGCCCCGGCCTCTTCAACGACGACGAAGCCCGCTGGCGAGCCGTGCGGACGCGCGACGCCGCGGCAGATGGCTGCTTCGTCTACGCCGTCGAGACAACAAAGGTCTACTGCCGACCCATCTGCAAGGCCCGGTTGGCCCGCCGCTCAAACGTCCGGTTCTATACCGGGGGATCCGAGGCGCTCGAGGCCGGATTCAGGGCCTGCAAGCGCTGCAAGCCCGAGATGGAGGGCCTCATGCCCGTGGACCGTGCCGTCGAGCGGATTCGCCAGTTTGTCGTCGAGCACGCCGCCGCGGCGGGGCAAGCGGGGGAGGCATCATTGAGCTTGAGCCAGATGGCCAGGAAGTCGGGGCTTTCCAAGTGGCATTTTCACAGGGTGTTCAAGAGGACTCTGGGCGTGACGCCCTTTGAGTACCTGCGCAACCAGAGGATCGCATGGCAAGGCTCGCCCGTCTCGTGGAAGGACCTGGCTGCGGGCGTTGGCCTGGATGACACTTGGACCACGGCCTTGGACACGGATGGACCCAGCGAGAGCCCGGACGGGAGGAGTTTGGCCTTGTCTCCGTCGGAGCCAGAGTGGGATGACCTGCTGCTTTGGCCAGAGGACACTGACTTGGTGACCGGGTGGCCATGATGCACCGCCGACCGATTGGACGTCACACCAAGATCCGGAGGCCGTCTTATCCGGCGGATTCCAGCGGCTGCCCTGGCCGACAGGCATAAACTCGGTGCTGCGAGGTGCACAAGGTTTTCAATACGATTCCTCCCGGCGGAGGCCCGAGCAGGGCATGGTTGCTCGTCGCTGACTAAAACATGGCCTCTGATTGGCTGTGCGTGCCAGCCACGCCCTTTGACGACGCAGCCTCGACCCTTTGTCCGACTTAGACGGACGCTCAGATTCGTAGCGATACGCAGAAAAGGGAATGGCCAGGTTTCTGCATTGAATTGCGGGCTTTGGGATTGGGCAGATTACTTGATTGACCCAGTGGCCCGGGTCAAGGACGTGGAGCAGCTGGAGCGCCATTCACCCCCTTGCAGGGCATAAATAGTTACGACACTTCAAGCATCTCGTCTGCAACAACCATCGCCACCAGCGTCCACACGCACCCTCGACTCTCTCGCCTGCTCCCCGAGACACCTTCGGACCGGCCGCCGTCCGAGGAAAGCAAAAGGCAGAGTTGCCAAGGTCCCCAAGATGCCGCCCACAGAATCATCGCCCCTCCTCCCCGCCGAGCCGCCGACGGAGACGCCGTTCCGCCAGGCCTACGACTCCAAGCCGCTAGATGCCCGCTCGACGTCGTCGCAGTCGAGCGGCTCGCCGCGCTTCGACTACGGCGACGTGCTCCGCGACGTCATCATCGGCTTCTCGGACGGGGTGACGGTGCCGTTCGCGCTGACGGCGGGCCTCTCCAGCCTCGGCAGCACCAAGCTCGTCATCGCGGGCGGCCTCGCCGAGCTCTTCTCGGGCATGATCTCCATGGGGCTGGGCGCGTACCTGGCGGCCGTGACGGAGCGCGACACGTACGCCTCGCACGAGGCGAGGGCCGGCGCCCACGGCCTGGCCTGCCTGCCCGCCGAGCAGCGCGCCGAGCTGCACGCCATCCTCGGCCGCTACGGCGTCTCGCGCGCCGCCGCCGAGCCCCTCGTCGACGAGCTCTGCGCCGACCGCCGCAACTGGCTCCGCTTCAAGATGGACTTTGACCTCCGCATGGACGAGCCCGACGCCCACCGCGCCTGCGTCTCCGGCCTCACCATGGGCCTGAGCTACTTTGTCGGCGGCCTGATCCCCATGGTCCCCTACTTCCTGCTCGCCGACATCCGCGACGCCCTGCTCGTCAGCGTCGCCGTCACCGTCGTCATCCTCCTGGCCTTCGGCTACGTCAAGAACTACGTTGCCATCCGCAACCACCGCGCCGGCGCCTGGGGCGCCCTCCAGACCCTCGTCATCGGCGTCCTGGCCGCCGGCACGAGCTACCTCATCGTCAAGGCCCTCGACAGAGGGGACGCCTGACCGGTCCCTCGTCTACCTGCCCTCCCCTCCGTGCCAAAGGGATGCCAACGGCATGCGGGAGGGCTCCTCTCCCCCCCTTGTTTCAGGTTTTTGCGCGGCGTTGAGCGTTGGGCGTTTTGGGCTTGGGTCGTCGTCGTCGTCGTCGTCGTCGTCGTCGCCTCTCTCTGTCTGTGTAAATGTATATCCTCGACCCTGCGGGCGCCATGCCCACCTCGTTGTATCATAGTCATAGCTACAAGGCCATCTGGTAATCTGCTGCTGCAAATGGAATTCCACCCAGACACGTGTCCGGCACGCAGGCAGGCAGGCCACTCTCACCTTATATCCTGGCGTGACGGTGCATGCCCTTCCACTTCCACCCGTGTACATGCTCCCACCGTTCGAGCAGTGCTCCGACCGCTCCAGGCGACAGCTTCTCTCCGTTGAAGCGCTCGTCTCGACGTGATTCCTCGACTTTGCTCGCGCAGCGGGTGCGTTTCGTCCTGGCAGCATCCGACTCGGGCACTGTAGGCTCATGACTCGGCCGCGCTCAATCACTCACTGGCGTCGAGGATCCACGTCCACACATCTCACTTGAAAAGACTTGCGCTTGTAGAGGAGCAGTATCGGTCTTGAAAGGGACCTGAGGCATTCAATACAACTGATTCACATAGCGCTGTCAAATCGCTTCTAGACCCAAGACGGCCTCGGCCTCGCCCCGGCCAATAAAGTCACCAATCTATCCCCCCCAAGTGTGCGAGATACAAAATAAAAGCACAGACGTCAACTGGCCGCTGTCGATGAGTACGCTTGAAAAGATGACCCCGGTGTCGGGCCGGCCCAAGCACGTAGCTGATCGCTGCAATCTCGCTAGAGGTGATGCCACAGCTCCAGCGCCCCCTAGGGAATGCAAAAGTCGATCCAGCTACCTAGATAATCCAGCCGGTTCCCCAAGTCCTCCTGACTCTTGTAAATCTCTTCAAACTCCTCAAAGCTCAGACGCCCCCAGCCTCCCCGTTTCATGGCTTCTGCCTCGGCAATGTTGAGCCGCTTCCAACTTCGGAGCGTGGCGGCATCCGGTTCCTCAAGGGGGGATTGACGAGATGATGATCGCCGGGGGTGTGCTGGCCGCTCGGATGCTCGCTGCTTGGCGGCCAGCTCGTCTGCTTCTGCGACAGTGTTTGGGCGGAACTGCGGCAGCGTTGGGTCGTGAAATTCCGCATTCTCGTCCTCGGTGCTGGATTCTGTACCCTCTGCCTGCTCTTCATGTATGACCTCTACCGAATTTTCAAACTCGACCGCATTACGCGACTCGTCAGGGACGACCGCGTACCCGGTATCGGCTAGAAGCTCATCCAGTGACTTCTCCGAAATGGCCTTATCGGCGGGGTGCGAGTCCGACTCGCGCTCCTTTGGCGGTGCGTTGCATTCGGGTTCCAAAAGGTCCGTGGCATCAATCTCAGCCTTGTACGTTTCCCGATCAATGGCGGACTCGGCCGCAGCAATTGCCACATCTTCTGCCTTTTTGAATATAGTATCAAGGAGCTCATTGAATGCCTGTTGCGTGACTTGATAGAGAATCTCTTTGCCGGCGTCTTTTTCGGCGTCTGGGATATCCATGCCTCCCCACCGTTCAGGCACGCTCCTCGACGATGTAGAGGGGTTGGATCGAATGTCGTAGTCATCTGTATCCTCGGCAAATCGAACTTTGGAGCTAGAGCGGGATCGAGTCGTCATGGGCTGTGTGTCGCTGGCTTTGGAGTCTTCCATCGTCTGGTTCATTCGGGCAAGGATATCCTCGTCGGCATCCCAATCATCCGGGGCCATCCCTCCCTCCTCCTCATCCAAATAAAATTGCCGTCTCTTCCACCGATCGTGAAGGTGCCTCCGTGCCATGTCCCGGCGCTGCCTCTCCAACTTAGGTGCTAGTTTGCGACTTCGGGCTACGGCTCGGGCTCGCAATTCGCTGTATGTACGACCAGAGTCATCATCCTGCATATCCCCGTCATCCTCCTCTTCATCTTCATCGTCGTCGCCATCACTATCGAGGTCCTCGTCCTCAGTGTTAGTGAATACGTGGGAGATATCGTCCAGCGTGGTTGGAGGATCAAGCAATGACGACCAATATGCTCTGTCTTGGTCACCGCCACTCACACGTCGCATCATCCGCCAGTTCGTCTCGGCGTCGTTGTGCCGGACAAAGCGACGATGAGGCCGCGTGTCTGCGTCATACGCAAATAGGCTGGCTAAAATGTCTTCCCTGGATGCTGTGTCACCCCGGTTTTCGACGAATACACCGTTGAAGCCTTCGGCCACTTCGATACTGCCATCTCTTCGATGGATTTTGCCCTCAACCCTCAAGGCCAAGTCGCCAGGGGGTATCCTTATGTCCCTGCCGAAAAGGCTGCTGAGTGGCTGTCGACTGGATATCAGTTGCTGGGCCTCATTGGTGGCAAGAAGCTGGTCATCCAATCCATCCAGGATGTCTTTATGCATCTGTTTATACAGCACGTAGTAGGCTCTGAACATTCGGAGAAAGTCGCGCCGGTTTACGTAGCCGTCCCCGTCGATATCGTACCCCTCAAAGACTTTTCTCAGTTTGTCCCTGCGTTTTCTGTAAGACAGCCCGCGGAGAAATTCAGAGAAGCCTATCAAGCCGTCGTCATTTGAGTCGTAAAAGGAAAACATGCGGTCGTGGATTAGATTAGGCGCTGCATGTCGCGACCCACCGGTAGGGACCAGGCATCGCTCAAACGTCTTGCGATCCATGGCAATGCACAGTCCGTCAGGGTCGTTGCGCCACTCTGTATTAGCCATGTACGTCCACTGCTCCCAGAAGGCCTCCAGCTCGGGCCGCTCGAATCCGGTGTCCCTCGACAGCCGCGCAATGAGTGCCTTGGACAGATTGCGGCGGCAAGTGTCGGGATCACCGGTATACCAGACTGGTTGCATCTGCCTTGGCCCAAACGGCGGGGCAGGAATCTTGATCTTGTAGAATATGTGCGTCTTGTTGTGGACGCCTTGGGCCTCGCACGTCTCGCACAGATCAAAGTCGGCGCAGTTGGCGCATCGATAGCGTACTCCGCGTATAGGCACCATGCCACATGAATTACATTGGCATCCCCTATGAACGCATCCATTGCGCCTGGCATTGTCTTCTGAGACCCGAAAAAGCAGCGTGACTATACTGTGCCCAGTCCGTATGGACGGGGTCTGTAGGCTGTTGGCACCGGGCTGATTCCACCAGTCGTCGCCGCCGGCATCAACGTCGACGACAGTTTCGGCATCTCGATCCTCGGCATCCCGACGGTCGGCATCCTGATGGTCGGCATCCCGATGATGATCGGTAGGTCTTTGCCCTCTCAAATCTATCACTCGGGTGTTTTCATCGATGACAACATCGGACGGCGACGAGTGTGCGTTCCATTCGTTGGTTCCGTGACGGGGGCGTCGTATGGCGTTACTCCGATGCAGGCCACCGCCCGTCGGGGTCAATCGCGAAGGATGGCTCTGGCGGGATTGATATGCATAGTACCCTATGGAAGCCGCTGCTACGACCGAAACAACGGCCACAACTATGCGCGGCCGTGTGAGGGAGTCGGCCGAAGGGGTGCAAGGCCACATGGCTACCTCGCGGGCATGATTTGGGTGGCGATGGGGTTGGCCGGGCCGCGGCTGCTAGCAGGGCTTGCAGAGAAGCACAGCTCTGATCTAGGATACAGCGCTATGATGAGGCCAGCAGCATCCGATGTTGAGATGCACGGAGAGGACGGGTGGGTTGGACGGTTGGAGACTGACGATAGGAATGTCGTCGATGTGCACGTTGAAAACTGACCAGCGGCAGCAACAAGCTCCCACATTTTCAGCGGGTCCCACAGACTTGGCTCCACCAGCTCGAGAAAGCGGCAAGAGCGGCCAAGTGGGGAATTCGAAACCCCCAGAGCTCCGGTGCTAGCAAATGCATGATGCCATCTCCGTGATGGGGTTTGGTTACCGGCACCACACAAACTTGCCGTTTACATCCCATCCTCTCATCGCCGCAGCCACCATGGGGGACAGGCTACCGCCGCCTATGCCAGGGCACATGCCCTCGTCATTCGACGACAACGAGTACGCGCCTCGAGAAGTCCTAGACTGCTAGCATGTCCCTTCCCCCCCTTCCGAATCAACTTGCTCATGCGACTACAGAGAATTCTTTAACGAGCGGCCCATGCAAAAAGTCGCCCGCAAGCTCAAAGAGGAGCCCCTCGTGCCTCTCGGTCCGCCACGCCCGTCACCCTCAGTCAACGTACAGCTAATCCCCTCCGCCAGGAATCGGTCTCACCGTCTTCGCCTTCGTGGGCGCCTACCGGGCGCTTCGCCGCGGCGACTCTCGCCAAGCCAACAAGATGTTCCGCGCGCGAGTTGCCGCGCAGGGCTTCACCGTCCTCGCCATGGTCGCCGGGAGCATGTACTACAGTCAAGACCGGCAAAAGACAAAGGAATTGCGAAAGCTCAAGGGGGAGCGAGACGCAGAGGAGAAGCGACAGAAGTGGATCAAGGAGCTGGAAGCCAGAGATGAGGAGGAGAAACTGATCAGGGCGAGTATGGACAAGAGGAGGCAGAAGTTGGAGGCTGCGAATGCTGCTGCCGGCAATAGTGAGGAGGGTACTGCGTCGGGTGGTATTCTGGGCAAGATAGGACTGTGGTCCAAGGGTCAGGCGGCAGCTGAGACCATGGAGGTGGCGAAGGAAGAGCCGAGGAAGCAGAATCCAAAGAGTTCTTTGGGGGCGATTAGCGACGCTTTGGCCAAGCGGAAGGAAAACGACGGGAAGAAATGATGGTTGCTGCATCGCGGCAAAGTGTTTGTTGAGGCATGCGGATTGCATTTGGGGCGCCGGCTCGAGGAAATGTAAGATATGCTATGAGACCAAGGCGCTGCTCATTTGTACACGTACAACGGATATCAACAGTGACGTTTGTTTATCAACTCGAACTCGGGTTCAACTTCAAAACAAAGAGTGATTCCATCCGAGCCCAGCGACTAAAAGAGTGACAGCGAGTCCAGCTCAGCGGTTTCCGAGGATGTATATATACGCCAAATCACCCCATTGACCCTCCGCTCCTATTTGCCCCTATCAAGCCAGCCATCTCCAACAATGCCCTGTCAGCATCGATATCGCCGGACCCCAAATTGATCTTCCTTCGCGCCTCGGCTTCTCTCTCCTCCCATGCCCATCTCTCTGCCTGTGCTTTCGCCTCATCGTCCCCCCCACAGCCCCATACCTCCAGCTGGTCAATCTCAAATCGATCTTGAAAATCGAACTTCCGCGATATACTTGCGTGGAAGGCTCCTCCGCGAGACGTGTAGTCGTGGTTGAAGACACCAAATTCGAAGGAGTCGTTCAAGAGGAGAGATACTGCTCCAATAGAGTGGTGCGTATTTCTTCGACTAGATTTGGACGGCCTCGGATGTGGGGATCCGAACGAGAGGCAGGACTGGTTGCTCGGTGGTTTTGTAAAGGCCACATAGTCGGTGTTTATGGTTGATGCAGGAAATACGTCGTGCACTGGGGACAGTTGGAACAGAAGGGTTTCAGAGTCGCCAAAGCACTCTTTGTGTGTATGTTTCCACGGCTCGCGGACGTACACTCCATACGTGACACGGGTAGATTTACTACCATTCTGGAAACGTTTGGTTGGCAGAGTATCGGCAAAGGTGGCCGCCTGGCCGCCGTGCGGCGGGTCAGCCAGCAGCGTGCCGCTGACGAGAAGAATCGTGGGTGCCCGCCAGTTGAAGACCTTGGATTCGAAGCTGCCCATGGAGAAGCCGGCTTCGTTTCCAGAATACAGACGTCTTACGCGGCGAAAGAGTGAAGAGCCAGGGAGGAAGAGGGATATTTGAGCAAGGACATGGTCGTTTAAGATGTCGCCTTTGTCGGAGAGGAGTGGCTGAGCGGGTTTCGGAGCCGGCATCTGCCGAGGCTGCGGGCTCGCGTCTTTGTGTTTGGAAAAATCGAGGTTCTTGGAGAAAAGAAAGTGTTCAAAGAGGGCGTTGAAACTGTTGAACAAGTTGGGGAACAAGACGGGCAGGATCGTCTTGAAATGACGATATTTGATGCCAGGCGATGATTCTACATCAACGAATGACAAAAGTACACATTCGGCCGTCGACCGAAGCAGTTCGAGTTCCCTCCCGACAACCCGGTTAGAATACTGCGACAAGCTCTCTTGGGCTTCCAGCGGCGCCGCCAACAGCAAGAGCATGACCAATTTTCGAAAGTTGTCGGTCGGTATGATGGCACTGTGGAATTCGGGGGCAGTCCCCTGCTTTACAGCATCCTTGATGTCCAGCAACTCATATGCCGTGAGAACCAGGTCGTCGTCATCGTCACCGCCACCGTCATACGACTCTTCTTCTTGGCCAGGACGATCAACGGCAAAACCGGCAACATTGGCAGCGCCACTGGCCGAGTCACTCTTGGCCGAATCTGACAAAGACCTCACTCCCGCCTCTGAAGCCTTGCGATCATAGACGGCTAGACTCTTGAAGATGAGCTTTGACCTATCGGTCGATCCTCCCGTCAGCACATGTTTGTACCGCTCCGTCATGATGACAATAACCATGACCATTTGCGGAAGCTCCAGAACAGCAGGGGCATCTTGCAGGAAAGGAAATGCGCCAAGATAAGAAACCATTTGGAAAACAACGGGGGACGCTCCTAGGATATCGGGCAGCTCGAGGAAGCGTGCAATGGTGTCTTCCTTGAGGTACCTCACAGACCCTTGTTGGTCGGCAAGGCTCTTGAAGACATCTTTGAGCGAATAGAATTCCAGGGACGTGAAGCATTTGTCTTTGAATCTGAGCGCCTGCGGACACGAGATGAGAATGGCCCCTGGTTCTGAACGTGGCAACGGGAAGGGGGAGGGCTCACAAGATGGTACACCAAGTCCTCGCGGGAGCGTCGGCGTGGATTCTCATCCGACTGCGACTGGCCCATGGTCTGCGACTCTCTCTTGTTGTGCAGCCAGTTATTCAGCAGACATGTCGTAATAAAGAAAGAAGGGATTCCCTCGGACCATGGGATTCGGGGATATGGGTTTGACAGATGGTACAGCGACGAAGGTTACGTTATGTACTTCGGTACCTGAGAGGTACTAGGTAGGTGCTTACATTAGTTAGGTCCAAGTACTTCCCGCCATGTATCGGTCCGTTGACTGACGAATTGGGAAACTGATGACGCCGCCACCTTCCCAAAGCTTGGTCGGTCCATTCGGTCATCCAACAATGAGCACGTACGTCTGGGCTCAACTTGTTGACCGCGTGCGGCGGAGAGTTGACTGACTTGGTCACTTCGAGCAACATACACCCCCGCAAGATGAAGATGCCGCTGCCAAGCGTCGAGCAATTCATCAAGAATCGTAGATGCAGCAGCTCGTTTGCACGCGGCAAACCTTACGGAGCCGCGACCTGTCTCTGCAGCGAGTCGATAAAATGCAGACTGCGGTGCTTCGTCAAATACCGAGACCTGCGTCCTAGGGATGCTACTTTACTGGCACCCTCCACGAACAGGGTTACTCAACATTCGAAGCCGGGTCGCCCAGGAGATGGCGGTGCATCAACACCTAGGCAGCCAATGCTACAAGAAGGACGCGCCATTGGGTGCCTTGGATGCGCTGAAAGGCAGGAAAAGACTCGAGATCGTTCCCTTCTCAACGGAAGTGTATGTACGATCTAAGCAGGTGGTGCAACTGGGAAGGCATACTGAGAAGAAAACGTCAATAGGCATCCCCTGCTCCACGCCAGGACGCATTTCCGGCATGACTCTATTCTATCTCGACAGAATGACGTACAGGCCTGCCTTCGTATCTATCACTCTGGGCGGCTTTTGTATCCAACCTGGCCTTGATACAGATTCCTGCTCTTCGGGCTTCTTGAGGAAAAGGTGTAATCTGGCCGATCCACGCTCTCCATTCTGGGCATTCTAGGTCCATGACGGACTTTTCGATTACAACCGTCATCCTGATAGCCTGGCCACGTGCAAGTGCTATTTCCTTCAGGCGGTCACAGTCACGAAGCAAATGCCGCTCATCAAACCAACCTGGCCTGGCGTCTGCTTGACTACTTTCCGATGAGTACACATACGTATTGCAACGAGTCAGGTGTAAGCTTTCCTACTGGGCTGCTGTGCAGCTCCTCCTGAACCCAGGACGGCAAGAGGCATCTCGAGTCAAAGGCCTCAATACTATTGTCCGTATCATCTGGTCATGCCCCCAATGCGAGACGCGTACATGTTCAAAGACAAGGCCACAAGTCCCGATACCACGTCAAAGATATCCTCCCTACTAGCGGCGAAGTGGTGTCAGTCATGGTGCTAGCCGCGTTCTAGACGGAGAAAGGAACGACGGCCCCGACCTTGTCTCCGATCTCATTACGCTTCTCTATTTTGCCAAGGCCTCAAAACAAGACAAAAGCAGAAAAACCGTCACAATGTGCACAGTTGCTGTACTCCCTTGTGATATATAAACCAGCATATTGTCGACACTAGCCTCACTTTCTCCCGACGCCCCGAGCACCTGCCATGTTGATGAGCAACTACAAGCACATCCTACATTCAAAGCCATGTATGATATATGTTCGAAAAATACTCCTTTCCAGATGCCTCTGGCTAGTCATATTGCCCGGCTGCCCTTTGATGTTGATTCTCATTTCGAGTCGTCACGTCTGCAACCCGGTTCTCTTTAGCCCTTGTCGACTTTGCCACGAAACGAGACTGAACTCGCAAAATCGATTCCAGAGGCGGGATCAACGGCTCATCTTTCCTTTGCTGGCGATTGACGCGGTCGTCTGCGGTTGGTTCCCTTGCAAAACATTCGTGCGCAAACAGCGGCATATTCAGCTCCGTCTCTATAGGCAAGATGCTGCTGCTTGCGGTCCGTCGATAGGAGTCTTGTGCCATTTTCGAAGATACACTCGTCATGTCCGAACAAGATGCACTCTTGAGTTGCTGCTACTTTGACAGGCGTGGAGTACACAACTCTGTCTTTGATGATGGTTGAAAACTTGAGTATGAAGCCAACCGGCCGTTAGGGAGAGCAAGCAAGCCGACGGACAATACAGAGAGAACGGTATAACTACATTATATATTTCTTACCAGGACATTCTTGCGCCAAAACCGGGACGTTGGGCGGGGGGCGCGCGGACAGGCCCGGAGAATATGGTCCGGTCGGATGACGTCGAGAGGGTGTAATATGATTGCACCGCAGGACAAGGCTGAAATGCCTTGATTCCATCATTCCGCCCCGCGGGATCACGATTGAGTTATGCCAGTCCCTGCAAACGCGTCTGGCCACATGTCCACTCAAAAGGCGCCCGCCCGTCGGGTCTGCTCCACGGAATGTGCCAGAAGCCTAGAACCAATGCGACTCCTTCTTTGAAGGGGGAACACTGTTGGACGCCCGACTAGACGACTCAAACGCTCCTTGGGAATATGCAAGTCCTAAGAACCCCCCACCCATTGCGCCTAAGCCAGAAAAGACTTGCCACACGCCGACTCTCCTACCCCTAGTCTAGAAAGGCTCCCGCGACCCGATGCTGGGGGACTAGGAATTGGCTCCATTGGGGATCAGACGCCACATTCCTTGCACCGAGAGCTGGCAAGTGTGCGCCGGGAAAAACCACAGCGCTAAGATTACATAGTCCCAGGCAGAGGAGGGTCGAGTGTTGCTGCAAAGACAAAGCTCGAATCACCAGTGACCACCCAAAAGGTCCCGGACAAGAGAAACCAGCATATTTAACCGATATATGAATAATACGGGACCATTGCAAGAGAGTTCTCCAAGGGGAAGCGTGCTCTAGACGTTCAGACTAATAAGCAAAAGAAATGGCGGATAGAAAACTAGGATAGAAAAATGGGAAGAGAAGCGGTAAGCAGCAACTGCACTGCCAACGCAAGCTAATCAACATTCACCTTGTACATGAGGTCTTTCGACTGAAAAAGCATCCTCCAAGCCGTGGTTCTCATCATGGAATACGTGTCATTTGGATATGCGAGATGGCTGCCAAATACATGAGCAAGTTAAGCCGTGAGACTATACCGCAAGCTGTCTTCCATGTCGTGCCGAAGCAGGCCAGCGCGCCTCCGAAATGCTTCAGGCAGAAAGACTGTCTAACTTGAGACTTGCCGGTGCTACAGAACGCCGCCTCCCACGATGCGAGCGCATTCGCTTCGGCCGGACAGGAGAAGCAGACACGTCAACAGCAACAGTCAAGCTTCACGTTCCAAGTCTTGAGCTCCACTCGGACAAGGCTCGTTCCATGGTTTCTTCGGGTGAAAATGCTGAAAATCCGCTGTGCCGAAAAGGGTCTTGAACTGGTGTAGAGGCCAAGTTAGTTTTGGCGTCGCGGTAATTTGCAAAGCTAAATCTCACCACATCCCACGGCAACCAGCCAGCAAAATCCGGTTCCTCGTCCCAAAGAACATCAGGCCATGAGTCCCCCAACTCTTGAGCCATTCTGCTTCACCACCGACCGGCAGCAATGCGGCCATCTAGTCTCCTCAGGCTCACGGCCATGCTCGTCGCCTCAACTCAAGGCATTTCAGTGAGCGACACACGATCCATGGCATCAACCTATATCCCGTCCAACGACGATGGCCGGCTCTCTAAGCTCCTGCAGCACATGGATCATGACCTGATAGGCATCCTGATGGAAATAGACGACTTTACTCCCGTGAGATGCAATGACTTCAAACGGGCAAGGGTTCGTTTCGCACCTTCAACAGACGTGTGAGCTCAGACTGACTGATTGCGCAGGGGCTCTGGGCCACGCTGCTAGAAGACTACAGATCGAAAGAAAGGAAACTGGAAAAGAAGACCTACATAGAGGTCCGTTCGCCGCCATCCATGGCCTGTCGTATCACGACCGACAACTGACGGCATCTAGGCTTCCGTGGCCCTCCGGCAAGCCATTACAACAATACATGCCTGCGGTCCGTAGACCGAGAGAGAGAGTCGGACTCTTCCCACCCTCCGTCTGTGGGCGTTTGACCTTTTGGCGACTCACATGGTAAGGCCCCCTTTCCTTCGGGCACAGTATTCTACGCGACTTGGGGCTGACGGCGTAGATTTGGACGGGCATGTTCTGGGACACGTCCCCGTACCACTTCATGCCGTCGTTCCTCGCAGACGAGCCGCCCAAGAGAATGATGTGGGACATGATGGACATGCTGGAGATGGATGTGCGCTCCTACAACTGGACCACAGTATGGAGGGAGAAGCCCATCTGACGCGGAAGTGCCGCAAAGTATGTGTCAACCTGCGCGACGGACATGGGACGGTGCCCGAGCTAGCGTCCATGGTTCATCTCGAACCCGAGCGTCTGTCGGGCGATTTTGGCACTGCCACGAGCTTGACCGGGCTATGACCAACATGCTTCTTGTATTTTGTCGCGGCGCAAACCCTAACGAGGCCGAAGGCGAGCCATGGTGGTGAATAAAAAACTCTACGTGAAGCCCCTCAACCCACAGCACGCACCCTCGCATCGACTCTAGAATTACCTCCTGACATAATTCCATCTTGCTCCCCTTTGAAAACAACCAACAGCGTCATCGCCATGAAGAGGAGGGCCCTTGCCCTCACGCTGCTGGCGGCCCTCAGCCTGGGCAACACGAAGGCCACCATGCCCGTTTCCGCACCAAACGAGCTCGCCAAACGGTCCCCCGTGGCCGTCGACAAGGGCGAAAACACAGAAATGTGGTGGGAGCTCGAGACGCGGCACTACGAGAAGACCAACATGACGCTCCATCTCGCCCGCGCGCTCAACAGGATGCACGCCGCGCCCAACTGGTCCCATCACGACACATCCAGCGCCGGCCTCACCAGCCTCGAGTTCTGCGCATACATCCGCGGCCTGGCCTGGATGCTGTCCATGTCCACCGAGGACATTGACGCCCTGCCCCGCGAGGACCCAAACGTTGTTCTCAACAAAGTCCCCCTGCAAAAAGGAAGCCTGGTAGTAAGCGTCCCCCCGTCTCCCACAACAGAACCAGAACCTGACCAGTCCGGCGTCCGCGCCCCCAGCGCCTCCTCCGCACCATGACGCTCCTAGAAAAGTTCCTCTCCATCCTCGAGGTCCAGCTGTGGGAGACGTCGGCCCCCGGGCCACAAGCCCAGATGCGAATAGCCCACTGCTACACAGACTACGCCGTCCAGACGCGGCAGTGGCTCGGCAGCCTCCAAGACCAAGCAGGCCGCTTTGATCCCTCCAGCGCCGCGAGATGCCTCGTCTCCTCCCGCCTCAACCTCCTCTACAGACAGCACTCGGTGCGTGGGACCCCCTACCCCCTGTCCTCAAAGATGCCCGTCCGTCCACGACGCAAACACAGACTGACCGCGCTTTCGGCCCCCAGGACGTCGCCATGAGACTCTACGCCCGCGAGTCCTTCCAGGCCCCCATGTACCGCGCCCAGGAGCTGCTCACCGAAAGGTTCGCCAAGTCCCCCCCCGCGTGGTGGAATCCCGCCCTTGACGTCCCCGAGCCAGGCGAGCCGCTCAGGCGCTACCTGCTGCGCCAGGAAACAGTCTTCAAGCCTCGCATGAAGCACGCGCGGTTCGAAGAGGCCGTCCGCGCCTGGGGGTGTGCCTCGCCCAACGATTCCCGCGGCGTCTTCGACCTGCGCGCCATGCGGACGGAGAGGAGGCTGGCCGACAGGGTGACGCTCTGGCACGACTTGTCGCACGACAGTAAAATACGCCAGTTTTACAGCGAGATAGAGCACGGCACCGTGGCGAACTACGCCGATGACTTGGAGAAAATGTCCCGCCGTCGGGGCCATGGCGCGGAATGATGTGATTTGACGGGGACTTGGTTTTGGGGCCAGGCGTCTGAGACCGTGGTTTTCAGGAATAGTCTTCATTACACTGATGCCTTGTACATTTCTTCTTCTTCGTCTTCTTCTTTTTCCGGCCCTCGCAGTAAATGAAAAACGCCAGCCCCCCTGTCCTGGAAGTCCTGTTGTGGCTGCCCTTTATGCATCCTGCGCCAGGGCATCCGCGTCGTATGCATAACACAGTGACGACGTGTGCGAATGATGATCAGGCTCAACCGGGGCCTCCGGGCCCCTCCTCCCCATCCTCCTCCTCATTCACAGGCCGTCCACTTCCTTCTCTGCCACGGATCGAATCAGACGCTCGTACTTGGACTGCGCCTCTTGTTCGGGATCTTGAAGCTTTACTGGCACCGGTGTGACGGCGGCCTTGTTGCTGGATCTCGTGGTCCACAATACGCCTGGCTTTGGTGTCGTGTTGCGGTCCGTCTCGGGTTCAGACTTGGGCGTCGGACTGCTTGCTTTGGATTCCTCCACTGCAGGCACGCCTTCTTCGGGGTCAAAATCGGCCCGGGGCAGCCTCATGGCGAGCAACACGTACTCGGCTCGCGTCATGTTGTCCATGACGTCGTCCATGTAGCGGCGGACCTCGTTCTGTGGCGCCACGACCCGTGCCAGGTTCTCCAAGTGTCGTCCCGTAGTGGTTTGCAGGCGTACCGTGACGGGCTGGTAGTAGTCGAGCTTTGGGTCACCCCCGTACTCTGACGTGCTGCCTTTGCGAACAATCAGGAAGGACGCGACGACCTGCTGCCCGGACTGCGCCGGCAGAAACTCCAAGATGCTGTATTTGGGAAACAAATACCTGTCCCCTGACCCAAAATCGAAGACTACGGCCGAAATGTCGGGTCGGTTTGCATGGCTCGGTGCTTTTGATCTCATCTGCTGATTTGCTTGTTGCGCCCCTTGCGGTGCTTGGGGTTTCGGCTGGGGAGTAGCCGGGGGCCCATTTACGGGTGGCTGTCCCAGGGGCGAGGGCGATGGCGTCGTGGCCGCTTTGGGTGTTATTTTCGCATCTCGATGTAGCCGGTCTAGAGTTTGCTTCAAATCAGTGGCATCGGTGAACCCGGGTCTCCCTTCGGCAATGCGGCGAATCATGTCCTTGATCCGCTGATTTTCAAGGGCAGTCTTTACAAGGAGGACCACCAACGGATCACTTCGTGGGGGCGGTCGAAGTTCCGATGATTTCTGGTTCGGGTTTGATGCGAGCACGATATCCAAAATAGTGCGAACCTCATCAGCGAAATACTTTACGGTTCGACCGTCCACGAGTAGCCTGTCGGCGGACGGACCTTGCTGGCCACCTCGTTGTCGATATTCTGCATTCAGCTGGTCTATTATCTTTTGAAACCTCTTCAACTCCCCATCGTTTGCTTGCCCAACTGCAACTCTCTTCATCAAATCTCGGAGGCCAGGATCCGCAGAGGCCTTCTGAGCAAGCAGTGCAATCACAGGGTCATTCGTTGCGGGTTTTGCTGCCGGTGCCGGTGCCGGTGCCGGTCTGCCAAGCGCGGGCGGTTGGCCTTGGTTGGGAGCTCCAGCAGGGCGAGGTGCGGTACCGGAAGGCGATCCAGCCGCAAGATTAGAGGCATCATGTCTAAGGGGGGTTTTAGGAGTAGGAGAGGCAGCTTGAGGCGTCCCTGCGAGTTGGGGACTTTGCGTCGCAGAAGCTCGTGGCCGAGGTGCAGCGCCTGCAAGAGGAGCAGTGGTTGGCGGCTGTGCATGTTGTAGTGGCTTGGGGGCTGGGATAGGCGTTGGATTCAAAGCAATTGTCCCCTGCGTCTGCGCCTGTGGTTGTCCTAGCTGTGATACAGATGATTGAGGAGTTTCGGCAGTACTCAGAGGCCCCGGGCGGGAAGATGCTGCGGCCTGAGCGGATGATTCTGCCCCTTGTGCAGGCGACGAGGCCGGCGGCGCCGCTGGTACGGCTGGGGACGACGTTGGTGCAACGGATGCAGCAGATGTAGGCGGCGCCGATGCAGAGAGCGCGGACACGGGCATATTTTCAGCAGGCGTAGAGCTGGGAGTAGAACTGGCTGGTGTTGCTATTGATTTCGAAGAAGTGGTAGCAGGACTGGTTGAAACTGGCGGGGGTAGCATGGCTCCATTTGGAGGACCATATTGAAGAACAGGGCGTGCAAGGACAGGCTGCTGTGACGGCGCTGAAGGATTGTTGGCGTGTGGTTGATGTTGTGTTTGTTGTTCGTGTGGTGGTGCTGGTGGCTGCGCGGTTGATGGTTGTTGTGGTTGACTTGTTGAATCCATCTGTCCCGGGGCCGGTGACTGAGGCGAGGGTTTAAATCTTTGCTGCTGGTGAGGCAGCAGCTTGGACGTTTTGACGGCATACATGGTTGCCTCAACGATGTGCGGCTCTATAGTGAGGGTGACCAATCCGACTTTCATCATGCTGTCCTTTGGTGGGTTGTTTGGGTCCTCTTGCAACACGCCCTTGCGTTTGTGTGGTTTTGCCCAAAACTTTTCAAAGAGGCCTTCGCTGATCCACTTGTGCCGAGATCTCGAGAGCGATTCGGACATGACGCCGCTGAAGAGGCATGATCAGCAAAGATGAACTCTTGTTGGGCCAAGTCGTGCTGGACGGGCTTACCTCTCGGCCACGGACTGGTATTCTTTGCAAGACAGGCTGGTCGGCTGAGGCTCCTCGACTGTTGGGAGAGGCTTCCCGACTTCGATTGACTTGGGCAGAGGTGGAGGGGGAGGGGGGGGCGGCGGCGGCGGTGTCGGTTCGCGAGGAGGCGGTTCTGCAGCAGCCGGTGTTGATGATGGTCGAGACGCACTTCGTCTCTTGGCCGCCTGCTCTTGACGAACGGCGGCTCTTGGGGGCAACTTCCTCTTCCGCTCCATCACACGCGACTATGACGGGACGGATTCAACGGGGCAGCATCGAGCAGCACATCATAAAGGTGCCATGCGGGTCGTGGGCACGCCGGGCTGCCGCACTCGTGGGCGTCGTTTGAAGTCGGTGGACGAGGCGAGGTATTCGAGGTAGGGGAGACGCAGAGCGAGCAATGCGTGAATGTAGGCGCCGGTTGCCCGAGAAGTCAATGAGAAGCAGCAAGGAGTTTTAATAATGATAGCAAAAATACTGGCTAATAAATGCTGGCCCAGCCAGGACGAGGTCTCTGCTGCGGTGCGTGATTGGCCTGGCTGGTCGCGAGAGGCGGAGCAGCACAGTCGAGAGGCAGCGATGGCGAAAATTGACAAGGCGAACCGAAATGGATCGTGTGGATCAATCGGTGCATCCGGCAGGCCAAGGACAAGGTTGGCAAGGACAAGGTTGGCATTTGGCCCGGATGGAAGACGAAAGGCGAGCGCACATTCGAGGATCAACGGTGAGTTGCACGGGGGCAGAGGCAGAGGCCAGCCCCTCGACTCCTCGAGAACTCGACACCAGCCACAGAAGATGTCAACTAACCAAGTGCTCAAGTAAGTACTTAGTAGGTACTCTAGTAAGTACTACTTCAGTAGATACTTGCTCAGTCAGTACTCGACAAGATACCTACCAAGTACCCCGTACTTTATTCGGGCCAGCTGTACGTGCAGCGCACCGGCCGGCTGTGGCGTGCCTGGATCTGTTCTCCACCAAACCGCCTCCCTGTTGCCTGTTCAGTGGTCAGTACCTGGTTCCTGGTACATTCTGAGTGGTCGGGTTTGGCGACCGAGCCACTCGAGAAGAACATCTGAAGCTCGCCATCGTGGTTGGTCGTTCTGCGTCGCCGTTGAAGACTTCTTTTCCTCTCCGCCATTCTTCACAGGCATTTTGTGCCATGCTTGACCCGTACGTCCGGTGACTCTGCTGTCGCCTCAGTCTCCTCTTCTCAAGTTCCTAGACATCCGTCATGACAAATTCGCTCATTCGGACAGCGTCTCTGGCTGTTCTTGGCCCGCTGGGCTTGTATACCGTCTTTTGGAGCTTGGCCATCATACCATTCTTCCAGCGACAGTACGTATAGCTTTCGCACGCGGAACAAAGGTGCGTGTCAGCTCTGGCTAATGTGTCCTCTAGCTTCTTATACGCGCACAAGTTCAACACTCTGTTCTGGTCCGATGTGAACGAGCCAGAAAGATGGGGATTTGCAAGTTGGTCTCAGTAATCATGAACGTCAACTGGTATTTACAAACAACATCAGCTGACGGCCTTTAGCAGAGCATCAAGTCGTGCCCTTCTACCTGAAAACCCCCGATGACACCTATCTCTACTCGTGGCACGTTCTGCCGCTTCCTCTGTATCATGAGCACGAGGACCAAATCCTACAGAGGGCGTCATCAGAGGCTGTGGTTCTTGACATTACCACTTCAGAATCGTTCCGTCTGTTAAAATCGGACCCCAATGCTAAACTAATTCTATATTGTGAGTGTTCTTTTCGCCAGAGTTCCCAAGTCCTACATCCATTCTAACATACAAGCAGTTCATGGAGTGTGTTCCCCATTGTCAAGGCCACGACGTGCTGGGCCTTGCTAACACATGCCTGCTCTAGAATGCCGGTCACATCGCTCAAATGTTCAGAGCAGACAGCTACCATTCACTGACCGACACGTCATCTTACCACGTAATCGCCATTGATTACCGTGGCTACGGCCATTCTACGGGCGTTCCCAGCGAGGAGGGCCTCATCCAGGACGCCGAGACACTAGTGAACTGGGCCATGAACGTGGCTGGCATTCCGTCCAGCAGGATCGTCCTGTTCGGCCACAGTCTCGGGACTGCGGTGACAAGCGGCGTGGCCGAGCGATTTGCCCGCCGGGGTGTTGACTTTGCCGGGCTCGTTCTTGTTGCTGGATTCAGCGATCTCGCCAATTTGCTCACGGGGTATCGCATCAGCGGCGTGTTCCCCGTCATGGGACCGCTCGCAGCCTGGCCCTCGGCCGTAAAGTATCTGCAGACGTATGTTGTGGACAAGTGGCATTCGGCGGACCGACTTGCCAGCGTAGTGCGCAATACCAAGAAGAGGCTACGCCTTGAGCTGATTCATGCATATAGCGACTGGGATATTCCTTGGCAGCACGAGGACATCCTGTTCCAGGCAGCCGCCAACGCAACGACCAATGGCCTCAACCAGACCGAGTTTGACCGGTTCAAAGAGAAACACATGAGACTCAGCCCTGGAGGCGGCGGGTTTTCGGTCGCTGTACAGTCCAACCCGGATACCATCATCAGACAGCAATTAGTTCTGCACGGAGGTGAGTGTTTGAGTGAGCGCGCTGGCACGGATTGTCCCAGACGGGTGCTGACACCGGCTCGAGGCCATAACGAGATTGCCACTTCTTCATCCATGCTGAGAGCAGTCATGAGATGCTTTGAAGAGAAGTAATCCCAGAGAGAACCGTGCATTGTAAAAGCGACCTATCGATAATGCAGTTGGTCCCTCAACGCTTTACGGCCATCCAGCTCCGAACATGAGCCATGCTTTGGATTGTGTTGGACGATCCCGTCGGAGAGGAGAGGAACGCAGGACGCTGTCCGCTTGTGGGTGCAAGCAGGCGGATAACACGACATCTCTGTCGTGTCCGTACAGTCAACTTGTTTTTTTGCGAGGGCGAGGGGCAATCACTAGCTTTGTCGACGCGAAGACAAGGCGAGCGGTTTAATCGTGCATCCCCGAGAGGAGAATTGCAAATGTGGCTACCTGTCTCACATGTATCGACGCGGTTCTCTGCCCTTGTCGTTTGGCCTGTATTCCAGACGATGCCTTTATCTTTCCATGATATCTCTGCACAGAGAGAGCGCTTTTCGGTTCCTCCTCACTCCTCCGTTTCTTCCAATTCTTTCCCGTCTCAGCTGACATTGTTTTGTAATGCCTGGCGTTGAGTGGCGCAAGTGGGAATGCATTACGTAGATGGTAAATGTAAATGTAGTAGTACGGTTATTTAGGCTATCTGCCAAAACATGGTTTTTTTTTAAAAAAAATTATTTCCTCTCCAATCCTTTATTTCCTAATTCTAGTTTCCTCTCGTTATACAATTTGCAGATGTGAGTGCAGGATCAAGTTCAGCAAACCATCGACTGAAATCCGACATGCACGCATTTTGAGAACTCCAGGTGCCCCCACCATCCCACCATTTCAGCATCACTCCTACAAAAAGCCGAAAAAAAAAATAACCAGCATCAGCACCATCACCATCAGCAGCGGCACACGTCCCCAAAAGGCGCACCGCTCCGCGTCATGTCGCCCCAAGAGTCCAAGCCGATTGAGCCCATCGTCGGCAAGGGCAAACAAGTCGACCATGGCGGATCCGAGTCCGAAGATGACGAGCCTGCCGCCGCCACGGCCGCCGACGACCCTGCAGGCACCGCGCCCGCCAGCAGCAAGAAGAAGAAGAAGTCGAAGCGCAAGAAGGCCAAGCAGCTCCTGACTGGCCAGTCCGACGAGCAGAAGCACGCCGACAACGTGAAAAAGGCCATAGGGGGCCTGACGCCCCAGCAGATGAAGGAGTTGGTGGCCCTCAACCCGGGGCTGATGCAAGAACTGGCCGCGGCGTCGGGCAGCTCGAACCCCTCCCCGGACCAAGTCGCCAGTCTGCTCAAGGACATGAACCTCGCCGACATCATGACCGGTCTGGCTGCCAGCGGCAAGAATGCCAAGGACATGGGCGCCTACAAGTTCTGGCAGACCCAGCCCGTGCCAAAGTTTGGCGAGGACGGAAGCAAAGTTGACGACGGCCCACTGAAGATTCAAAAGATTGACGACATTGACAGGGAGCCGCAGCCGCTGGTGGCTGGATTCGAGTGGGTAACGGTGGACTTGATGGACGACGAAGAAATGAAGGAGGTGTACGAGTTGCTGAACGGACACTACGTCGAGGACGACGAGGCCATGTTCCGGTTCAACTACATCCCCGAGGTGCTCAGATGGTGAGTTTTCTTGTTGTCCCTGGACATGCAACGAGACGAGAAAAGAAAGGCAGAGGGACAAACAAACGGAAGCACCCGAGACGTTTCCGCGAGGCCGGCCTGCACTGACACGAGAGCTTTTAGGGCCATGATGGCGCCAGGCTGGCAGCGCAAATACCACATTGGCGTGCGAGCATCGCAATCCCGCAAGCTGGTGGCCTTCATCTCCGCCATCCCCGTCCGCATCCGCGTGCGCGACAAGACCTTCACGTCGTCCGAGGTCAACTTCCTCTGCGTGCACAAGAAGCTCCGCGGAAAGCGCCTCGCGCCGGTCCTCATCAAGGAGGTGACCCGCGTCAGCAATCTCGACGGCGTCTGGCAGGGCCTCTACACGGCGGGCGTCGTGCTGCCCCGGCCCGTGAGCACGTGCCGGTACTACCACCGCGCGCTGAACTGGAAAAGGCTGCACGCCTGCGGATTCAGTCCCCTGCCTGCGGGCAGCAAGCCCGAGTACCAGGTGCGCAGGTATGCGCTGCCCGACAACACGGCCACCAGGGGCCTGCGTGAGATGCAGGACGGGGACGTCGACGCCGTCGTCGGGCTGCTCAAGAGATACCTGGCACGCTACGACATGGCGCCAGAGTTTGCCGCCCCAGAAGCTCGCCACTGGTTCTTGCCCAAGAAGGACTCGAAGCAAGTGATTTGGCCATATGTAGTCGAGGTACGGCGGACAGGCCCCCCTCCCCGAGGCGTGGACTAGAGACTCGTGCCACCAAAAGCATGTACACACGTGGAAGACGGTCAATTCTAACCGCGCAAACATGTAGGAAAATGGCAAGGTCACCGACTTCTTCTCCTTCTTCTGCGTCGAATCCTCCATCATCAAGAACAACGACGTCCTCCGCGTGGCCTACCTCTTCTACTACGCCACGGAAGCCGGCATCGGTGAAGCGGTGGACAAGCCGGCCCTCAAACAGCGCCTCAATGCGCTCGTCAAGGACGCGCTCATCCTCGCCAAGAGGGCCAAGATGGATGTGTTCAACGCGCTGTCGCTCATGGACAACGCGCTGTTCTTGGAGCAGCAAAAGTTTGGCGGAGGCGACGGGCACCTCCACTACTACCTGTTCAACTACCGGGCGAGCCCGATTCCCGGTGGTGTCAATGCCAAGAATGAGCTGGACGAGGATCATTTAAGCGGCGTCGGGTTGGTGATGCCGTAGGAACAGTACCAGCAGCAGGCCAGATGGCGCATGCGGTAGCCAAAGAAAGCGTTACCATTTCCCTCGGGCCTGCCACTGACCGGTTTTCCTGGGCGTGAAACGACTCCATTGGCTGTGGTGAAGTGTGTCTTGTGCCTCGGGCGCGGCTGACTCTGGGCTCGACGGTGATTCTCGCGGCAGCGACAGCGGCAGCGGCATACCATCATATCCCACCGCGAGCAAAGAGAACGAGGCGCAGGCCATTTGCTGCACAATGCCCGTGCTCGCCAGCCCCGTACACCGTACTCAGTAGTTAGCTATTACGTGGCTGCCGCGGTGCATCCATCAATCCATCTGTCTTCGAGGAGGTCCCTGTCCGGGGTGCCGCACAGTTGCCTTGACCCAGGAGGCGTGTTGATAACGGCGTCCCAAAGATGCTGCCAGGCGAATGTCCAAGCCCCTGGTGCAGACGATGAATGTCGACAAGAACAAGAACGTCCCCAGCCGTCGTTGTAATGGCCAGCCTCAGCCTCGGGCATCACACCCGGCTTGCTGGCGATTTTGTCCAGGCACTCAGGATGCCAGCCAGTGCCCTCTGTCTCTCTGTCCCTCTGATGTGCGCGTTACGACGGACCATGACCACGGGTGCTTCCAGCCTTGGGCTGATCCGATCGTTGGGGGCCGCGGCGGCAGCAGCAGCACCAGCAGCAGCAGCACCAGCGCCAAGGACGGCAAGCCCATGTATCGCGAGTGAGGCGCGCGTTTTCGTCGCTGTGGCCAAGCCTGCTCTGGATATAACTTGTCCCGCAAGCTGCTGCGCTTGGCGTGGCAACAGGTTCCTCTCGTCGCAACGCTTCGGCCGTCCATCGTCGGCATGGCCTCTGCCCAGGCAGTTGACCTACAGGAAAAACGCACACATCAACCATGGAGCGTGAGCTGTGAAACAGAGAGTGGCCTTGGTGCGGTGTAGCCGGACCCGTTTCGAATCTATCTGACTGCAGTCGAGGGGCTCTAGGGCGGGCGAACCGTATTTTCAGCAAGTGGTATTCACGGTCGTGGGCGACGTGAGCACAGATAACGAGGGCAAGCAAGGTGCCTTGCTTCGTCCTCGAGCGTGTCGTTGATATTCTGAGCTGGTCAACCACCTTGTACGTTGCTGCTTTCTACATCAAACCACCCTCTCAATATCCAGCGAACTGCGGTCCTACACGCCCCTCCTATCCTCATGGACGCAGGCACCTGCGTTTCTATATGCGCTGGACTCGGTTAGGCCGCTTCATTGTATTGGTTCTGATCACATGGGACGAGTTCACTCATTGGCAAGTACCAAGGCTCACCAGTCCAGTCTCGTTTTCGATGGCAATGCCAGCCCGTCTCTCGGTCTATGAGAACACGGAACTGGGCCTGCTTCTGTTGTTTCGCGTATTCACAACCAGTAGTAGTTCCATGGCGCTCAAGGTAAGCTAGCCTGGCAATCTTCAGAGCGACGCAACGCGCTCGACTTGGCGGCGATTGCAAACGCTCTGGAAAGTCTACATGCAATGCCCTCTACTGCGAACACCTAGCTCTAGATGATTCTGTCAAACTTTTGGGTCGAATGTCATCAAGATGGTTCTGTTGACGACAATCCTGCCCCTGGCAAGCCACCGCCAGCCCAGAGACCCGGGCTCAACCGTCTCAAAAGATGTTTACGTCTCCAGCGTGAGCGTCGCAACGCCTGTCGCTGGATCTATGGGCACTTTGGTTGCATAGTAGGCCGGGTCGCGATCGTCTTGCGGTGAGCAATGCGACGCCGTGGGGAACCGAGGCTCGCCATGAGTTTCTCCCGTTCGGGCGGCGTCGTGGCAGCATGTTAGCCACGGAGGGAGTGAGTGTGTGCTGGATAGTTGGTGGCCGCTGGACGAGACGGCATAGCCGGCCGAGGGCCATCATTACAGCATTATGCTCGCTCGTGCTGCCTGAGTATAGTCAATATTGTCAAGACGATGGTGTCGGGGTCAAGGCGTGGTTCATTGGGAAAGGCTTGAGCAAACGACATGTTCGCAGGCCAAGGCGCAAATTCCAACCGTCGGGGTACTCATCACATGGCTCTCGTTTCAGGTTCCCGAATGCTAGGGCGTCGCCATCATTGCCAAATGCTCTGCCATCATATTGGCCAGTTTCTGGAGTTTGAGCCAGCATCCCACAATGTAGCTGTAGTCTGGTTACCTTGGCCGTCGCCATCGCCTGCCGCCGAACCATTTCGAACGGGACCATGGAAAACCGGTCATTCGCCAGAGGTAGAATGTGCCCGGCAGAACTGGTCGCAAACTAAGTTTTCAGCTTACGCGGCACCTGGAGGCAGCAGCGATCCTAGCGGGAAAATAGAAGGGAAATATTATTTTATTTTGGGGTCTATGAGCACATGCCTACTCGTCAATATCAAGTTTTGGTAAATGATGTCCTCGGCAGAATGCCATGCTGTCCACACCTCATACACGCATGAACGGGTCGTCATAGTCGCGATCCGTGCGCCATGGGAGGTTGCTCATGGAGTCATTGCAAATTCTCAATAACCAGTGCGGAAGCACCGCCGCCGCCATTGCAAATACCGGCGCAGCCAATCTTGGCGCCCTTTTCCCTGAGGACCGAGGTCAAAGTGGTGATGATACGGGCGCCGGAACAGCCGAGAGGGTGGCCGATGGCGACGGAGCCACCAAAGACGTTGACCTTGTCGGCGTCAAGACCCAAGAGTTTGATGTTGGCGAGAGCAACAACGGAGAAGGCCTCGTTGATCTCGTAGAAATCTACGTCCTTGTCGGTCAGACCAGCATGCTTGATGGCCTTGGGAATAGCCAGGGAAGGAGCGACGGTGAAGCGTTCAGGCTCTCGCTCGGCGTCACCCCATCCGAGGATTTTGGCCATGGGCTTGACACCAAGCTCCTTGACCTTGGCCTCGGACATGAGCACCACGGCGGCAGCACCGTCGTTGATGGGGGCGGCATTGGGGGCCGTGATGGAGCCGTCGGACTTGAAGGCCGGGCGGATAGCCTTGAGCTTTTCGACATTGAGGTTCTTGACTTCGTCGTCACGCTCAACCTTGATGGGCGGCTTGCCGCGGCCGCCTGGCACCTCAACGGGGACAATCTCTTTGAACAGACCAGCCTCGGTGGCAGCCTGTGCCTTCTGGTACGACTTGATGGCGTAGTCGTCCTGGGCCTCGCGCGAGAGGTGGTTGTCACTGGCACACAGTTCACCCTGGAGACCCATGTGCTCCTTTTTGTAGGCATCGGTCAGGCCATCCAGGAGAACGCCGTCGACGAGGGTCTGGTCGCCGTACTTGGCGCCGGTACGAAGGTTGGGTAGGTAGTGGGGGGTGTTGGACATGGACTCGGTACCGCCAGCAACGACGATGTCGGAGGTTCCAAGCATGATGGTCTGGGCACCGAGAATGATGGCCTTGAGACCGGAGGCGCAGACCTTGTTCACCGTCGTCGAAATGGTGCTGTTGGCGAGACCGGCGCCGATGGCACACTGGCGGGCGGGGGCCTGGCCAAGACTAGATGATATCAGCCCTGTCGAAACCAAGCAGGAAAAGCTGCCGCGTTAGGGGGAAGAAGTCTGTGTGGAGTAGGGGGCATACCCAGCAGAGAGGACATTGCCGAAGAAGACCTCTTCTACCTGCTCAGGTTTGATACCGGCGCGCTCAACGGCACCTGTAGGAGCGAGGGGTCAGACGTTGAATCTCAAGTGGGCGGAGCGACGGAGCTGCAACGTAAAGATACCCTTGATGGCAGCAGAGCCGAGCTGAGTGGCGCTCAAGCTGGAAAGGGAGCTGCTCAAGACAAAGAGAATTGAAGTCAGCAAACGGCAGGATACAAGGTATACTGTAGTGTTGACTGTTGGCCGTTGGCCGTTGGCTGTTCACCGAGGCACTTCGGAGCAAAGTCGTCGAGGAGTAGTTGAGGCAGGTTGAGCTTTACCCAAGGAATGAACCGACGGGGGTTCTGGCAGCAGAGACGATGTAAACAGGAGGCAGACCAGACATGGCGGTGACAAAAGGTTGAATTAGATTTGAGACGTAGCCGGCGGAGAAGAGAAGAAGAAAATAAAGAAGCAATACATGAATAAAATACAGCTCAGGACCTGTACAAGGTTGAATTCGGTTGTCGGCGTGGCGAGAGCTCAAATGCAATTCCCAAAGTTACCGTAATAATAATGCCAAGGTGGGGGAGGTTGAGAGCGAGTGGGCTGATGTGGGCTGAACCGGGTTTAGCGCCGATGCTGCCTTGTGTGCAACGGCGCGCACTTGCACCAGCGAAGAATGGTGCCACGTGACGCGACGAAGCTGTCGCCAAAGGGAAAAAAAAGTACCACGCATCGCGGCCGCGACGCCAGCAGCTCATCGTGCGCTTACAGTCCATTGATCGCAGGCGCTCGCACTTTGCCGAACAAAACGATGGATGATCTTTACGACGAGTGAGAAATTTCCTCATATTCTCCATCGATGCTGCACTCCCGAGCTCAAAATACTGACAAAACTCTTCTAGGTTCGGCAACTTTATTGGGGAGGCTGAATCTGAGGACGCATCCGAGGCCGGCGTCGAGGCCGGCGCCGAGGCGGGCGACTACGTATACGATGATGAACCCCAAGAGACCGGGGAGGTCACGGGGGAGGAGCTCATGGAACTGGATGGTTCGTGCAAACAAGTCCTCTCAAACTCGATCGATAATTCGCTAATTGGAGACGTAGACGGGCCGTCCAATGCCGTTGTTCTCCACGAAGACAAGCAGTACTACCCGACTGCCCAGCAGGTATATGGTGAAGATGTCGAAACACGCGTGGAAGAGGAGGACGCGCAGCCTCTCAGCGAGCCCATCATCGCACCAATCGAACAAAAGAAATTCACCATCGAGGAAGCGGACTTGCCGCCTGTTTTTTCTGAGCGCGAATTCATGACAGACTTGATGAACCTGCCTGAACAGACTCGAAATGTGGCACTAGCTGGACATTTGCACCATGGTAAAACTTCATTCATGGACATGCTCGTTCTGGAGACGCATGACATCGCAGGCGACTTGGATAGGCGAAGCGGGCGAAAGCGCGACGAGAAGCTACGGTACACCGATATTCATACTTTGGAGCGCGAGCGAGGAATCTCGATCAAATCATCTCCCATGAGTCTTGTCCTGCAGAATGTAAAGGGCAAGTCTCACCTGGTCAACCTCATTGACACGCCTGGCCACGTCAACTTTGTCGATGAAGTTGCCGTCGCTTTCAGGTTGGTCGATGGTGTATGCTTGGTCGTGGATGTCGTGGAGGGTGTGCAGGTCAACACGGAGCAGATCATCAAACATGCGGTTCTGGAGGATATTCCTCTGACGCTCATCATTAACAAGATGGATCGGTTGATCTTGGAGCTGAAGCTGCCGCCCAAGGACGCCTATTTTAAGCTCAAACACGTTGTTGAGGAGGTCAACACCGTCATCACCGATGCTGTGCCTACGAAGGCTGCCGAGAAGCGGATCTCCCCTGAAAAGGGCAATGTTTCCTTCTCCTGCACCGACCTCGGCTGGTGCTTCACTCTGCAGTCCTTTGCTCACATGTACACCGATACATACGGCGACGTCAATACCGATGAGTTTGCTCGGAGGCTCTGGGGCGACATCTACTTTAACCCTAGAAAGCGGTCATTTACACGGAAACCTGTGGAGGATGGTGCTGCACGGTCATTCGTTCACTTCGTTCTCGAGCCCATATACAAGCTCTTTACACACTCCATCAGCGCCGCACCCGAGGACTTGAAACCGGTTCTAGCGTCTTTGAACATTCATCTCAAGCCTGCGCAATACAGGGCAGATGCCAAGGACATCTTGAAGGCCGTGTGCCAGCAGTTTTTCGGCCCCTCGACAGCATTTGTTGACATGATTGTTCGACACGTCCCGTCTCCGATTGCGGGCGCACAGAGACTGTTGGAGCGAGCATATAGCGGTCCACTCGACACAAAGGTTGCACGTTCAATGAGGGCGTGTGACCATGATGGTCCACTGGTCATCCACGTCACCAAGCTGTTCAACACCTCGGACGCCAAGAGCTTCTACTCATTCGGCCGCGTTCTGAGTGGCACTGCGCGACCTGGCATGTCAGTCCGGGTGCTCGGAGAGGGCTATTCTCTAGACGATGAGGAAGACATGACCACTGCCACCCTCGGTCAAGTCTTCATCGGGGAGACTAGGTACAACGTTGCCACCGACCGTGTGCCGGCAGGAAACCTGCTGTTGTTGAGCGGCGTGGACAACTCAATCGTCAAGTCTGCGACTATCGTAGCCCCCAAGTTTGAGGATGACGAGGATGCGTACATTTTCAGGCCCGTCACACACTTTACTGAGTCGGTCCTCAAGGTCGCAGTGGAGCCCATCAACCCGTCAGAGCTGCCCAAGATGCTGGACGGGCTGCGAAAAGTGCAGAAGTCGTATCCGCTGATTGATACAAAAGTGGAAGAATCCGGCGAGCATGTCATCCTGGGCACGGGGGAACTCTACATGGACTGCGTGCTCCACGATCTCAGACGGCTGTATGCCGACATGGACATCAAAGTATCTGACCCGGTGACGCGCTTCTGCGAGACGGTGGTAGAGACGTCGGCGACAAAGTGCTACGCCATCACACCAAACAAGAAGAACAAGATAACCATGGTTGCGGAGCAGTTGGAAAAGGGCATTTCAACGGACATTGAGAAGGGCGCTGTCAAGATTCGCGACCCCATCCGAAAGACGGCCAAGTTCTTCGAGGAGAATCACGGCTGGGACAAGCTTGCTGCGCGCAGCATCTGGGCTTTCGGGCCAGATGACCAAGGGCCCAACATTTTGCAGGACGATACTCTCCCTACCGAGGTGGGTCGTGTGGTGTATCCCTCTGCTTTCCGTTCCGACCCAAGACATGCTGACAAAAGGGCAGGTGGACAAGAAACTTGTCAACACTGTCAAGGAGTCCATCCGGCAGGGATTCAGCTGGGCCACCAGAGAAGGTCCCCTTTGCGAAGAACGTATGTGGCCCCCCCCCCTTCTGAGCGCGACGCCAAGTCCGGCACTAACTCCCACAGCGATCCGCAATACCAAGTTCAAGGTGACGGATGTGTCATTGGCTGGGGAGGCCATCTTTCGCGGCGGCGGGCAGATCATTCCGACGTCGCGACGAGCGTGCTATTCCTCGTTCCTGATGGCATCGCCGCGACTCATGGAGCCCGTGTACGCCGTGTCCGTGACTGGGCCCGAAGACTCGCACACCGAAGTGTACAACGTGCTGTCGCGGCGTCGAGGCCACGTACTGTCCGACGGCCCCGTGGCCGGCACGCCTCTGTACCGCGTCAACGGCCTGATTCCCGTGATTGACAGCTTTGGGTTCGAGACGGACCTGCGGATCAAGACGCAGGGCAGCTCAATGGTCAGCTTGGTCTTTGACAACTGGAGCATCGTGCCCGGGGACCCGTTGGACCGGGAGCAGATTATCCGCCCGCTGCAACCTGCATCGGCACAGGCGACAGCCAGGGATTTTGTCCTCAAGACCAGACGGAGGAAAGGGCTCAGTGAGGACGTGAGTGTCAAGACCTTTTTGGAACCCGAGTTTTACCAGAGCTTGATGGAAAGCGGCATGCTGGGGGATGCATGAGGGGCTTTTTTTCTTTTCCACGCAGCAAGTATTTTGGCGGGAGGGCGGGCAGAAAGCGATGTGGCAATCCGATGTAGGTCCCGGAGCGTTGAATCCAGGGAACTGCTTACCGTGTACATGGAGCAAGGCGTGCCAGGAGCAGGGGCAGGGGCAGGAGACCATCACACTTGGAGCCAGCTGGCGGCCATGAACGGGTCCAAGAGGGTCGGTGACGTTTCCAAGATGCTCTGCGGCTCGGGCGAGTGAAAACGGGCGACCCGAGTACCGTCGGCCTCGATCCAGATCGTACGTGAGCTCGATGCCCGGGAGACACCCGGCGCAATGCATGGTGGGGCTTTACTACTTTACCATCCAGGGGACGAGCAAGACGGGACGAAGGCATGGGTCAGCAGGGTGTCGTCTGTCTGCTCAAGGAAAACACTGCATCTAGAGTCCATATATGCCCCCGATTTTCTCCTCCCTCTCCAGTTGGCTTGGCCGGCAACAGGGTGACATGCAGCACCGCCGCTGAGGCACGCATGCAAAGACAGAAGTGGTAAACGTCGACTTGGGCTTGGGAAACGAGAGCGCAGACAGAAAAGCTTGCGATGGACGGCCGGGCCGACTCAGGGGGTTCCCCGTCGACACGCCTGCTTTTCACCAAGGACGAGGCCAGCCGCACCGGGAGTCGGGAGGAGGAGCACGGCTGCATGTATAGGATGGCGGCGTCGCCACACGTCCATCTCATCTTGTGCTGCTTTGGGCTAGAACTGGGCGGATATCGTACGTGCACTAGGGGGCTACCTGGTGACTATTATGACCACAATCCACCACGTCAAGGCTTGGCCACCCGTGTTTTGATGGAGCCGACCGGGGAAAAGAGCACAATGGTAGCGGAGTATGAGATGTTTTTTTTTTCTTGGAAAAACAAATTGAACTGAAAACAAATTGAAATGACACCCAAGCAAAACATGTTCTTGACAAGGAGCATAGACGGCCGCGTGACTCGTCAACGGACGGTTGCGTTGCGTTGGCGCGAGATGACGGCCCACGGACTACCACACGGCGAGTGACATGGTGGTTTGCAATGTGGTTGATCGTAATTTGACATGACATGACGACGTCACCATGGAGTTATCATAAAAGGCCGAGAGGGAAGGCCGTCTGCCACGATTAGCTGGCGGCGAAAGGGCAACGCCATCTCTGGTCCGGACTCACAGAAGCGGCGATGCACTCCTCATGGCAGACGGCGGCCCTCGCAGGCCTGTCCCTCTTGGGCTCGCTCGCTCACGGCGTCGCGCTCACGGGCTACGAGTACGTCGTGGTCGGATCGGGAGCCGGCGGCGGCCCCCTGGCGGCGCGCCTCGCCATGGCCGGGCACAAGACGCTGCTCATCGAGGCCGGCGACGACCAGGGCAACAACCCAAACTACACGGTGCCGGCCTTCTCTGGCCGGTCGTCCGAGGACGACAAGATGGCGTGGAACTTTTACGTGCGGCACTACGCCGACGACGCCCGGCAGGCGCGCGACTTCAAGACTTCGTACCGGACGCCGGACGGGGAGCTGTACACGGGACTGCACCCGCCGGCCGGCTCGACGATGCTCGGGACGCTGTATCCTCGAGCCGGCACGCTGGGCGGGTGTACGGCTCACAATGCCCTGGTGGCGATTTACCCGCACCGCTCCGACTTTGAGCGCATCGCCGCGCAGACGGGCGACGGCTCCTGGGCGCCCGACGCGATGCGCAAGTACTTTGTCAGGCTGGAGAGGAACAGGTACCTGCTGCCCGGGGCGAGGGGCCACGGATACAGCGGCTGGCTGGACACGGACCGGGCGCCGCTCACGATCCCCCTCCAGGACCCGAGGCTGCTCAGCATGATCCTGGGCGGCAGCTTCGCCCTGGGCAACCACACGAGGCTGCTTCCGAACCTGCTCGACGTGCTGGCGGGGGACGCCAACGAGGATTCCGAGGCCCGCGACCGGGACGGCGGGTACTTCCAGGTGCCGCTGTCGTCGGGCGACGGGCGCAGGTCCGGCGCGCGCGACTTTGTCGTTGCGGTGAGAGACGCCAAGAACCGGGACGGGACCAGCAAGTATCCCCTCGATGTGCGGATGAACTGCCACGTCACGAGGGTCGTCTTTGACGAGACGGGCGCGGAGCCGAGGGCCACGGGGGTCGAGTTTCTCGACGGCGCGCACCTGTACCGGGCGAGCCCGAGATCCGGCCACGGCTCCGGCTCCGGCTCCGGCGGCGTCGCCGGCTCGGCCACGGCGTCGCGAGAGGTCATCGTCGCCGGCGGCACGTACAACTCGCCGCAGATCCTCAAGCTCAGCGGCGTCGGGCCGGCGCAGGAGCTCGCGCGGTTCGGCATCAAGGTCGTCAAGGACCTGCCCGGCGTCGGCACCAACCTCCAGGACCACTACGAAGTGGCCGTCCAGGGCCGCATCTCGTCCGGCTGGCGCTTCTTCGAGGGCTGCACCTTTTCCGACCAGGGCGACCCCTGCCTCAGCCGCTGGCAGCACCCGGTCCTCGGCAGCCGGGGCCCCTACGTCTCCGACGGCTTCGCGGCCGCCATGATGATGAGGACGTCGCGGGCGAGCGAGTACGACGCCTTCGTCTTCGGCGGGCCCATCAACTTCCGCGGCTACTTCCCCGGCTACGCCTACAACGTCACGGCCGACCACGACGTCTTCACCTGGGCCATCCTCAAGAGCCACCCGCGCAACACGGCCGGCCGCGTCGCCCTGCGCTCCGCCGACCCCCTCGACGTGCCCGACATCGTGTACAACTCCTTCGACACGGGCAGCGGCGACTCCGCGGCCGACGTGGCCGCCATCCGCGAGGCCATTGGCGTCGCGCGGGACGCCTTCCGGAGGCAGCTGGTCGACGTCGAGGAGATGCTGCCCGGCCCCGGCGTCCGCACCACCGCCGACCTCGACGCCTACATCAAGGACACGGTCTGGGGGCACCACGCGTCGTCCACGTGTCCCATCGGCGCCGACGACGACCCCATGGCCGTCTTGGACTCGAGCTTCCGCGTCAGGGGCGTCCGGCGCCTGAGGGTCGTCGACGCCTCCGTCTACCCCCGGATCCCGGGCACCTTTACCGCCGTGTCGACCTACATGGTGGCCGAGAAGGCGGCCGACGTGATTCTGAGTCAGAACAAGTGAGCAGGCCAGCCGGCCGGACGGTGCTGCTGCCTCGTGTCCACCTCTTTCTGTCTTTCCTTCTCCCCCTTGGGGCTCAATAAGAATACCATTCCCAGCATGATTTCCGTATCCGCGCACAAGAACCCCGTGACACTCTCGCCCGTGACGTCCAAGACTCGACACGAGCGACTAGGCCCTTTCCTTTCGTGACGACCCTCTTGACCCGTTTGTTCCGTGCCGCTACACCGTCACACAACGGCCGCCGGTTTCCATCCAGGAACACATCCCCGACGCCGGCTTCTTCTCCCCAACTCCCCCTCCCTCCCTGCCCGCCTGCCTCGTCTACGCGCCCACACGTCCACCGCGTGCAAGGAAACTGCTCGACTTGCGCTGCGCCAGCATCGGCAAAGCGACAGTCATCACCACGTAATACGTGTCACGGCGTTTCGTCGCGGCAACATATGCAGCGCCGGCCTCGCGTCGTGACAATCACATCACCTACGAGACGAACGCATCACGCACAAACGATATATTGGCTACGCTGCCGTCTAGCCTTTGTACTAAAAGAGCCAAACACGTCAGTATCGGCGGCGGCCTCGGCAGCTCCTCCCCGCCGCCGGCGAGCACCCGGCGCAGAAGCAAACTTACCACCAGCTCGCCGTTGGAGTTGCCAATGCGCTCGTTCAAGTCGAGGCCCTGGCGCTCGCGGTTCCCTCCGTCAACCATGCCCATCTCGGCCGACAGCAGGGTGCCGTCGAGCGAGATGTCGCTCGCCGAGTGGGAAAAGTCTGGCGACGCGTCCACCATGTCAGCCCCGGCGCGTCACGTAGCAGGGGGCCGAGACGCGCGGACTTACTCTCGCCGTCCCAGACGAACCAGCCGTCGCTGTTGCCGATGAACCTGTCCAGATCGATGGAGGCGCCGTTCCAGTTGCCGTCGTCGTCCTGGCACAGGGCGTGGAGGATGTGGCCGTCCTCGAGCCACATTTCGCGCGAAGACTCGACGAAGGACATTCTGCCTTGTGCTACGGGGTGTGTGTGCTTGGTGTGTATCCGGGGCGGCGTTGAAGCTCGAGTGGTTGGACACAGATCTCCGAGGTGCGGGAATACGGCGACTTTGCGAGCACTTTATACCCGTCATGAGGGGGTCACGATGCAGGGGGAGCCAAGGAACGGGAGGATGGGTTTCATGTATGCTAGGCCGGATCCTTTGTGGCTGTGTCATGAGTGACTTGTGCGTCGCGGGACGGGCGTATCTCTGTTCTGACTGACTTCTTGGGTCCTGGACTCTTGACTCTTGGGTCTGCAAGGAGTCAAGGACATGCATGGCCTTTGTGGTGCAACTTGGGGGCGGTCGTCGGTGCAGGTTGGCCCAACGTCCCGGCATCAAGTCTTGGCCCGTTTCATGGGCCAGTACGTGGTTGACTGTAATTGGACGTTCCAACTGCATCGTTGTATCGTCGCTGCAAAGTCGTGTCTTTGTTTGTCCGTTCTGCGGCCTCGGTTGATGGCGGCCATGGCCCCCCTTTGCGTCATGGAAAGACGCCCCGGCGAGACGGACAGTCATCTACTCCGTACGCCTGCGGAATCTGGATTCTGGAGGTTCAGGGTCGTCCGAGACAAAAAAGGTCTCGGCAGGGGGCTGCAGCCACGTCTGTCTTGCTCCCAGCCCGCAGCGGCCCGCACCATGCCACGCACCAGGAGGCGGGACGAGGCCGTCGTGATGCTACGACTGTCTGCCGCCGGTTGCATCTGCGTCATGGTCTCGCGTAGAAGCCTTGTCTGGAGACCAGGGCCCGAACGGCAGGCCGCTTTCCCGTGCCAAAATAGTCTCGACCTCTTCTGGCTCCGGTGGCGTCCACCTTGGTCATCACGGCACAGTTCCGTGCTGTCTGCATATCTACGCCGAGTGTAGTAACTCGTAGCCACGCCGTCTCGGAGATGGCAGACTCTTGATTCATGACGCCTGACGATGTACAGTATTGTTGAAGCGCCAGGTAACGAAATACATACATGGAACTGGTACAGGAGTAAGTGGAAAGCTCCAATAAATCTCCCTTCAGCCACTCGTACTCCGCATGCAGCAGGCTAGGTCTCGACAGGATGGCTCGACAGGCTAGACTGCCGCCGCGTTTCGTTGCCGGAGCTGCGAGCTCAGCAGCTACGTGGTGCTCGTCGCCTTCTAGTTCCCGATTCTCTCGTCGTCACGGAGCCCAGGGACGTTTGTGTCCAAGACGTACACCTTGACCTCTGCATCCCGAGCATCCATGCTAGCCAGGTCCTCCTGCGTGAGATGAGCCTCCACGAAATCCCGCCTATTCTGGCCGGGGAAGTGCTTCCTCGAAAAGTCCATCATTATCTGGATCTGGTAGAGATTGTTGTCGTTGTCCATTACCGGGATCGAAGGCTGGTGAGGCCTGCCGTGCCTGTAAACGGTCTCGATGGAGTCTGGGGGAAACTGAATGCCGACAATCTTGTCGCCCCCGGGCGGGCAAGAAACGACGGCGTCGCCCCGATCGTCGCGCAGCTCAAAGTACTCGCGTCCCAGGCGGTCCCAGGTCGGCGTCAGGCCGGCAAGGCTCGCGAGGGCCACCTTGGACGTCTGGTTCAGCTCGTGGTATAGGTCTGTGCCCTCGTGCTTCCACCGCAAGCACGCGCGGGAGCACCTGAAGTCGACGACGGGCACCTTGAAGAAGTTGCCGGGGATGGATGCCGAGAAGCTCCAGGTCTGGGCTTGACACAGGTGGCCCCGGGGGCATGTGAGTCTTTTCTTCTCGGCAAACGACCTCGTCTTGGTCCTGACATTGTCCTCGCCCACCTTGTAGCCAAACTTGGCTCCGAGCTTGGAGCCCGAGCCGCTGAATTGCAGAGACCACTCGACCGAGACTTCGCCGCTGTTCTCCCATTTGAAGTTCCTGCTGGTGGTCGTCGTCGTGGATGACTCGTACCAGATGTCGCCGCTGAATGGCTGAGAGTCCGCATAAGGATGGAAGTCGACGCGGACGCGGTCGGTTATGTTTGAAAAGAAGACTTCGTGCAGCTGGAACATCTCCTCGGCCTTGCATCCGCAGATGGGTTTGGCGCCAACACCGACGAGCGGTTCATAAAAGCCTACTTGGGCGGCCCAGAACCTTGGCGGAACCAGAGGCTCAACGATGGAGGCGTAATGTTCGACCAAGTCGGGCTGGATGGCCATGATCTGTTTTTTCAAACTGCTCATGCCCGCGCCGAGAGCGCCAACAACAAACAGGGACATGAGGTGCATTTTGAAAGGCACTTGGGCCGCAAAGTGGGAAGGGAAGGGCTTTGCACATAGGCCGTGTCTCGTCTAGAGCTCGAAGCGTGAGTGACGCTTTTTGGTTGCAGACAGCTCCCGCAAGCGTGGTGTCAAAAAAGGCCTCTGACACAAGAGGAAGCACGGCATGAAGCAATGGGGAGTCTTGCGCGATTTATAGTCCGGCACACTCGTAGACTCTTGGTCTCGGAATCATCAGCCATGGATGCCGCCGTATCAAGGCGAAAATACAACCAAGACACGTAGAGAGTCCGACTAGCAACAGCACCAGATGCAATGGACCACGTCGCCCTGCTTGACACTTGGCAACTTCTTCACCAGCGCAGAATATTTGTCCACGGGCCTGAAAATTGTGGCCCGCAGACCTCTTGTATTTCGAGACAAGGAGTCATACAACGTTTGCGTACCATCCAACGGCTTTTGATACGTGGGCCCAAGGGGTGCTCTGCTCAATCTCTATTAGCCAAGTCCGATGATGAGAGAATCTTGGCTTAAACTACTTGCTATATAGCTCAGGGCTAGGTCGATGCACGCGGGCGGGCGTTGTTCTGGAGACACGTCGCAGGAAATACCATTACATGACAAGAGAAAGGAGGGATAGCTTCTCTCTCTCTTCTTGTTCTCAAATTTACGGTTGATACTAGTGACGCACAAGTTAATAATACGTTGTGCAATATAGGGTATGGGAATTGCTACACGGGCATGACACTTTGGCTACACGGGCATGACTCTTACACGGGCATGACTTTTACCACTTCTGATTGGTCGCATACTTTCTTGGCCCCACAGATACTTCCTCGGAAAGGCGGTGTAGCCAACTTCACTAACAAGCTCCTACATCACCATGAATTGCAGTCACTTATCGTTGTGGGCGCGATTGGTCTTCTGCTATCTTGCAAGCCTGCATTTCGGATTAAACTACCGTCCTTGTACTGTTAGCCAGTAACTGTCAAATACTGGCAAAAGACGTGATGTGGTCTACTTAATTTATTGCCTCACAACGATACAATCTGGATCTTCGTCATCACTCTTAGCCAGTTCCCATTGACTCCTTGTCCTGCGAATGTTTCGTTGCGTCCTCCGTCCACTGTACCGCACGCCTGTCGTATTCCCAGCATTTAGGACTTTAGAAGGTCTACCTGGCCCTTGCTGGGCTGAGATGCCAATTTGGCCACCAGTTTGTGTGATGGTTTCTCGAGTAGCTTTATGCACTCTCCTAGCAAGAGTTGGCTTATTGAGACTTCCTGGCGGTCGACCTCGTCGCCCACTTGGTTGATTATCAGATCGGCTACTTGATGTAATAGCTAGGCTTTCTGGGATAACCTGCGCTGTATTCTTTGGCCTTCCACGTAGTGCAGTGGCAACTTTCGGGTCAAGAATTCGTCGGTATGGATCTTGAGATGCCGATTCCCGTAGTCGCCAGCGTGGGTGGACCTCCCATTTAGTGAAACGTGTGTCAGAATCTAGCTTTGCGTAGACTTTATGATAGCATGGGATTCCCAGCTCAATAGAGACCGTACAGTCGTCGTCGCAAAGTCCAATAGAGTCGGGGAAGGGATTCTTCCCCGTCGGCAGAAATTTGCGAGCAATACAGTATTGCTTGTTGATTAACCCAAGTCCTTTCGATGACATGGTTGTTCGTAGTTCACCAAGATAGTTTCCCATCGAACCTAGGTATTGTGGAGCAGTCAGGACATCATCCTGTCCACAGGCATCCTTAAAGGCACGTTCTTGGTCATGTATCATATCCTGCATTGCCTCGACGAGTCGGTAGAGGTGGCTCATGCCATTTAATAGATAGCTTTTGATATTATTGTTGCTTGCTTCTGTGCCGGACGTAACTCGGATTCCGAAGTTACGATAACGACGGATAAAGCAACGTGCCCATTGAGCACTAACAGGCATATAAGTCGAGTAGAGGTATTGTAAGATCGCTCGTTGGTCGTCGAACTCTTTACAAAGATCTCTCCATGCCTGCTCAAACGCTTCCTCAGTCTCGGCATAGAGAACCTTTTTCCACATTAAAACAACGCCTTGGTAAGTATGAGGAATCTTATCACTACTCGACCGATCTTCGATCAGATGCTTATCTGTAGTGCTCAACCCGCCATCCGCCTGTGAGGGAATGTCTTCACTGTCACTAGCGCTAGGGCTAGTAGTACTGTCCTCACGTTGGCCCGTCCACCTAGTCTTCGATTTAAGCAAAACGTTTGAAAGGATATGATGAATACAAAGCTGTTGCTGTGCATTTGGAAACTGATCATTAACGGCAGCTTTCATAGCCTTGTCGAAGTCTGTGATGATGACATCTGGTTCCCTGAGTGAGTGTTTTGTAATGAGCTTGCGAACACTCTCTGCAAGGAATTGGAACCCCTCCCTCCTCTCGTTATCTATTAAGCCAAATGCAGCATTGAACACAGTTCCAAGACAGGTTTGGCCAGTAGCCTGGAATAAAGGAAGCTTGAAGCGATTAGTGTTATATGTGTTATCAAAGCTAATAACCTCGGGGAAGCGCTTCCACATCTGTAGACAGTACGGAAAGGTCCAGACAAGACCAAGCAGTCTATCTGGATCATCATCGGCCCATTTCGCGATGTATGGGATCTTCTTCTCATCAAAGAGTTTGATCAATGCCGCAGTAGGTGTATAGCCATTTAGCTTCTCTCGGTTAATGAACGAACGGGCATTATAGATATCCTTCCGCAGGAGTGTTGTATCGGGGAATTGCTCCTCAACCATAGCAGCTACATCACTGGCTCGAATACCCGCGCGACGGCTTGCTGACTCGATGGTTGCTTTAACTGGTGTAGTAAGGCGGCGGTGGGAAACATGCGCAGATGGCGTAATACTCCGTTCATGGTTATGCTGGTGATGTTTCGGGTCTCTATGTTGTCGAAGAAGCCACTTGCCTTCCTCTAGGGCTTCAGCAATTATCATCCATTTGCAATCACACTTCCGAGACCTTCGGGTTCGAAGACCAGAACCCCCCGAGGCCCGAGATTGTCCAAACCGGTCGCATTGAATGGAGTACCTAATCAACCGTCCCTTATAGGAATATTTATTCCGCCGAATAATACCAAATCCGTTCTCCTTTGCAAATGCGTTGGTTGTTTTAAAAAGAACTTCGGCCGAGGGCGCTGGGTCGCCAGGGATTATTGGGTTCGGAATTGGCTCCGGGGCGGGAGATAGAGACTGTCGCATAGGCGAGGAACTAATATTTTCGGGCGTCGGTGATATTCGAGGAGGTTGTGTGGGTGACCTACGAGGTGGAGAGTACGGTGGAGGAGAGTCATATGCTTCGAAACTTAATGGTGACCATCCCCATCTCTCTCGCCAAGCTTGTACACGTTCGTATGATCGAGCAAGGTCTACAGTTAGCCTTCGACCTTCGCCGGTAACCTCTCGTACTATGCGCATTGCGGACTCGAACTCGGCTCTTGTCCTTGTTGGGAGATGCTGGGCGGATGGGGGTGATTCGGGAGGTTCAGAGGCGAATGGATCAAATTCTGGGCCTGGTATAAGCGCTCTGACTCGCTGGCTCCATCTTTTTCCACGGAAGAAGTCATTTTGAAGATATATCTCATAGTCAGATCGAAGGCCCCATGCAGGCTCATGGCGGCCCTGTGAACCATGGGGGTGTGGGAGACTTGAAAGTGTTTGCGGGAAAGAGGCGAACAGGTTATCGAGTGCATTTTCGTCCCCGAGGCCGTAGAACTGACCGATACTCGTAGCAGAGCTACTCGCGGATTGTGGTCGGTCTTCAACTGTGGAAGGACTAGATCTGCGTCGCCGACTGGATTTGTGTCGCTTTCCTCTTTGTGATTGATCACTGGGACTAGGGCTCCGCGACCTGCGAGGAGGTGTGCGAGGCAAAGACATTGACGTCTTGAGAAGAGAACAAGATTGTAGTGAAAGAATTGGTCGCTATCTCTACAGCATAGGGTGCCGTATTATGGTTTATTAAAAGCTACGAAAATGAAGAAAGCAAGCTCGAGGGGGTCGCCCCGACTGCGCGACCACTGGGTTGCTGCGTAGTAGCTTAGCCGAAATGAAGTAATTTACACAGAAGCAAGGTTAAAATGGCCCAGGTACTTGCGGCTGAGGTGGCAGAATCCAGCGTCGTTAACAGAGACAATGCGACCAATCAGAAGTGGTAAAAGTCATGCCCGTGTAAGAGTCATGCCCGTGTAGCCAAAGTGTCATGCCCGTGTAGCAATTCCCTAGGGTATATTTGCTGGTGTTTAGTAACCGAATATTATCATCAGCCAACTTAAACGCAATCAAGGCATTATAATAATAACAAGGCCTGTATTATTAGTCTACAACTGCCAACAGAAAAATACAGTGCATTAATTGTGTGCATATATGACACTGGCAAGCGGCCGTGTGACAGTCGAATGATGTCAGGTAAAAAACGTATGATTGTAGCTGGCAACCTGCATCATCAATACGTACATATACTATTAATAGGTTAAGCGAGGGGTTTTTTTTTCTTCAGAGCTGCTCTACCAAACAAAACTGCTTCAAGCAAAATTGACTGGAGCTGCTAGGGCACCCCTGAGTGTATCTTGGCCCTCATGACGGATTTGCCCGTCTTGCCAGTCCAACAACATATAAAGAGGGAAATAAAAGTCGCTGGGCTTCGATGCCGACACTACCCAGCATACCAACAAGACTTTCAACTCAAACAAAGGACTCCCACCACTTCGCTGAGCCCCACTCGTCGTGATTCTGGCCATGCATCTCGTCGCCACCCTCCTTGTTTCCGCCCAGCTAGCACAAGCCTGGGGAGGGCTCACCGTCGACACCGACTGCGAGGTCCTCGTCAAGGGGTCTTTAGATTGGCGTGTCCCCCTTCCTGTACAATGGGCCAAGTCGGTAGGTCCTCTAAAAGATAGCTCTGTGCGACCGCAGCCGCTAACGACGTAGCCGCTAAGGGTTGCGAACAAGTAAGAGTTGCGTGAAACCTCTTGACTTGCTTACCACACTTGCCAACGGCTTCTCAAGGCTCTCGCCTGTGAAGGCAACCTGACCAAGGAGTGCTGTGACTCGAGGGTTGCAGCAGGGGCCCCTCTGCCTCTCAGGGTATGCCACGTAGCCAGGAGATGGGATTCTTGCTGCATTCTGATTGTGGCTAGTATAACGAGGCCGCGCCGTACTATAAAAAATGCGCAAACATTAGATTCCCGGAACCACTCAGGGGGGACGACATTGTCCTTGAGAGCCCCCCTTGCCACTTGATTTCGAGGTTTCGGTGCGGCTGGGGAAGCTCCTTGGAGTTTTGTAATCATATCTTTGCGGCAAGGGATGTGAGTTCAGACATGTACCTTGCCTTTGCTCACACAGACGACCGACTCTAATATCCTGAATGACTAGGCATGCATAAAGGTAAGTACTTGCATGAGATGCAGATACAATGGCGTGAATATACTTACAACAACGCCTGAAACAGCTCGCAGCGTGTTCCGATGCCGAGGATAGAAAAGAGTGCTGCGGCCCTTACCCATCCAGGGTAAGTACGGACAGACATCTCGAGTCCTTTCATCATTGGCCATTGGCTCATGTTTGACGCAGAACCCCGAGTTGGCTCGCCGCTATTACAACCTGTGTCATGGCGCATGCACCAGGACAACGGACCAGGTTGTGGAGCAAGACACATGTCTCGCCTTAGGGTAGACTGTTGCAAGTAGCTGGCAGGATAGATTCCTACGAAGCATTGGACGTTACTAAAAGAAAGCAAAATCAGCATACGCATTCCATCCGCCCTATTCGACCAGAGGCCGCTGCCGTGCTCCTTTTTGTCATGCTCACCTCGCTAGTCCATAGTTTCGTGCTCATATATAATGGAGACCGTGCTTCAGCCTCGTCGTACGGCGGTAGAGGTTGCACAGGCTGTACATCTAACTGTCTGTCTAAATAAACCAATGAGTTTTGCAAAGTATTGGATCAGTCTAGAGTACACACTGGGCAACGTTCCGTGTCGGTCATGTGGCTGAGGCGAAATAGACAAAGAGGCATTTGAAGCACGAACGCGGCACAGTCGGGATGGATCGATGCGTCTCGGAATTGCAAACAAACATCTGTTCTGTATGTAGGCACTCAGTTGAGACCAAATAGACAGCTGCAGAAGCCCGATTACTCTCGCAAAGTGATGTTGAAGAGCCACCCAACATGGCAATTCAACATGCGACTCTTCGACCCCTGGATACTTTTCATACTTTTTAGCGGAGCCGTTGGCTGCTTATACAGTGAGCCGACGAGACTTGTCAGAATTGGAGGTTGAGAGGGGTGGCTAGAGAGCGTACACGCTGCCGCGGCCTTTTTGTGCCCAGCCAGACAGTTTGGAGAGATTGAAATTGCAACAGCCGAGGGGACTGCCGGGCTCACAGGCTCGAGCCGTTGACTTCCCTACAGAGCTTGATGCGCAACATGTTTATCGCAAGCGTCTTCACCACCCGACGTCAGAATGCTACAAAACCAGGCGTCGGCAACTCGCGGTCATCAGGCTCGCCGGCGCAATACTCAAACGCACGTTTCAAGCATCTTATCCAAAACTCCTTTTAGAGAGTCGTTTTCCAGAGCTGCAGCAACCCTCTCCTTGTCGGCGAGCTGCTTGTTCACCTGGTCATCTTGGCTATGGGTATTCTCTCTGCAGAGGACGTCGACACGGTAGTTTGGTGGCAAGCACTGTTCTAGTCGAACCCTGACACCAAGACCGAGGACCGTGGCAAGCGAACAGTGCGTGACGGTAGGGGTGATTTCAACCGTCACTTGAACTATAGTGTTGGCATCAGGTACGCCGAGGGCTGGTGAAGGAGTGATGTGAATGTCGTCAATATTGACGATTGAGAGCTGTCCAAGTGACACGGGGTGCTCAGGATCCGAAATGGTAGAAATCAAGTCTATAGTTTGCGTTGCAGGACATGTTAGCAAACTCGCAGACGACACCGAACAACGAGGCGCAAGACATGGCAATGGCAAATGGCAGCGCATTCTATTTGACCAAGACAAGACAGTTTCCGGATGCTCAACTGCCAGGCCCAATGCCGAGCCGGCACAAGTTTTGCGGGCAAAGATGGACTTAGGGTTGACAAATGGGGCATCTTCATGCAAGAATGAGTGATAGCAGAGGTGTAGATAGGCCACATATAGGACGCACCGTAAATTTCTTGCTCGTCAATGGGTTCCGGGGCATATCCATCATGGTCCATCCCGACAGGGCCGCGGGACCACGGCGCGTCATCATGGCAACACGGTTGCGACAGGAAGGCAGGCTTGGAGAAGATGATATCCGAAAACTTGCTGTCGGGACCATGGCGAGAAGCCGTCTTCTTCTGACGAGTCGGCAACTGCGAGGCGTTCAAAATGGTAGGATTCGCATTGTCCAGTGCTGCGGGGGCCATGATGTAGCTAGCGGTTTGTTTCGGCAGACGAGCCTTGTCTGACGACGACGGCTATTCCTCGATCGGACCAAGTCGATCAAGGGGGTTGCCGATCGCAGGACGCAGGACGCAGGACGCAGGAGCAACAGAGGACGCTGCAGCACTGGAGGCGGCGACGGCGAGGAGGCGAGTGGTGGTCGATGCGATGCGATGCGATGCGATGTATGATGGGATTTGGGCCTGATGTTTGAAGGATCAAACACATGGCCTCGCATCCGTTTCTGGGAGCATTGGGGTGCTGGGCAGGAGTGGGGAGGGGGAATACCTACAAGTGACACCGGCCATTTTAAAACCAGTACATGCGCCAGCTCCTGTCGGCGGCCACTCTAATCTGTACTGGCTACTTAAGTACTCAGGTATGGAGAACGGAGTTTGGAGTACTGAGTACTGGCGTGTTTGGTGCCGGCAACCGCGGCCGCCAGTACTGACTCAGGTTCTCCGATTGACAGAGTGGGTCATGGGTGAGGTTTCGAATTTGTTGATAAACGGTTCAACAGAGGAGAAGAGCACACGGCGTTGGGCATAGTCCGAGGCATTTGCTGCCTGCTTGAGTACAGCGAGGAGGCAGCGAGAGCCGAGTACTTAAGAAGTACTCAAGTACCTACTTATTGAGTACCTACGCCTGGGGACCCGGCTACCCAAGTTGAAGTACCTAAGTACTTGGAAGTAGACAGGTAAGTACGTACTACCCAAGGCATGGGCGAATTACACTAGGGTTCGTTCCTTCCAAACTTCCTTTGTATGGTGGGGGCTGCCCTCCCACTTCCACTCGCATTCCCCCGCTCGTCAAATCATCATCAGTTACCAGATTTGTCACGTCGGTGAACGCGACAAAATGATCCAGGACATCTTCATTTTGCACGAATACATGCAAGTGGCATTCATGAACCCCCCAGGTGCCCCTGAATACGTACACGCGTGCTTGCATCATCCTACTCCTAGCTTGCTTTTGGTGCCTTTTCACCTCCTCGCCGCCAAGACTTGATGCGCGCGTGGCTTCTTGTTGACATACGAAGGAGAAGCTCTGACGACCCCAAGTCCTCCGTACAAATAAATACTTAAGTACATTGCCGGATTTTCAAAACCACTAGCTGATTTGACTCCGCTAGACCTGGATACTGCGGCACACCGCGCTGATCGTTATACCCGATGGAAAAAAGAACGTGTCACGCCCCCAAGCCTCTTCGGCCAAGAATTCATCATAATAAACAGAAGCAGAGGCGGCTGTCCTGCAGAGCCTTTCCTTTCTGGCATAATGGTCGCGAGACTTTGGTTCGCATTTAGCCACTGAGGCCGCAGGCACATTGCGCAGAGGAGAAGTTTCCATCTCGAGCCGGTTAGGGGCTCCCAGAGATGTAGAAGAGTCTAGTCAGCGTCCCGGGCAAATGGAAAGCACCCTTGAATCTGCACACCTCTGTCCCCATGGAAATGAATCTCTGACGAACCAATCCACTAGGTGCGGGGCGCTACATGCGGTTGCATGGTGGAAACATCGCTGTCCACAAGCGAGAGATTACTAGTTACAACAGTCCACAGAAGCCGCAAAATGGGACGGCGGAACATGCCCCTGCCATCTCTGCCGGCCGGCATCTCGAAGGGGGCGTGTGCTTCCTCAATTTCATAGCCGGCACGGAGTGTACTCTACGCAACACGAGTGGCAGGCTTGCTGGGCATGAGGTAGTAGGCGCCACCCACGACAGCTATCTCGGTAATCCATCAGCATCCCTGCCTGCCATATCGGCCGAATGTTTGACGTCGACGCCTTTTGACTTTACAATGAGCCCGAGAGAGGACGTTGATCCGTTATACATCAGGCCGAAGCGATTCTCAAGCGGAAATGAACCCTGTTAGTTTGGATGCCAGCCTTAAAGCGAAGCTGCTTTCATTATAGAGCTATTGGTTGAGCCACTCACGCCCTTCGACGACACTGGAGGCTAGAGCTGTGAATCACAATTGGCGGTAAAATTTCCCACCCGTTTGAATGCGTCCGCAAGTTTACGCCGTAGCCCAACACTACGCTGTGTGGTTCTTGACTCCCGGGAAGTGCCGCACTCATCATCAGTCCATCAAACTAAATATCAGGGGTGTCCTGCGAACTGCCAACAGCATGCAGCCGCCTGCCAATTCTTTCAAAAGATCCCTGTTGTGTATTTGACCCGACACTCAACTATCAACTCGGGGTCAATATGTCTACTAGGATGTTGACCTCAAAATGTGGCTGCATGCCAAGGAGCTTCCTAACGCCACTATACAAGCGTGGCGAGCCGCATCCTAAATAATAAACGCGTACCTTGAATCGGGGGGTAGAAGCCCTCAAAGTTCAGAAATGTCATCAAGCCTACCGTGGCGGAATGCCTTTCTGCTTCTCATTCTCTGCAGTTCGAACCCAGGTTGCGAAGGTCCTCCTCGCAGCGGCTCGAATTAGGTGCGATGAAGAGCCTCGAAGCATTCGCACCTGTAGCTAGGCTCTTCTTGTCTTTGCCAACCTCGAAGCCTCGGCAAGGCGATGGGAAGCATGGGATCCCCGAGCACAAAGCCCTCAGCTTCCTGCGCAATTTTGTTGCGGCCGTTCGCATATGAAACGCGAGGCAATGCCACTAGAAACCTAGTTCGCTGACTTCTTTTGCATCGGAGAAGCCATATTTTAACAAACAGACAGGCTTTTTATAAAGTCTGCTGGCACAATAAAGCAACGGAAACAGGGCCGAGGTCCGATAGTCAATGTTTTGAGCGCCTCCCGGGCTGAAGCCGTCTTCAGCTTTGATCATCGGGTCGGGTTACTGGATTCAAACGCGAATTTGGATTTGGCGATGCAACCAGACGGGGACATTGACGCGTAACTCATGGGGCATCTTCTGTCTCACCTGCGGGGGACCTCTCAGGCCTGTGTCCTGTTGCGCGAGCCCTCTTACAACTTGTGCCATCGAGAAGGGCGAGCTCTGGATTAAGATCTGTGGCTCGGTCATTTATCGGCCAGACCTTTCATGGCGGGCGAATAAATAAACCGCCACAGAGCGATAATTTGCCGTGGCGCAAATTGTCTCCGCGGCCCGTCTCGGGGGTTCACAAACGAGGGCTCCCGGGGGTGGCTTCTTACCCTTACTCAAAAGCAGTGCCCCAAGAGACCAAAGTCCAGCTTGGCCATTTCGCAATTGGGAAGACAAAGGCTGCCGCAGCAAGTCGACGGCAGCAAACTCCGCAGCAGCAAAGATGGGTGATCTTTGGTGTACCCACGAGTCGCCCAGCCAAATCTCGGGTTCATTATGTTCGCCAGTGAAGCCAATTCGCGCCGAATGCTTGCTTATCAAGATCAATAGGGCCGTCATACCATACTTGAAAAGTTCCAGAAAAGCCCCTGTTTTCATGGATGACGCCCGATAGTGTTGGCGAATCCCTGGAGTTGATGCAGCAAGTAATATCAGGTACCTCTCGGAACACGATTGGTACGACCGAACTCGATCAGGCAGTGCTACTCCAACGCCTCGCGCTTCGCTGTACATTGTCTTGACACCTCAGTGTGCGTGCATGGAGCCCTAAACCGTCAACTGTGGAACAAACCACGAACGTTCCACATTCATGTACAATGTGGTCAAGTATCACGAGATGATCAAACTGGTGGAACTTACGTGGTGCAGGTTTGCACTTCGGGATAGCTCAACTCATATGTTGGACCATCCCGTCAGCACGCAAAAGCGCCACTTGGCAAGCTAATGCAACTGCGGTCTAGACGGGCGCCTTCCGTCGATGCCTGTGCAGATGAAGAGGGCATATAACAATGAATACGAGTAGCAATAGCAACAGGGGGCGGACAAGTCCACAGGCGTCCCTTATCAAGGCTCTTTTGTCAATCGGCCTTGGCCACCTTGGGATGGACATGGACAAGCCGGCACAAGCCATCGACGTCAATCGAGGAATGCCATTCTGGCTGTTGTGCATCTATTACTACGTACTAGGCGGGTTCTCCCCCCACGCCAAGTATGGTGACGGCTCGCCTGAAGATATGGCAGAGTGGCCCCAGATATCCAAGTCTGGGCTGCCAGTGCCAGTGGGGAGAAGAGTTTTGGCAATTAATTTTCTTCATGCAGCCCGCCCGCCCACGGGTTCGGGCAGACCAGATTCAAGCTGACGACTTGAACCTGGGATTAGGCTCAAGTAACCATGGCAATGACAGTTTAAGATATTAAGCCCTACCCGACGCGACTCATCATGGCCCTTGCCGCCTCCAATGACCCCCCTGACATGCAAACGAATTACCGATTCCGTTGCCAGTGGAAGTAATAAAAGTGAAGTCATGACGGCACATGCGGAATCATGTCAGCGCCTTCCAAGCTGGAGCCATCTCAGGGCCAACGCCTCCAAGGATGGGCGCTTATTACATTTGGACTTGCACCAGATCAACAGACTCAAACGGCCAGTAAGGCGATATACCAGCTGTTCGAGAACTCGTCTTTGCCTTACCCTCATGTCATGACAATATTGGCGGACTCATCAAAGTCAAAGCCCCAACAGGACCCAATTTCATACAATGTCGGCATCGGATAGACTAAAGCCTGTGTTGGTATTTCTCCGTATTAGCATTCTTAATCACCATTTCCAGCCTCTGACACGGGATAGGCGGAGGTTGAGAGAGAAGAAAGGCTCTTGTCAAGAAACATAATTATCCGGCTTGTGGGCGACATTGACCACGTGCAAAGCAAAGCAAACCATGTCATCAATGGACAACATTATTAGTGACTCCACAACAACGGCGGCACCCCAAGTTTGGACTGGACTTTGGTAGCGCCCAAGTCCTGGGGGCGTTGACAGGTCAAGTGTCCTGGGCGCAATAATAAGCTTCGATCCTCGTCAATACGATCGTCAAAAAGCCCATGCCGCCGCCATCGTCCGTCTGAGGCGGCCCCCCCCCCCGGCAGAGTTGTTCTGGATTTGCCGGGTGAAAACGCTTGCTAACTCAAGGGCCATCACTTGCCAAGGACGAAGCGAACTAGACGCAAATGCGACGTCCAATAGGCCATTTCCGTCAGCTTAATACCTGGATGGCAAATTATAGATACCCTGGCAACCACCTAATACCTTGCCAATGTACGTCTTTAGTCACAGTAGAGAGCCGATAACCCTGTTTCAGCCATCTTTAGTTTCGAAGACACAAGACTCGCCAAGAGAGTTGGCGCGCGACATACACGCAAGTCATACCAACATTGCTCGGCTTCTCCGGGATGACGGCAAGTTATACGAGACAAATTTCAAGCCTCTGGAACCGGGGACTCAAAGCGCAAGGAAGAGCAGGTCGCGACATGTGGAACTTGAGTGCCATAATGCTCTGCAGGGGCATGACGCAAACTTGATGACAATTCCCTTCCAGAAGACCACCTCTCCAGAGCTGACCAAAGTTTACAACCGGAACGACGAGGGTAGGGCGGCAGGTACCGACAAAGTCTTCTAGTATTCCTATGGACGTCACCTTGGATCTCTTGTTCACCCTCAACGCCAAGGTCGCTATCGGCCCACCACCTTTGGTTATCGCGTCCACACCATCAGGACAACTTTAGCCATCCACAAGCACTTGATCCCTGACAGGAGCCGCGGTGCCAGTTGTGCTTGCAGGACTTCCTTCGCAGCAACTGGTCGACTGACACAAGCCAAGGCCTGAAGCGGCTAGAATGGACACTGTCTCGTCTGGGAATGGCGAAAAACTACCAGCTGCTGCCGGACTCTCAACTGAGGTGGGTTTGCTAGCTAGCAGGAGCTGGTTCAGATCCAACAGCAGACCAACGCCAAATCCGATGATCGTCTGCCGCAATAACTACACCGTCGATTAGACGGCATCACACAATCCCATTCGCCTGATCCTATGGTGCAGTCGACAGGTCGATAGGTTGGTACTCTCCGCGGTCATGCCACATGCCAACCGGGAAAAAATTGCCTCAAGCGTCGACATAACCCATTTCCAGGCAACAGCCAACTTCCAACTTGGAGTCGCCGCCGCGGTTGTAACAAAGCAGCGGACCATTGATGTCCTATTCTGGGACTGATCAACCCTCAGCCCGTACCACAGCCAGCACTAACACGAGTTAACACCCCGTCCCGTATTGTTCAGGCCTCTTGGCTTCCAGGTCGCTGGCCACTCATCTCAGCTCCCGGAGCCTGTAGGCTGTAGGCTGTACGTGCGTATGCACCCCCTCTTGGCCCCCTCCCCATCTGTCCCCGAGGCAAGACAGTCTCACTTACGACTAATAATAAGTCTGGCCCGCTCACCAGCCGAGGCCTCGCTAGGCTTGCATCACTTGCTTCTTCAAGAGAGGTGCTTGAAAACGCCTTCGCCCCTCACCCGAGAACATGTCGACCAATCCGCCACAACTTGCTGAAGCCGACTGGCAGATCTGGGATCCAGAAAAACCCACCCCTTGGCGCCCACGTCCTTGTCCCAGAAGAGTCCAGAGGGATGTACGGAGTATGTATGGACGTGAACGTGGTGCTACAGTTGACTGGCAGAGCAAGTTAATCGAACACGGTAGGTAACTAATAAACTGCTGGTACAGACGATTCTTTGTGTGTGCTGGACCTCCAGCTCGGCCATCCTCATATTTATCATTGCGACCGTCACCCCACATGGTCTTGTTATGCTCCTGGACTCCTGCGACTCGACTTCGACTTGTCTTCCCCAAGGCTGCTGCGGCCGTCTGATCTCCCCCCTCTCGCAACGTTGCTGGTACCTTGTTGCTCGCATACCCTCAAAAGGCCAGCCCGTTTCTTGAGCGGCTCGATGCTCATAGTGTCGGCTTCATGTCGACGGCCAGGCTCTCCCACCTCGTCCCGGAATCCCGAGGCTTTGGCAGCCACAATTATACCACATCCGCCGTTGCCGTAGTCAGATCTTCTGCACAGCAGAGTCTCCCTGGTTTCCGGGGCCTTTGCTCGGCCTTGTCTTCAGAGTTCCCCGCCAGCCATGTCCACGGATCCCCCCATCCGACGAACTCTATTACAGGATGCTCACCAGACACAAACAGCTCAAATGACTTCATTTCAGTTTGCGCCGCAGCAGCTCCCTCAGAGGGAAACACAAAAGAGTGAGTGTTCTGCTTGAGCCATGGTTGCGATGCATCAAAGAGTCGCGCGCGCTCTCTCCCTCGCTCTCTCGTAGCCGTGCGTTGTCTGGGAAGGCTGACACCCTTTGCTACAGATTATGTCTTCGTCGATGAGCACAATCGCCACAAGCGACTCAAAGGTAAGACTGGATCAAAGGCCGTCGCCCCAGTGTAGTATTATTTTTTTATTATTATTTCCATCATCGTTTGCCCATCTCATGAGTCCCAAGTTCTGACCTTTTGCCAATAGTTATGAGAGCCTGTGAGGGCTGTCGAAAGAGGAAGATCAAATGCGATGCAGCCACAACTAACACATGGCCATGTTCTGCTTGCATCCGGCTCAAGCTTCACTGCGTGCGGCCAAACGGCTATGAAGGGTCAGATACATCCACCACATATGATGCCGTCTCGGATCCTTCTTCGCAGTTTCAGCAAATGCCCATGGGAGGGCAGCCTGGGCCGGATTCCTCGAATTCGATGCCGGACTTGTACCCAGACGCCTTTGTGGATCGAGACCAGACTGCCTTTCAACAAGTTTCCTTTGACACTGTACCGGGCCAGCACAATTTGCAATACTCGACCATGTCAGCTGCGGCGGTCCTGGACCATGGGTATGGGGAGCCCGACGCCTTCGCGACGCAGGCAATGCGACAGGGGCCGAGACAGGAACCATCCCCAGGACCACAGTCTGTCGACTCGTACCAGCAGCAGGATCTTGCAGACCTGCTAGGTGGGCTGAAGGTGGATGAAGTTGGAACGGGTATGTGATGGCCGCAGCCGACGCGCAGACCGTGAACTAACCTGGACGTCTTGTAGCGCCCTATTTGAGGAACAAGGCTTCGTTCCGCCGCGAAGAACAGCCAGCCGTGGAGGACGAGGACGATTACGGCTCCATTCTTCCTACCGTCACAGCAATACCAGGCCACAAAATACGCATTCCTCCAGCGTTGATGCCCGACGAGGCTACCGCTCTACTCCATTTCGACCTTTATTTTCGCCATGTACATCCCTATGTCCCCGTACTGGATAAAGTCACATTTTACCAACAGTGGAACACCAGACGAGAGTCTATTTCTCCCCTCATTCTTGAGGCAATCTTTGCCATCGGTGGCCGGCTGGCCGAGGAGCCAGCACTGGGACAGCAATGGCTTGCACTTGCATCAAGTACGTGCCTTGATTCATTGGCTTTCCCCTTTCACCGTTACCCAAACCGCCGCGGCTAACATGAGTCAATCTCATAGGACATGCTGACTCTTTCATGGATGTACCCAGACTAAGTACCCTACAAGCTTTACTGATGATGTTGAAGGCTCGCGAAGCTGCTCCAAAACGAGGATACTTCTATCGCTCTTGGATGCTCGTCGTACAATGTGTACAGATGGGAAAGGACCTTGGGCTTGATGAACACTTTGAGGACCACCAAGCTGGAGTCCCTTGTGGTTTCACGACTGCTGAGTGCCGTCTTCGAACAAGGATATGGCAGACTATATTTGTTTGCGAGAACATGGTTGGCACCCCGCAAGGTCAGATAAAGACTCTACTCATTGGCTCCGATTCGTTGGCGATGCATTCGATCCGACTAACGGTCTCACTCAACAGGGAGACACGACTTAACCGTGAACCACGAGTCTGTGGACTTTGAAGCGCCTCGCCCCATTCCAGGGGGGGACGACGGCGAATACCACGTTTCTCGCAACTTCGCCTACCTCGCGCGCATTGTGCGAAACATCAGGAAGATGAGCATCGTCTATGCGAAACTGAGAAGAACCAAGGACTGGGGCGTCAACCCCGAGTTTCAGCAGCTTGAGCAAATGATTTCAGCGTACCTTGCCGAATTGCCTGGCGATCTGACCGTCAACTACCCCCTTGACAGCTCCCCCCCGTATTTGCCATCATCGTTCCTGGGAAACTTGCATTCATATTATCATCTCCTGCAAATCCTGTACCACCGACCGGTCCTGTCATTCCTCGACCCCACCGCAAACGAGACGCAATGGAAGCATCACATGATGATCTGCTACAATTCTGCAAAGGCCCTTTGCCGCCTGCAAGAGGCGATCCTGAAACAGTTTGGCCTGGTCGATCTCCAGAGCATGCAGCGCGGGTTCAGCTTCACCTTGTACGCCGGCCTGTCCTGTATTGTTATTCACCTGGTAAGCGACTTTGCCCGAGGAGACCTGCTCCACGCGGCAGGAATGCTGACTGAAAAAAGGTCGCCATCGTATCACCCGATCCCGATCTCAATGCCGACGCCCGCGAGTACTTTGAACGCCATATGAGGCTGATGGAAACGGTGATGGAAGCTTGGCCGATGCCAGACTTGCAGAAGCAGGTCGACGCCATCCGCGAGGCATTTTCGGCGGACGTGAGGCGGCCGTTTGTACTCAGGCCCTCATTCCCCTACGGAAGTCCACATCCATCAAACCAGTCAAGCCCGCCGCGAGGAACCATGGCCTACCAAGCCTCTGTGAAACGTGCCGGCTCCATGGACCAACACCTGGATCCCGCCAACCAACGCGTCACCTATATGAGCCATCCCATGACACCTCCAGTTTCCGTGGCCCCAATGGACAGCAGAAGTGACTCTCCGGCCGTACCGTCGCTCGTCGTGATGCCGCAGGATGGCCAGGTCCCGGACTTGCAACAGTCAATGGGCCTTGCCAGCAACCCGCCAACTTGGAACCCGGCGCGTATTTTCGAGTAAGTCGTTCTCGGCCCAACAACGCCCAGCACCACCAATGACTGGGCTCTCACGTACGAATCTCAAGATGGCTAACGCCCCATGTGCAGACACTGGAACACCTCGTTTGGTACGCCATCGCAGCCCGACGCCCTCGCAAGCTCCTCCGCTTCTCAGGCAACATTGCTGAACGTTTGTGCTCCAGGTGCCCCAGACCAAACTGCCATTGCGGACCAAGCGCCGAATCATTCCTCATCCCCAAGCACGCGGCAGATGGGCCATCAACAGTATTCCACGACGACCTCGGTGCCCAACTTTATCACTCCTGCCATGTGGCGCGAGTCCGTGGCCAGCGTCTACGAAGGGGGTCTCAAGCGGTCCTGGGACTATGACAACGGCATGGCATCCTTGAAGCGACCATGAATGCGAACAACACGGCGCAAGTTCTTGCTCAATAGACTCGGACGACGGCATGTATAGTAAGTGGAGGGAGGCCATGCCGAACCCTTGCAGTGGAGAGACTCGCAAACTGTTGGCATAATCACCACAGTAGCCAGTGTCCTAAGCTGGACTTTTGCTTCGCCACAGCAGCGGCCTCGGTCGGGCTCAGAGTGGTATTCACTGCACATTATCATTTATCATTTGCCTTTTCCTTTTTCTTCCTTTGCGTCTCTTCATTTTCTTGTCCTTTTCACTTTGCACAAGGTGGACGACGATATACACAGCATGATGACCAAAACAACAACAGAGACAGAGATGAGCGTTTGAAGTCGAATCGAGAGAGATGTAAGCGATCAGGCGGGTCGTCGCAAGCAGGCAGGAACAGACAGCCAGCTTGCGGTTGATGCTGCAAAAACGAACTTACGAAGCCATGATGGGCAGGGGCGTTAACGGGAGCTCATTCCAACGACATTTTCCTGGACGTTGATATCGCATGGTGCCTTCATGTACACAGGGTTAAATGTACAGTAGAATTGTGGTCGGCTTCGCAAGGCAATATATATATTTATCAAGGGTGGCAGGGCGTTGCTAGAGTGGGCTTGATGGGACTTGGACGAGAGGCGCGGACATGGGAAAGGGGGAGGTTTGCCACTCGCGTCGACCTTGGATTGTGTACATAATAACTACGGCATACCGAAGTCGTCCTTTCGCGGATGGTGTCGGGATTGGGGGGGGGGGGTTGTCCCAGGACAGCCAGGGCCGATAGAAGAAGAACCAAAAGAGCCTTTTCGTTGGCAGCATGATGGTGATGCGGCGGCGGCAAAGACTGCTTGCGTGCCTGCTCTCGCAACAATGAGTGAGTGCCCGTTTTGACGCACGGATGCTGCTCTTCATCAACCGGCTCCTTTTGTCCGCATGCCGTCAGACCTCCAAGCCGGTCTCAGGCTGACATCGTTGGTGCTTCGAGAAGCCGGCAAGGGTACTCAACACGAAAACACAAGTTTCCTGTCTTGCAAGGTCGTTCAAACAGAGCCGGCAGCAGCCCTCTCCCTCTTGGCAATCTTGTCCCTCGCTGCGTCCCAAATCCACGTATGCACCACCGTTGCCGTCGCCTTCCCCTTCTCCCCCAGCTGCTGCTGCCTCTGCTGCTGCTTCTGCTTCTTGGCTTGGTGCCGGGCCCTCGCGTCCTGGACGTAGAAGCTCCGCACAGCCCTATACATGTACCACTTCCTGCGCGCGTCCTCGGCCTCGACGTCCCTCACGTAGTTGACCAGCCCGAAGCGCGTGCCGGGCACGGCAGCACGCAGTTCGCCCACCCGGACGGCACTGCAGCGCGGCTTGGCGGTGAAGCTGCTCATGGTCGTCAGCGTGAGCCGGGTGCCGGGCGGCATGGCGGCGACGAAGCGCTTCAGCACGGCGGGCGACGCGCGCGCCGCCGCCGGCAGGTGGACGTGCATGTGCGTCACGAAGGGGGCAGTCGAGTATGCCACGAAGAGCATGGGCACGACGCCGCAGGCGGCGGCTTTTCTCGCCGGCATTTTGGCGGCCCTGGTCAGCGGATGAATGCTGCGAGTGGCGCCGACGCGCGAGGGCTCGGTGGCCGTTTACCTGCTGCCGTGTCCTGGAGCGGCTTCTCTGCCCTGACGTAGCTCGGCACGACGAGGAGCGTGAAGAACGCACCCATGAGGAGGGCCGTTAGTTTGAGCATGGCGAGGAAGGTTATTCGTCCTGTGCCGGCGTGGTAGATGAGGAGTCGTTCGGGGATTTCTACGTGGTGGGTTCACCTTGTTAGCTGCAGACGCGCGTGCGAATCGGGGCAAGGGGGTGGTACCGTAGTCTTTGTCGCCGTGCGCGATGGATTTGGCTTGTTGCGTAAGTGGTCGGAGGAGCTTTGGGAGGCGGGTGAGGAGGCTCGGATGCGGGTTGCGTAGTTGCGATGTGCGCTGCCATTGGGAATGTGGCCTGAGAGGAGTCCAGATGGGACTTCTAAAGGCAGCTTTGGCGGCGGCTGGTATTCTGGGGGCTATCATGGTTTGCGGGTGGTGCTGAAGGAAATCCGTGCGACGATGAGGTGAGGTGAGGCTGAGATGAGATGACGAGAAGTCGTCAGTCAGGTCGTGGAGGTGAAAGCGCGCCCAGTGTGCTCAGGCTACCCTGTACCCGGGATGTGGTCCAAGACAAGGGAAGGGGTTGCGCCGGAGCCTGGGATTGAGCACACCCTTGAATTGAACCTCTATCAACGGTCCGTGGGTGGCGTCGTTTCCCACGCGAGATTGACCGCTCAAAAGATCCCACAAGCTGTCAGTCACTGACTCGCTAACTGGCCGAGATGCACATCAACATCGGGGACGCGGCATGGACACAGAACAACAGCTCGAAGCAACCTGACAGCCTGGCCCAGGCACAGCCGTGTGCCCGTGGCGGTACCATCCGTTATCCCCCATTCATCTGCACACCTATTTTACATGCCAAAAACGCCAGTCTGAACAGGAGAGAAAGAGAAACAAAAAAAAAAGGCATTGCATATACTCTCCCGACTTGCAGTCAGGACTCCTCTTCAATGGCGTCCGCACTCCTCTCCCCAGCCCATCCCGCTCAGTCCTCGTTTTCCCGCCCGCTAAGCGCCGACTCGTGGAAGAAACGCGTACCGGGGCAGTACCGCCATTCTCTCTTCCGGGCTGAACTCGGCGTCGTCGTAGACCATCCTGCCCTTCTTCTCCTTCTTTGCTTTCTTGTCGACCGTGTCTTCGGCTTCCTGTACCTGCTGCGGCCTGACTCCCGCCTCGGCCATGCGGATTAATTGATCGACGTCGTCGCCCGGTGCTGCCTGCGGCTGCTGCCAGTAGGGTGCTTGGGGCGGTCGCTGGGGCAGACCAGTCGCTCCGGGCCCGTGGCTTGGAGGTCGGGCAGGGAGAGAATCAGCGAGGTAGCCGTATGCTTGCTGGCCGGGATACGTTGGCTGCGCAGCATCGTGTTGTTGGTTTCCCTAAAGACGAGGTTTAGAAGCGCGTTTGGAAGTCTACACTCCTGCATCCAAATCCATCCACGTACCTGTTCCGTGGGAGGTGTATTATTCCTCTCTTCCGACGCGGCAGGTAGAGTCCCGGCCTTCTTCTGTGCTCTAAACTCGGCCAATCGCTTCAGAAGATCCGCCGACGCTTCCATCTTAATCTTCTTCCTGGGCATCGCCTGCCCCGAAGCGGGGTTGCCTGTTGCGATGCGCCGGTCTTCCTGGGCCTGGTAGAAGTTCTGTATGATCCGGTTGCGGTGTTGCTCCAGGGCGTCTTGGGGAATACCCTCCATGCCGAAGATTTCGACTTCGAGTCCTTGGCGGTTGGGAAGGGCGTTTTCGACCTGGCTGAGGGTTTCCTTGTGGACTTGATTCAGGTGAACAGAGAGACCTGCCCAGGGGTCATCGTTAGTCAACTTGAGTCCTGAATTACGACTTGCGTGTTTTGTAGATTGCAATCGCGCGTCACAAATCCCATTCTCATACCTCCGGCTGTGTTGAGTCGTCGTCCGCAACGGTCACATTTGAAATGCTTCGCTTTTTGGTGCGAGATGAGGAGCTTCAAGTCTTCAAAATCACGTTCGCCTACGAGCAATATCAAGTCAAAATCAGTCCCGAAATCCTCCCGAGTAAGCAACGGCGGCATTCAATCGTACAGTAGTAGCACCAGGGGCGGGCTAGCACCTCCTCGATGTCAGGGTGTCCGCGCTTCTTTTTGCCCATGTTGACGAGCGCGCACGAGGTTGCGCAGGGGGTCTTTTGGGAGGGAAAAAAATTAAAAATAGGTCGAGTACTGATGGGTAGTCTGGCACAATCACCGCAAAAAGAAGCGAGTTGGACGAGAAGAGCTGGAGGGCACAGAGGCAGCTTGCGCTCGGTTGAAATGCGGCTAAACAGGGGGGATGGATGGAGGCGGAAATTCCGGGGCTAGTTTCGTCAAACAAGTCAAGGTGCAGATGAGTGGAGCGGAAATAGTAGCGCCGAGAGTTTTATGAGAATGTGCAGGTCCAAGTCTGCTCTTAATACTTATGTACAATTCATCTGATATCTCCATGTTCCTCATCATTATGAAGGCAACTTGACCCCGCACCTGCTACACGCTGATACAGGTGCCGTCACTGGTCATAATCCCTCATTCTGCATATTTTGGTCCGCTCTTCACATGCATCAAATTCTAATCAGCAATGGTATATACTCAGATCCGGCGCCTGACGGCTCTTGCTTCTATGTACGCGGAAAAAAAAAGGTGAAAAAAAATATGCCAGAGGCTGGGTCTTCAGAATATCCAAATATTGCAGCGGTTGCCATCATCTTCCTAATCCCGAGGCGTCTGATCAAACATGATCAACGGCCATGACGATGGTTGTGGGACCATGGGCAGTTCACCGCCAGTGTGAGGCATTTCGTTGCCTGGCATGACGGGCGTCATGACCGAGTTCCTGCCAGTGTCTGCTGTGTCGCCCAGAGTCATTAAGGCATCGGCGCCGTATCGTTGTTGACTTTCTGCAATCGCGGCAGACCAATTCTGCCACGAAGATCTCCACATCATGTCGGCATTTTGGTGGCAAAGATGCTCTCCTGACTCGGAAGCGTAGCCCACGAGGGGTTCGGGCTGAGCAGGGTCACCCGAGTGTCCAGCGGCCGCGCTTGTATTGGGATAGAATAGGCCTGTGTGATTGGGCTGGTATGGCGCCGTGGCCTGGGCGTTTGGTTGTGTCTGTTGATCCATGTAGGCTAGGCTTGGATACGTCGCTTGCGCCGTGGGGGACATCTGTGCTTGGTAGAAGTTTTTCCCCATCTCTTCCGGCTGGGAAGAGCCGTCCGACGGGAGAGGTTGGTTCTGAGTGGCCAAAGTCCCGAATGGAACGGCATGGCCATGTTGTTGCCGCTGCTCTTGTGGTGTCAACGGCACTGTGCCGTGAAAGGGCAGCTGCTGTTCCTGCTTTGCCTCGACGTGGGCCAGAGTCGCACTTTCAATGTCCTTTTGCGGCATATCCTGTTCTATCCAAGCCATGGTGCGGTCTATCAGCTGTGCAATCTGAGTACTCATACCAGTACCGCAGCCTGCCGAGTACAACAGTTAGCAAAAAAAAAATTAAAAATTGTCGGCGTGTTGAGGCTAATCAGGAGCACGCGAAAGCTTACCGAGCAGGGCGCTCATTTCTCCTACTATGTTCATCCACCTTTGCATTTCATCCCTCAACCTGGCTACTTCGTCCCGTGTGGTTTCAAACCGTCGTTCCCACTGAGGCACCAACATGGACAAGATGGCAACACAGTACAGGGACATTTGATGCCATGTCGTATCCAAGGCCTTCATCCTACTCAGGTGCTCGACAGTCTGCAGATATTCCCTGGCGGCCTCCTCGCAGATTCTGGTATTTTCAGTAATCAAGGCCACATCAGTCGTCATTGCCAATGATGGATGTCTGATGTGCAGGCGAAATTCCAACATGTAGGTCCGCGCAAAGAGAGGGCCAACCATGTCGTGGTCGTGTTTTTTGGACGGGCTCAGTCGCATGGTTTCTGGCAGGTCGGCCTCCCACTGTCTCATCTGAGCTTCGAGGACAGCAAGGACATTCCTGTAGTTGCTTTCATCCCTCCGCACACTGAATATGTTCGCGTACATCTCCATGTAGATGGGGATACATTTAAACGCAGCAATTGCAACTTCATAGGGACAAGGAAGGGCCCGCGATGTGTCGACACCCTCGTCAGACAATAGCTCGTCAGCAATCGGCTCCGGGAAGTCAACATCGAAGTCTTGCACGGATATCGGGAGTGGGTAGCCTCGCTTGCCGTTGACGTCAACGACAACCGTCATCATGTTCCACCAGGCTCGTTTGCGCATTTCGTTGTGCAAATCTGTCGGCTCACCAGGCTTCTTGGTCCTACGGTGATAATTCAATTCTAGCGCCCGGTGCAAAGCCATGTTTGCGACTATTGACCCGCAACCCGGCTTGGGAAAGGCTCTCGTGTGGGAGGCGATGAGGACTAGGCCCTGTAGAGCTTCGAAATCTGTAGAGGAAAAGATGTCGTACATCTTACTGAGAGCAAAATGATAATGCTTGTTTGAAAGGTCATTAAAGTTGTTGCGCTGCTCCAGAGTCTGGCTGTTCCGAACCCCAAACTGGAATAGTATGACGGCAAACACCATGTGAACCAAGACCAACTCGGGCACGGTGGGTTTGAAACTGGGGTCGTCATATACTCTTGTCAACTGCGGAGGGAGATGTCAGGGGACGATTGGAGCGAGTGAACAAGCAGATTGATATGACGAGTAGCCGAAGAAGAGGGAGCAGAGAAGAAAGTCGATGGAAACTCACAAGTTTCATAAATGTCGGCTTGTGCAGCAGTGGCATGAAGGAGGCAATGGTGATAAAGTACCAATCAGCGTAGATGAAGGCATTTTCACGAGTGGGCAATTCCACCTGAACAGCAGGATTCACACGCATGGCTGAACGCAAAAACGCTTGTACTGACTTGTTATACAAAGGTACGGAAGGGTCAGCGGCGGTGGGTGGTTCGTCGACATCGGGTGCATCGAACGAGGTCGTCTCAATGGTCGTGCCCAACAGGGTAAGCGTCATTCCCTTGAGAGAGCTGAGAGGTGCATCGTCGGATCCGACGCCCCAACGGCTCTGCTCGGGCCTGGTTTGCCACTCGTTGCGCGGGACGACGTGGCGGATGATGTTGCTCACTGGTCTGGGCGACGAGCTGTCCTTGATCCATAGGGAGCCAAATTGGGACCAGCCGTCGGTATTTGAAGGGGCAATATTCTCCGAGGCCGAGGCAGAGGCAGCAGAGGCATTGTCCGCGTCGTCATCAGCGGTTTCGGGGGGGCTCTGGGCGCGGACACGTCCTTGGAAAGGCTTCACCTTGACATTCCTTTCCGCGCAGAGCCGTTCCAAGTCACGAATGTGCGACATCATGCGGTTCTTTTCCCGCTCCAGCTGCTGCATGTAGCCTCTGCGCTCGGTGCGGCCCGTGACACGATCCGTGACATAACAGTCCAGGTTCAGGTTGATACAGTGCGAGCAGCCCTCGGGCAGGGCGTCGCAGCGGATCTTGCGCACCTTGCATCTGTCGCAAGCCTGGCCAGTGCGAGTATAGGATTGAAGGCGGTTCTTGACAACAGAGGAGAAATCCTCGGGTCCCCGGTCCGAGCGAGCCAGCTTTATTTTACCGGTGCTCGAGGCGTTGGCGTCGTCGTCGCTGGCTCCGCTACCATCGGCGGAGCGTTTAGCAGAGCGAGGGGCCATCTTCGCATTGAAGGCGACGGGAGCTGCAGGCTTGGTCGAGCGCGGGGAGATGCTCGTGGACGACGAGATGACCGAAGAGACATGGATGGAAGCGAGGCCGGTCGGGCTCGAGTTGGAGCTGGAGCTGGAGCTGGAACTGGGGCCGGAGCTGATGCCCAGCCGGACAGACGACGGGACGGCAGTATTGATATGAATGCCAGACGACGATGCTGGAGTCGGCCTCGGAAAGGAAGACGAGGGCACAGACGAAGGAGGCAGCAAAGTGGGAACGGGCGATGGGAATGGCGGCGTCGGAGCGGCCACGATTGCTGGACCAATACACGATGAAGACGAAGGCGGCACGGAAGAAGACGTGGAGGAGGAGGAAGCAGCACCAGCACCAGCAAGGGCACTGTTGGCAGCTGCACAGCGTTGACCAGCTGCCGGCGGCGTCATCTCCATCTGCCCCAGCCGCGTGGCGGCGGCGGCGGCAGCAGCAGCAGCAGCACTGGTGCCCATGCCAGGGCAAGCGCCAACGGCACCAGCAGCGACGACAGCCGTCAACGGCGTTGGTGCTCCCGCAGGTCTCGCAGGTGCCGGTGCCGGTGGGGGTGCGCATGCAGATGCCGCTGCAGGCCTGGGGCTCGTAGGGCTCAGGCCTGGACCGTCCATGTCCATCATCATGCATGTGTCGCCGACATCCGCGCTGGCAGCGGCGCCCACTGGGGGGGCGGTGGCACGGACATCGGCAGGGGCAGCACCCAGGACACCGCTGACGCTGGCACTGGCACTGGCACTGGCACTGGCACTTGCACTGGCACTTGCACTGGCACTTGCACTGGCACCCCCCGAGCGTCGCAGCCGCCCCCCGTGTCCCGCGCCGCTAAAACTGCCGCAGCCGCGGCTGCTGTCACTGCCGTAGTAGCGCTGGCCGCAGCCCAAGCTGGTGCTGCTGCTGGTGGATCTGGAGCTCGACCTTGCGCTCCAGGTTGACCATGACCGGCCCCCCGCCGGGGACGAAGCGCCGGGGCCCCCCGGCACCCATGCAAAGTCCACAAAGGTCGATCGTGGTGCGATGAAGAGAGAGGCGGCATTCTGCAGCGATGACGACTGTGGTGCCGCTGAGCCTGGAGACGTCGCGTCGCTGCAAGTGGCCTCTTGCACTTGTGGTGCTTGGGCTTGCGCCTGGGGGAAATGCACGGCCGCGGTGCCGTCCATGGTTGAAGGTGCCGCCATTGGCTTTCTTTCATGCAGGCTTGAGGCTTGGGACGCTTCAACAACAATACGGAGCAATTGCGGGCTAACTCCGTCCTACTCCGTCGTTGCGTCTGTGGCCTATGCAAAGCCCACGAGCTCGGAGGTCGGGAACCGGGATGAAGATGCTCAACTCACCAAACCTGGGTGGCGGTATGGAGTTGCGGCTGCTAACGTTTGTACCGAGAATCAGGATTAGCCAAGCACTCCAGAGCGGCAGATTGATGATAAGCGAGGCTTGGGGTCCAGTCCAGTCCAGTTCCCCGAAGCACCAACATGCAGGCCAGCGGGTCGACCGGGCTCGAGCTCTCGCTTTCCGATTCTCAACCACACCAGACCAGACCAGACCGTCCGTGCCGGTCCTGGTCCTTGCCTTGGTGGCCAGATGGGCAAAGTTTGGGGGACGGCGAGATGCGTGACAGGTCCTTCAAAGCACATTCAACACCTGGAGCTTGGCACCACGTATACGTACCCTACAACCTAGCTGCACATCAAATTGCTGCGCTTGGCTCTCACTGCCACTGCCCTCTACGGAGTAGCCACGGAGAAGAGGATCCGAGGACCTGGGGTCGCGGTCAATGTTTGTCGGGTGATCGTGGTCGTGCAGGGGTCGAGGCGTCGGCTCTGAATGCTTGCAGTTTTGGTATCCAGTACGTATCCAGTCCCTCAAGTTGAAACCCACCGAGTCAAGTGCTTTCTTCCTTCGCTACCTGGCCTGTTATCATGTTACTATTCCTTCAGACCTGGCCGTCAGAGACCCTCAAGACCAAATTGTGCATACCTTTGTGCCTGCTTGAGTCAGCAGGTCGAGACGATCTGTGGGCTGGACTTGGCGAACGGTATCAACCGAACAAAATGATGGCACATCAATGCCGAACAATCTCCAGACGAGACAGATCCAAGCTCGACTTACCGCCCGTCAAGATCGGCTTGTGCCAAGAAAAAGCTCCTGGCGCTGATGACCGAGGTGAGAATTACACACAAAGATGATGGTTATGCCTTCAGTGAACTCGTATGCAATATACTGGGCAATGCGCCTTGCGAAATCCCGAGGATTGTCTTCTTGGCAAAGAAAAAGTGGCGTGTTTGCAGCTTCCTCCAAGGTTCTCAGACTTCAACAACTCGACATCTTCATCCATGTCCCCTGTTTTCGGGACAGACTCAACTCGCTCATTTATATACATCGATTCTTGATAATGCCAATTTGTTTGCCGGAACAAGCGACGATCCGGTTGATACCATTACCCGCGCTAAGTGCCAAGGACTTGTTTATTTGCTCATTGCCTTGCTGGTGAGGCAGCCTTGCGCGACCCTGCCCGTAAACTTGGAGCCGAGCCCTCATACATCACCAGGGTGCCTGGGTTCGCAATGTCCGCCTACCCAACGCGCGCCCCGTCGCCTGGTCAAAACTTAGAATGTGGGCGGCCGAGATGGTGTGATGTGGGACAAGACCATCTGCCAACTTATTTGTCTCAAGTCATTGCCGCTCCAGTTGGACATGTCCTCGAGCTCCAAAAGGGGCATCCGAGTTCAGGGACAGAAAAAAAAAAGAAAAAAAAGGGGAAAAAGAAAAGCCCCCGTATCCACAACGGAAATATTTTTGACGTATTCTAGAAGACTCCCGGCTTGTTCGTGGCAGTTTCGGCATCCCGTGTTCGGTTGCATCTGGGAGAGATAGAGACTCCCAAACTCTATTTTCCCCGGTATGGACCGCCGACTCCGCGACCCGTCGTACTCTCTGGTAACACCCAAGACGAACCGAATTACGGTGTAGACATGATAGAATCGTGGCCACCCATATCCCTTGTACCCTGCCTACGCCGTGATGGGGCTTGTTTACACGGCTTCAAACTGATGGCCAAGTGGCCGGTTTGTTGTTGGTTGGGCTTTGGTCACTTGTCCTGCTGACTTCGTGCTTGTGTCGGTATCGGATCGTGTCGTGACGGGAAGCTTCAGTGTACCTTACCTGCGGTGCGTCGGCGAGAGCCGGCAGCCTGCATTGCCATGTCAGGAATAACAATGCAGAACAATGGCATTTCCGAATTTGAAAGCGGCGGCCGTCCTAGACTCCTAGTGTAACGTGGAGGGGGGGGGGGGGGGGCGGAGCCACCGTCGGTTGTTCCGTCTCGACACAGCAACAAAGCATAAATACAGACAGCTTAGGTGATGAATGACGATGACGACGGCGATGGACGATGATGCGTCGTCCTAAATTCCGCGGCCCAGGTGCCAAGTTCGTCCACCATGGCGGTCACAAGAAGGCCACAAAGGCCCACATAACCACGAATGTGGGGCGGCACGGCCGGAACTGCGGGGCACGCATCAGATCTTGACTTGCGTTGTTTAAACCTCATTTTGATCATCTGGACTTGTCCTCTCCCAACAACCCACACACACCAACCGTCGCCGTGACCGCCGTCTCGACCAGGACACGCCTTGTCCGTAACACGCCGTGTCTCTTTTTGGCTTCTCCGACAGCGGCCAGCCATGGCGCTAGAAACCCTATCGATCGAACACGTTCCCTCGTCCTATGCCGTCTACCTTGGCCTGTTTCAACATGTCCAAAACGCCGATTTTCTCCATCAACAACTTCTCAGTCACAATGCCGAATTCGAGTACGCTTTCGTCGACGCCTCAGTGGTACTGTTGGCCCCGTTGACCTGCCCCATCTTTTCCAGGGCACCCATCACAAGCCAGCGTTTGGAGTATCCAGCTCACCATGTGCTCATGTCGACCCGTAGGTCATGTCTCGCCGACAATTACTCTCAGCTGTTTTCAAGGCCGTCACCCTGGCTCTAAATGGTGCCCTCAAGACACCAAATATACACTCTGAGATTGTAGTCTCTCTGAATCCCTCCAATAATGTAAGCACACGCATGCCAAGAGCTGCCTCATTGTTTGCCCCAGCCTCCTAAAACTCTGCTGCAAGCCTCTGAAACAGACTGGTTAACGACGGGTCAGATTGCTGATTCCTATCGTCGGTTTGGCATTTCGTCTACTACAAAAAACCTTCTCGTCCTCAAAGTAACTTGTTGTTCCGATTCGAAGCCTGCACCCTCCAAAGACGTTATCGAGGCGCATTTAGCGGAGCATGTCAAGGGAAATCCTGTTGACGCCACAGACGCCAGAATTGCCGCTTCGACAGATATGAGCAAAGTCCGTAAATATTACAAGCTCAACGGCCTAAACTGGCTCGAGGCCGTCCAAGATGAACAACAAAAACGCGCAGAATTGGACGCGCTTGTAGTTAGCGCAATAGCACTACGTGGACTTGGGTCTTGATTGAACAAGCACAATCAAGGGAAATGCCCCAACTAGCAAAGTTTCGGCAGACGGGATATTTGAAATTATTTTTCATTTGATACTATTGTGAGTCATCAATCATGTACCCCCCTCTTTTCTCTACCGTTTCAGTTTTCATTACTCTAACATTGCAAAAGTGTGCTTTGAATGAATCGCTATGAACGTGACGTGAACGCCGTCCGTATCTCAAAAAAGAAAAATAACAGATTTGCTAAAAGAGATGACTGGGAAAAAAAAAAGGTTAACGAAAATGGTAGGAAATCACTTCGCCTCCGAGGATGTGAATTCTACGCAAGACGAAAAGTATTCTTAACGCGGCGGAGAACTTCGGCCCACATGGCATCACGCCCACTCTTGGTTCGCTGGACAGCGTCCTTGTTCTCTTGAGCACGCCGAAGCAAATATTTCATGCACTCGCCTGTGGTGCCCCAAACAAGGTACTTATAGGCGGGCAAGTTGGGGGTGGCCGAGACGTCGCCAGCGCGTGCCGATTGACTGGCCTCAACCAGCTCGCAGCTAATTTCGTCGGCCATGCCCTGGAGTTGAGCAAAGGCAATTTCGGATTTGGCACCACCAGCGTCGCAAATGGCACGAGCCTTTTGAACGGACTCGGCATTGTGAGTGGCAAGGACAAGATGGGCTGCGGGATATTCGCCGTTGCCCGCAAGAGTCGCGTTCCATTGACGGGTCAGAATACTGGCAGCGACGCCGTCGTAGCACGCGTCGGTATCGGCCTTGGTATCGAAGAAGCATTCACGAGGGTCTGATCCGAGATAGGCGCCACGAACAAGCTTGACGCCAAGCGAGAATCGGCCCTCCTGAGCCGTGGCAAGGTGGCGTTCCAAAACGGCCGGAGTCTTCTTCTTGTACGCTTGGTAGGTTCCGTAGATGGTGCAGGAATCAGGCTCGGTGTTGTACTTGTTGGCAAACTCCATGGTCCAGTCGTCAATACCGTCTTGGAGGGCATCCTGCTCAGCATCAAACAAGAGACGAACGCCACGCTCGTGGGCGAGCTGGCAGATGGAATTGATAGACTTGTACAGGTAAGGGCTGGCGGGAAGTTTGTGTTTCAGCTCATGGACAGCCAGACTACCAGCGCCGGTAAATCTGCGATCGAGGTTAGCAAGGCTGGCCCCTTTTTGATGAGTCGATAACCATCGGCAGCGAAGCTGAAGCCATCAAACACTTACTTGAGTGCGACGAAGTCCCCGGGCTGTGCCAAACGGACTGTTTCAAGAGTGCCCTCAGCCCAGGGCACAATCTCGTTGTCAATGACCTTTTGGGTCTCTTGTCCTGCAGCCGACTCGACCTCCTCAGCCTGCTTCTCCGTCAAGACGACCTCGCGAGCATATCCCAGAATCACGCCGGTGAAGCCAATGTTCTTCAACCTGCTGATGGTGGCCTGGACTTCAGCGGGATTCTCGCCAGCGCAAAACTGGGCATAGAAGGACTTCTTGAGGAAGTATCGAAGAACAGGATTTCTGTCAGGGTTAAAAACGGCGTTGGTGCTGTGAGCCAGCAAGGTCATGATCTGCAGCGACGGTGGCAGAAGCAGAGGAGAAGAGGACACGACAGTCGTGGCCAAGGAGCGGAGGATCATGCTTAGTGGCAAGACCGAGAGGGGTGCGCGGCTTGGTTCCAGGTTGGCCGGCGGAGGGACAGCACCTGGCAGCTCGGCGACGGTGGACGACTTGCGGTCCGAGGAGTGAATACACCGACGGTGCTGGGTCATGAGGGCAAAGCTGCCTCTGGGGAAAGTGGCCTTGTGGCCGTGATAGGCGCGAGCCGCCAGCGTCGTCGGGAGAAGAGCATTTGTGGACGAGAATGAGGCGGCACTGGTGGGAAGAGTAGAGGCCCTGCGAACGGGCAAGCAAGTAAACCCGCGAGGAGGCGCGGGTTTCATTGCAATGCTGTCGTTTTTTCGCGCGAGAAGCTTGCTGGTTCTGTCTCGGTGCTAATTTTCGTCGGTTTCCTAGTTGGAGAATGGGCAAGATGTGACGGGGAAGAGTGAAGAGGGATGAGGAGAGGCAAGAGAATGAGAAACACGGCGATGACTGGGCGGTGTTTAGTGTGCTTTTCTGGTCTCTGGTGGTTTGGCGTTGAGCGCGTGTTGAGTAAGCGTCGAGAGGGATGGGGGTGTTTCGGGCTTATCAGTGAGTGAACTTGGGAGGGTGCCTCGATGGGATGGAGAGATAAGAGGCAGCGAAGCAGACAGCAGGCTTCGTTGGCGGCGAGTGTGCCAGAGGAGGCGTCGAGGGGGAGAGAGCAGCAGCAGCAGCAGCAGCAGCAGCAGCAGCAAGGTGTCCACAGCAGGTTCAGCTGGGCAAACGTTTTGTGGTATATTAAGATGATTTTGACGATGATGTCGACGATGGTTAGTATGGACACACAAGATGAACCCCAAAGCCAACGGTTGTCGAGATAAGATGGCAGCGTGGGCTCCTCTCCAATATAGGTTCCAGTCTCCCCTCCTGCTCGCCTTTTCGCTTTCGGGGTCGGTGGGATTTTTTTTCTTTTCCTGCTTTTATCAACCAGGTGACCAAGATCGTGGGGTGGGCGGGCGCAGTGAATGAGGGTAAAAAGGCGTCTTATAACTTTTTGGCTGGCCCGTTCATGCCGGGGGTCCGGGAACGGAGTTATCGTGGCATAAGACAGGAGGGGATGAGGGAAAGTGGAAGAGAAGGGGGGGGGGTGGGAGCGGCGCGAGTCAACGTATGCCGAGGAACCGATGCAGAGTCGAGCAGGCGTACGCCGCCCATACGGACGCCCATACGGACGGTAATCGATTATCTCTGGGCAGCGCGCAGGCGGGCGGCGACGACTCGGACGGGCGAGCTTCTCTCCTGGGGCCGATAGTGAGAAACAGCCCCAAGACACAACACAGCTGCTGGTCAGGTGCTGGTCCGATAAAGGGCACCGAGCCCACGCCATTAATAAGACCACCCCCCGCCCAGAACCAGCGAGACTTGCAAAACGCGCCATCTATTACACAAGCATTGAGCTTTATCTCGAGTCGACCCCACCAAAACCTGAGCCATGCCGTTCCAACGCCCCCCGGACTCTTTGCATACGCCCCCACCTTTCATCCTGTCCAGCAAGCCAAGCAAGCAATCATGCAGGGCCCTGCCCGCCTACTTTCCAAATCGGGTGCAAATCGATCACGTGGCCGTCTGTTGTGAAATTAACTTGGCACGTACGGAGTAGCCTGGTCCTGGACGCCCGATTGTAGCCGCGACTCCCCTTCTTTTTTTTTTTCTTTTTTTTTCCTCTCGTTTCTTTTCCTTTCCCTTCCCGCGCTGCCTGCTGCATCTCCACACTTGATACGGAGTAGCAGATTTGCATTGGCCAATGGTCCTGACGCGTCCTGCAAGATCCTTGCTTCTGGAATGCCTCCGATACGACAGATAGCAGATAGGCAAAACACAAGCTCTGCGCTCCCGTATGCCGGTCCCATATGGGCATTCCAGCTTGCTTCCAGGCAGCGGGCAGACAAAGCTTTACGAGCAGGGCAAAGGCAGCCTGAGAGTAGCCGCCCACTCGAAAGCTGCGCCTGTGACGACGCCATGTCTCACCTTCTTTTTTTCTTCTTCTTTGCGCGCGTTCCATTTGGACGCGGACAAGCGGGGGGGGGGGCCAACCTGGCGGACACAGTCACACACACAGCATAACAATCACATCGTCTCTGCGAGTCACCCAGCAAGACGAGCGTCGAGGAGTGAACTTTTGCCTCGTCCTTTCTGGCCTTGCGCATAGCACGGAGCGCTGGAGCCCTCAGACAGCCGCATGTCCATTGGGGGGAGCAACAAGGGACGCGACGCCCATTGAGGAGCCGAGCATCATGACGCCGTTGCACGACGTCCTGTCGCCGCCATGCTGAATCACAGATAAAAGCACGAGCGCTTATGTATTGTGCTGCAAACAGCAAACCATTGATACAATACTCCGCACGTCGTAATACGCGGCATATCCCCCCCATCGGGAACCAATGGTCCATGCCTTCTTCTTCGTTCATGTCCATTGTTCCCCGACGCGCCGGACCGCCGTCTTGACCTCGCCGAGCCAGTTTACGGAAAGGATTGCAGTAGGCAATGGCCATTACCCTGGCACCCCCGGACTAATCGTTCTACAGAGCAATGCAGGATACTACAGAACGATGCGACCCTGACAAGGCACCTCGTCCGTGTTTGGTACCACGTCGTGCTGTATGGATTAGAAACACGTAACTAACTACCTTACGTGGGCCAAGAGAGCGCATTTAGCCCCATGTCGCTTCCCAATGCCCATCCATCCTCATGTCCCATGAAAGGGCATGGAACACGACCTACGTCGTCGAAACCCAGGGTGATTCACGATATGCGACCTTGGGGGTCCGCAGACAGACCTCGCTTCCAGTATTGCTGCTCGTACTCCGTACTACGAGTATGGGTACCATCGTGTATGATTATTATTGCATTACACCCTCCCTAAGTACTCCGTGATATAGTATTGTACGCGTGACGGGGCGGAGCAGTGAGTCGTCATTTTCTGCTCATCAAATCAAGTGGACCCGCACCCAGCCACTGCCACTGCCGGCAAGGCCGAAAGTCGGACCCCGAACCCACAATCCACTTTAGAAGGGATGGAACCCCTTCGCATGGCGTCGGCAGCTGCAAACCAAACAAAAGTCCAGGGGAAAGCATCCAGCCGCGTCAGTCAACCAACTGGTCCACCCACCGTGCTTGGACTTGGACTCACGCATGCACATCAATGATGAGCACCAAGGCCGATTGCCATCTTTTCCCCGCTGCGCGAGTTTGTACCGAGCACGGGATACGGTTACGGGATACGGGGTACGGAGCAAGGCTTGACGAGTTGCGTGGATGGCGCAGCCATTGTTGGTTCGTCGGCACCAAGGGTGGTGTGACTGCCATCATGGACGTCGAGGTGGTGCGCGGATAAGCTTTGTGGTGTTTGACCTTGGGTTACCCGCCCTGCGACTAGGGTTATCGCTGGGACCGGCGCCGTTTGGTCTGTCTTCTCCGTCACGCTTCGCCCCATGGGCGTCACGGGTTGCGTACCGAGCATGCGTGGATATGAGATGGAGACGCAGGCCGACGTCGGAGGAGGCTCTCCACGTACCCTATCGGTCTGCCACGGGCTAAGCCTACGAGGTCCTGTACCCCCCCGTACGCGAGCCCAAACAACAGTCCAAGCTTGGCCGTGCGTCCAGCGGCTGATAGGGAGAACCTATCTGGGCCATGCAGCCCAAAGATGGCGCCTGTTAGCCACACGTCTCGTTTTGCATTTGTCTGATGGCGCCGCTACTGAGAGCCGACACTTGCCATGTCTCGTACGGTCGGTCCTTGATGTCGCGGCTGTTGCCCATCAATCAAGTCTTCCATGTAGCAGGCTTGCGAGCGTGGCCCACGATGATGTGTAATGCTGATAGGAAGTCGTCAAGAATGCCAAGGTTTGAGCTTGCACTTACGCGATAGGGAAAAGGCGCCCGCTACCGTCAGCGTCGCCATCGTCGTGGAAAACATGTCGCTGCGGCCTCGATACCTGTCAATGGTGCTTTCCAGTCCCAACGCTACAAAGCTCCAAAAGCTCGTCTTGGCCCCCATTCGAAAACCCTCACGGATGCCACCCTGCATTGCATGATAGTTTTTGGATTTGTGGTAGAGATACCATCCCGCCGTGGTGTCGGGCATCTTGTGTGCGTGTTCTGCTCGGAAGCGGAGCTGAGCCACCTGACCGCCCTGCAGAGCACCAAGCGTGAGGCCAATCACCCCCGACGATAGCGACCCAAGCAGAATGCGAGCCGGCGTTGAAATGGACAGCCTCGGGTATGCGTCGGACGGAAACGCATCGTGATCGTGCCCCGACGAGGTTGAGGGTGACGGTGTGGTTGTAGAGGTAGAGGCGGTGGATGCAAGCACACCCGCAGAAGATAGGACGTCCATGACGGAGCTCTGTGTCGCCCTTGAACGGCATACACACGATCAGAATCTGGTCTCTAGAGCCACGATTGTAAATCCCAAGACTTTACTCTTGACGCCCTCTTGTATGGCTTTTGGATGATGTCTTTCGCCACCTCTTTTATCAAATCGCGTTGTCGATCTCGCGGTAGAGGCTGGATTCGGTGGGCTTATTTGCGATGGATGACGTGGACCGTGTCGGTTGTCGAACAAACGGGGGGGCGATCAGAACCTGCCATCGAGCCGTAATGAATTCATGAATGAGCCGAAAGTGAAAATCAAGTAAGATCGACAGGGTAGAATACCGCTCTCCGTCATCAATGTCGTCAGGAGCTGTGCCTGAACCGCCGTTTTTCGTTTTCTTCTTCCTCCTTTCTTTCTTTCCTTTATTTTTTTTCCCCAGCCTGGAAGTCGCACACAAGTGGCAGTTGAAGGTCCCTCGCCGGAGCGGAGTTTCCGTGACACCGTGCCTCGTGCGCCACCACGGTGGGAGCACGTGATTCGTGCATCGAACCGCAGTTTGTCTCTTGTTGTTTTGCCGTGAATCTACAGCCAAACGATGAACCGACTTCACAAAACGCACTTGACTCACGCGCAACAATGGCATGTCTTGATTATGTTGGAAAATCGCGGTGCTCAATACACTAACAATCTAAACAGACTGTCGTGGGTGACGGCCACATTTCGCTCCGTCTCAAGCACGGCATTCACACCATCTACCTCTTCGCAGATGCACAGGCATCCATGTCCGACATCACCAAGGAGCTGCTAGAACTTCTGAGCGAGCGATATCCGAACGGCCTCACCACAGCTACAGCGCCGCCCAAAACTACACCAATCCCTCCGAGTCCCAAAGTAGTCTATGGACTTCTCAACGTGCCAAACGACCCCTCCAGAGGGTGGAGGAGGGTCAAGACAGGCGAGGATGAAAGCAGCACGCCAACAACCTGTGGACTCGAGAACAATAGCATAGTGTCCTTCACCTTTGTTTCGGACCTCGAGGATGAGGACGTTGTATTCGAGGTGGAATGGCCCAAGGACGACGACGAATTGTACGACCAAGCAGTGTGAGACGCGCCCTGGTTTTCATGACACACCTATGAACAACCACGTGTATTATTTATGTAATAACCTCGTCTCTTTTTTTTTTTTTTTTTTTTTTTTTTTTTTGGGTCTTTTCGCTCCGCTGTAGGATCAAACCACCAAGCGCTTCGGCTATTGACGCAACAAGCGAGGATGGGGTCCCATGGGTCGCGAGTTGGCATCCTCAAGCCACACCCCACCACAAGCCCTGCCTTCATTAATCTGCTTATCGAGGGGATGAAAACGGCTCAAGCTTAATTCGAAGCGGGATGTTGGAGACAACTTGTCCTCTTGCATCACCCAAGCACCTTCAGAGAGAGCCGCCTCAGCTGTTAATGCTGGACTAAGCGGGTCGGGGCCGGTAACCATGCGTCCACAGAAAGAGTGAGGGCAACCCACGGCGCTAGGAAAGACATGAAAAAAGTAGGGTTTTAATGGTCCTCGATGGAAATCAAAGAGTGCATGTTGTCGTACAAACTGCACTGGTTTCACGGCAGAGTCGATTCCACCTGTTGATAGTATCAAGCTCTCCTCCTCGATCTTAGCACTTGGTGTTGAATCAGGTTTTTTTTTCTACGTCAGCTTTCTCGACCTGCAGGCACTGGGTGCGAAACTGCGCCCACCGGGACGCCTGCGCTTGGTGGAATTGGCTCGCATCCGCGCAAGACTCGCGTCGTGGAAAGGATGGCATTAAGACGTAGTTATCCGCAACCCCCTGGCGTGCGGGCTATGAATTATTATTGAAGAACGAAGAGTAGATGCGAAGACAAGCCTATCCATGCCGGAGTCAAACCAAGTTGACTGTGTAGGGTTGGGCGACGCCAAATGAAGCATGTCAGTGCCAAGCTTTGGCCCAGGATGCAACTAGGATCTAGATGAATCTCGGGGTTCCTCTGCATCTGCGAATCGGTCTTTCTCCATCAATAGCCGGGCAGGCAAGCCGGGCAAGTGAGCTGCCCGTCTCGGACAAGATGTCATACTCGAGCCCAGTCTTGCGGAGCAACTTGATGAAGGGATCCCGGGCGAGAGAAGCGTTTGCGTCGACCAAGCAGAAGCGAATGGTGGCACAGATCAAAGACCGGCTTCTCCCGCAATGCAAGGCCGCCGGATTCGGGAGCTTGTTCAGCCGTAGTGCCTCGGCCGTTATCTGCAAAGCCCATACGATCGGTAACGCGCACTTGGTGTTCACGGGTCACGGCACGGGTTTCTCAGAGACGTGGGACCTACTACTGAGGTCCTGGCAGGCGGCACGCTGGGAGAAGGGAACAAAAGGGAACGGAACACTTTCCCGGAACTTGCTTCACCGTGGCTTCGATCCGGAAACGGGGTTCGAGTTGACCAATCGTGATGAGCCTTGCAGATCGAGATGCCAAACCAGATCAGATTCGCGACGTGACTCGGAGAAGTGGACCGATGAGGCCTGCCACGGCCGTGATGCTGGTACGTACTAACTGGCAGCAGGCACAGTCTCGGTCTGTTCTGTTAAGCAGTACCGCGCTCCAACCGAGCAGCTCAACCATGGCGTCGAACCCCAAGCCGGCGGTCTCCAAGAACGGTCACCAAGTCCGGTGGGTCGCCTCACGTCTTCCGACTCTATGACGCGCCCATCATGGAGCATCTCCGGAGAGCCAGTATAAAACGCCCCCCTCGGGCCGTGGCGACGGCTTCCGGGCGGCGAGATTCGAATCCATTGCGGACGGACAGCTAGTACATCAGCCCGAGGCCTCAACCTATCCAACACACAGCGGCGAAGCGTTCAGCAAAAGCACACACGAGATGAAGGACAAACGCGAGGTCACTGACGAGTTCAATGACATTGTCAACATGACCGCTGCCGAGCTAGAAGAGTGGCTCAAGTCTGACGATTCCAAGGCTGCGGGATGGCCCAAACAAGGCAACGGTGAGGAATCCGTCGGCCACGACAGCGGCCGCAAAATTGTCCAGATTCTTAAGGACAATCCGCAAAAGAGCCCGGGCAAGTACACCGAAGATCATGTTCAACACATGAGAAAGGTCGTTTCGTATTGGTACGTTGCTGCGGGCGTCGTGCCGTGCACCGCCTCACCCTCACCCTCACCCTCCTCCGGGCATGGAACTGATTGCGGCGTACCGTGGTAGCAAACGGCATTTGGCTCAGGAGAGCAAAGCAAACGACCAAAAGTCTGTTGAAGAAGTCAAGAAGACGAAATCCTATGCGTCCCTCAAGAACTGGGGCCACGACCCCTTGAAGGCCAGAGAAGGCGACAATCGGGACCACGAGGGTGAGGAAGAGAAGCGGGACGAGGAAGCGGAGATTACTGACGAGAATGAGGACGGCAAGGAAGACGGTGGCACCAAAAGGGCGTCCAAGGACAGCCAGAATGGAGAAAACAAGAGACAAAAGACGGAAAACTCTGCACCCAACAAGGAGGCCAATGACGGTGGTGCAGCCGAGTCGACAGACAGCCAGGACAAGAAAGATGGCGCAGAGACCAAGGGCGACGCGCAGAAGTCCTCCCATGGTCAAGACGACAGCCGGGAAAACAAGAAGAATGGGAACAGCGACAAGAATGGTTCCGCAGGCGATGGCGCAGGCGGCAAGGAACCAAAGAAGGGAGACACTGTGAGTTGGAACTGGGGCCAAGGACAGCCAGAAGGTACCGTCAAGGACGTCAAGCACGAAAAGTGAGAGCATACCCGCGGCCCATTTGACTTGTCCAGATTTCCCTTGTACTTGCTTCTAACTCGCAGCAGAGCTTCGGTCACGACCAAGAAAGGAAATACAGTTTCGCGTGACGGCACTGCCGAGGATCCTGCCGTGGTCATTGACGCAGGCCAGTCGAAAGCAGTCAAGCTTAATCATGAGCTTAATTAGTCGCGTCACTGGTCCATGGGTTATAGCTGTTTCCATACGCGCCTGTTGGGAGAAGTTGTCCTGGTATCGCCTGTATATACTTGGTTGGCCAGGGACAACGACTAGTCGTCATTGATTGCTTACGAGGGTGCTGAACGCGCCAGCATAAGCCCCAAGGTACGATTTGCTCAGGATGAGTGACCGTCGGACATGGAGCAGGACGAGATCACACCGTCACGGAGTATCGTAGACCAATCTTGAATACATGACCGTTGGAATCTTGGCGGTGAAATGCGAATCACCACATGGCGCGCATAGGAAACTCTGTGCGGCGATAGTTTTGTTATCGGTCAGTCACCTTTGAATGTAATCAAGTGTTGACTACGCGTAACTTGCAGTGAAGTCATGAGCCCGACAAGGAGATGAGGATGAATGTCACGACTAGACGGGCAGAAGTTGATTGGCCAAAAGTAATGCTTTACAGATGCCGAGTACAGTCAGCCAGCTTCATCGTCTCTTCCATACCAGTTGAACCCTCTCCCTGAGACGGACTTGGCAGATAACCTTTCGAGACGTAGCTAGCTACCAACAGTGAGATTATAGGACCAAGTTTGGGCGGGAGGATGTAAACGGAGAACTCACGGCGCTACATTTGGCAGGGTCAACTGTTCGAGCCTCATATTCATATCGTGCGGATTTGCCGACTCCAGGTGAACAACGGAATGGCGCCGGACACGCACCAAACGACAGAATTGGCAGATGGAAGCAGCGACTGAACATGGCGCCTCATGGTACAGTCTCGTATTTATGGCTACACGGCGTGAAGGGACGTAGTTTTAATACTTGCCACAACTCCGTCAGCCAACGCGCAGTATCCGACTTACTACGAGTCAAGCCCTACGTGTCATGTCTGCCAACCCGGGACGTAACAAGCACTACCCACACCGAGGGCGGCATTAGAGCCAAGCGAAACACGCGCAGAGCATGCGGGCATCGTCTCGGTAGAGAATATGCAGCGTAGCCTGCGAGTTTTAGACGTTGGAAACAGAGTCAGGTAAATGACACGATTGCGGCTTCGGGTGCTCGCAATGATATCCGGGGAAATGGTGTAGGGGTTCTCACATTTGCTTTGCATGTAGAAGGTCCGGGGTTCACATCCCCGTTTCTCCATTTGTGGTTTATTTTTTATGCTCTACCTTGAATTTTTCTTCTTGACCGCGCAAACAAACCACCGAGCGTCGTCCCTTCACTTGTCACGTCTCGTATACTTGCAATCTCTTGTATGTTTACCCTCTGTTCTTTACTTGCCCTCTCTTCTATACGTGCCACCTGGCTAGCCACACAAGGAGAGAGATGGAGACGAAACAACGGCAGCCTAGTAAATATACGTCTGCAGATATTCTCTCGACGCAAGTCGCCGCGCAGTGCGCATTCCCAAGGCGGGAGAGGGACCTGCGTGTGAAAAGCGAACAGAGGGAGAACGCGTGTGGCATTGAAGCCTGTGATTTAGTGGGAAAGAATGCCTGCAATGTTGGTCAAAGCATAACCTACGGACCAGCCGCAGGGAAATATGCTAAATAACTATGCTTAGACATGTCCACGAGACTTGGAATGTCGTCGAAAGCCCACAATCTGAGCCATTTCGGCCCAGAAGCCAACCGGCGGCTCGTCAAAAGTATTCTCATAGGCCTCGATCTCGGGTCGCTGCCAGACGAGGTCGACCTCGCCGGGGGGTATGTAGCGAGTCTTCTTGAGCAGCTTCCACCCAACAAAGAGGAGCACGGCCAAAATCTGCATCGAGTAGTTTTGGAAGAAGACTTGGACATCCCACCGGGGCCGGAACGCGTAGTACCCGTACGTGAGGGCGACCAGACCCTGGACAGCGAGCGCGATGTAGGCGCAGTAGGGCTGGAAGTATCCGTAGTAGGGCCGCTCTGCTCTCCTGCTGACGCCCTGCACCTTGCAGGCCCTGTAGTAGTTGAGGTAGGTGATGGACATGACGAGGTAGGTGATGAGGCCGCCGCCCGTGACGATGCTGATGAGCCAGCCCAGGACCTTGGCCGATCCGTTGGCCACCTGCAGGAAGGAGAGAAGGGGGAAGCACATGACGACGCAGAAGCACCAGACGGGAACGCCGCTCTTGTTGCAGTAGCGCAGGCACTTGGGGGCACGGCCTTCCAGGGCCAGGGAGTAGAGGGCGCGAGTAGCGGCGTATGTATACGTGTTGCCGGCGGAGAAGATGGACGTGAGGATCAGGAAGTTGACAATGTGCGGCAGGACGCTGACGCCCAGGGACTCCATGGCAATGACGTACGGCGAGGCGGCTGCGCTGCCTGTCGAGCCGCTTCCGAACCAGATCTCGACAAGCGTCGGGTCGTTGTAGGCGCAGACAATCCCGACAGCCAGGGCGCCGACGGCGAAGAAGATGCAGAATCGGTAGTAGACGGTTTTGAAGGCGGCCCTGATGTAGACGCTCGGCCGCTGAGCCTCTGCCGACACCATGGAGATGTACTCTGGGCCGACGACGCAGAAGGAGGCGCTCCAGAGGCAGGCGAGAAAACCCTCGAACCGACCCAAGTCTCCGTCACCGAGATAAGTGGCAAAGGCTCCCGGGTTGGAGAAGTGCCGAAAGCCATATGCGTCATGCCGGGGGTTGCCGCCACACATGGTGACAAAGGTGAAGGCGAACAAGATGAAGATCAAGATGAGCTTTCCGCCGGAGAGCCAGAACTCAGCCTCGCCGTAGAAGCGAACGGCAAGAACATTGAGAAGGCTGTGGACGGGAACAAGTCAACAAGATGAAGTCCTCGCCCGAAGCACCGGGATGCACATGCTGCGGCCGCGACAGGAGCCGGGAATGGTCCCTGGCCAAGTCGTCAACAGAAGAGGCACCACATACCCGTAGCATATAATGACAGCAGCGCAGACGCCGGCCGTCGGTCCCGGGCTTGTCACGTTCCCGTTCCAGAAGGAAATGACAAAGGTGAGAGCCGTGATCTCAAACGGAATGAGCAAAGCCTCGTAGAGGAAGAAGTTCCAGCCGGCCAGGAAGCCCAGAGCGTCGTCGACCCAGTACCCAGCAAGCCGAACAAAGCCACCCGCCACAGGCATGTAGGTGCTCATCTCAGCAATCGAGTTGTTCACCAGGGACAGCACGACCGAGTACAGCGTGTAGGCGATCAGGAGGCTGGCCGGGCCGCCTTTGGCAAGGCCGCCGCCGATGCTGATGAAGAGGGCGGTGCCGATGGAACCGCCGGCAGCAATGAGTTGGATCTGACGGTTCTGAAGCCGCCGGTGGAGATGTCCCATGTCCAAGTCTCGCACATGCTGGGAGCTGCCGGCGTCGGCCGAGTCGACCTTGACTTGCTTCTCGCCTCTGTCACCGAGATGCATCTTTGCTGAGTTGTTGCAGATCCGCCAACCAAGTAGAGGGGCGGGAGGAATCGACAGAATTCTCTGGCGATAAAGATGAGATCAGGGGAGTTTGGACACGACCAGAAAGTTTGGTGACATATTAAACAAAAAGACCGACGACTGCGTCTCCCCCCCTCCCCCCGGCGGAGGACCTGAAAGCGCCGCCGATGGATGCAGGCCTTCTCATGCACGCCATTTGATGAATGGAAACAAGCCTTCGGTGGAGCCAATGGTACAGGATCCAGAATCTTGACAGTCCTTCTGGGGGTGGCGAAGAGCCGAAGCAATTGTCGCTCGAGCTGTCAAAAACATGGCTTCAGCAACCCACGCCGCCACGCACACGGATGGCCGTATTGAGTTTAGGGCGCCTTCAGCCTTCCAAAGGCGTTGGTAGCGGGAAACATTAGCTTCAAAGCCACACAGGGCAGTTTGACAGACTGTGGCCGCGGTTGTGAAACTCGGCGACGTGTAAAGGTGGTGATGGGGTTGTGAGGGCGAGCTCGTTTGCCCCTGGTTGCTCGAGAGCAGACGGCGCCGCGGCGTCTAGAATCGACCAAGACCTAGGAGCTGGAGTGTCTCGGGTGGTGGAAAGCGGCATTTCATGATGGAAGCCGAATCCGAAGCACTCCGAGTCGTGTGGGTGTTGCGACGAGTTTCCCATTGGGCCCCTGTGTTTGTGGTTCATCCCCAGACTGGCACCTTGGTACGTGGTTACTTGGTAGGTTGCCTTGCTGATGTCTCGTGACTCGGGAGACGAGAGGTCTACTGCTTGTATCTCCAAGAGCCACCGCAATTCTCTCATCACCTAACAGGACATACATGAGGCGCATCAAGTTGCCGTACCACCCAGCCCGCTCGCCATTATATGTAGTGCGCCTGGGTGGACAAGTTCGCGGTCTCTCTCAGCACAGCGTTCCAAGCGAATTGTTTCCTATCGGAATCACAAGGCCTGAGCATGTGGCATTTCGGACGCAAGAGAGGGGGAGGCGCGGAGATGTCACGCCAAGGTGAGGGTGAGAATGACGCGGGCCAGCATGCGCCATTTGATGAAACAGGTGGCGCCGAGTACCCCACAGATGTCTCTCTCCAACAGCATGGATGGATAACTGCCGAGTGAGATGAATCTGATCTGTATTAACAAGTTTTGGGCCCATGGAGGAGAGCACACGGGCTCGGGTTGCATTTCTGGCTGCCGTCCTACGCGGCCACATTGTAGCCGGAACGGCATATGCTACTACTACTCTACAGGATAGAAACCGTGATTCTCGTCAATTTCGATGTACTTGTAGTACTGCATTGTCAAAGACTCAAGTTCATCAGCCGGGAATCTTGAATGCCTGGTTCCTGTCGAGACTCGAGATTCGACATGCGGGCGATCCAAGGTGTCAAGGGTTACAGATTTCATCGACATGACCGACCGACCATGAGGGATTTTACAGACGGAATTTAAAC